GCCACCACGACCCAATTGTGGTATACTTTCTTTGTGGGTTTGGGTAGAATTAATATCCGGTCATCAAAACTTTTGCAATGACTGTATGGAGGTACTAACAAAATCGTTCATTTAGAGCATCGTGAATGTATTTCCTTCCATCACAAGCCCGTATCTCTATATATGCACACCCTAAATATTAATTGCAAGTAAGTAGAAACGCCAAACCAAACCATATAAAACCAGCTCAACCAGTAACCACATGTACAGGTATCGATATCATCAAATATGCACACAAAAAATCTATACCATCTTTTCACCGCCCCATTTACATTTGAAGCTCAATTGAGATATACATACACAGCCAAAGTCCCGCTCCCAGCCCATTTACGCCAGTAAAAATAAAACAATACAGCAGAAGGTCAGTCCTTCTTCGCAGAAGCTCTATTCGCCCAACCATTCATACTCCTTCTGATTCCCAGAGTCCTCTTCTTTGGCGGGCCCTCCGCCGCCGCAGCCGCCAACTTCTCCGCAGTGGTCATCTTCCCCGCCAGTCTCTGCTCAGTCGTCGGCCTTGATGAAAGTGTAGATGTGAGGCCAGCAGAAGACGAAGACGAAGACACGGGCGCAGGAGCAGCGGCGTCAGCGGCTTTAGCAGCTGCCTCCTCTTCAATGCTTTTACAAAACTCTTCAAACACAGGACTACTGGGGATTTCCAGATCAGGGCTCATTTTTCTCTTTCTATCCACTGGTCTGACTGGAGAACTACTCAACAGCACCACTTCGTTCCTAGGTGGCCGAACAGGAAACCTGGGCTGCGGAAGCACCTCTATCTGTTCTTTTAGGCTCATCTTCAATCCTACCTTGCGACTCTGTCTCATTACCTCTGATGCCGTTACCTCCCTCTCTTTTGGTGGTGGCGGCTTGGGGGCAAAATAAGACATGAGGCTTCCCTGGCCTGTAGCACGCTTATTTGTTCTTGTTCCCGCAGTAGTCTTCTTCTCGACAGTAGTCTTCTTCTCGACAGTAGTCTTCTTCTCGACAGTAGTCTTCTTCTCGACAGTAGTCTTCTTCTCGACAGTAGTCTTCTTCTCGACAGTAGTCTTCTCAACAGCGAGTCTAGCTGACAAAGCTGCTCTCTTCTCCACAGCAGCAGTAGAGGTGGCCAGCATGGCATCATGCCGTGCCCTCTTCTCCACACGATCCTTATCAGCTTCACATGTAAGGCGGCTCTGTTTCAGCGCCTCCATATGCGAGCCAGCACTCTTGAAACCTGCAGCTAACCTTTCAGCTGTAGTCGTCCTTGCAGCAAGTCTCTCGGCTGTAGTCATTTTTTCTTTGAGGCGCTGCTCGGTGGTCATGAATCCGGTGAAGTTTCCTCCGCCACGATTCCATCCTACAGCTGCTGCTTGCCCGCCAAGGTCGTAGACGGCCTCCGCGACGTCTTCTGCTCTACGCCGTTTGCGGCTTCGCCAATCGCCCTCTGCATCTTCAGCTGCTTCTTCACGCTCTTCCCATTCTTCTTTTTCGGGTATTTGGTCGTCGAGCAGAGATTGTAGACCTGCTGTTTCTACTAATGTGTTGATAGCGGACTCGCTTGGGCAGGTGCGGCCGAGAATTTGGAGGATACTCTGAACTGATGAGAAGCGTAGAGGGGGTGCACGCTTGTCTAGCAGTTTTACAAGGGATGATGGTGTAAGAAAGGGGCATGGTGTTGTTTTTTCTTCAACGATTTCACATTAGTACACCACGAGTGATAATTCATGATCGAAGGATTTACCTTTCGACGAACTGCGCCGGGGGCACGACATGTACAGTAGGCCCTGCGCACGTGTCATAGCAACATAGAGGAGTCGCCGCTCTTCATCAGTATCATCTGCTCTCGAATGGGGGATCGAGCCCTCATAGACCGCCGGGATGAACACAACTGGCCACTCGAGCCCCTTTGCAGCGTGGATGGTCGATATCGTGACCTGGCCCAGAGCTTTCTTCTCCTGATCCTCCGGTACCTCGCTCAGCGCTGTGTTCGACAGAAAACGCTCCAGCATGGCCTGCAGACCTATCGCAAGGGCATCGCTCTGTGGAACGCCATCAAGAAGAGGTAGTGCGTCTTCGTCTTCGTCGTCCACCGCCATGTCTCGCGCCTGTGTTAGCAGCTCCGTGATATTTGACCAGCGCCCCTCCCAATCTTCTGGGTAATGTCTAATGAGGTGCTCTTCGTAGGATAGCTTGCGGAGAAGATGCTCGATGATATCAACAAGCGTCTTCTCGTCGCCTGGTACCTGCTCCTGGCTCAGAAGTCGCTGAGTAGACAGTATCAAACCGACAAAGTCGCCCAGCCCATTGTCAGCGATCTTGCTAATCTTGAGATCCCGCCAGCCACCGCTGACACCGGACCTGATGATGTCCCAGAGGGTTTTTCCCTTCTTGTCGGCCTCATCAAGAAGCGCCTTAATCGTTGCATCCCCCACTTTGCGTGATGGGACATTTACAATACGTGCTACAGCGTCATTGTTCAGCGGGTTATGTATAACCCGCAGATAGTCCAACAGTGTCTTAATCTCTACGCGGTCATAGAACTTGAGTCCTCCTACCATCTTATACGCCATTCCCGCCCTCACAAGGGACGTTTCAATCAATCTAGTCAGACTCGCACTCCTCACTAGCACCGCTACATCTCCCAACCCCACTGCCCCGCCAGATAGTGCACGAATACGTACAATCTCACTGGCGATCCAGGCCGCTTCTTTCTCCGCATTTGGGAGCTCGCGAAGCACTGGCCGCGTCCCGACCGCATGTGTAGGTGTGAGCGGTTTCTGTGGCCGCGAATCATCCTGCTGTATTACCTCCAGCGCAGCCAAGAGGATCGACGCAGAGCTCCGGTAGTTCTCCTCCAGATGTACAACAAGTGTGTCTGGGTAAACGCGCAACATGCGGGTGAGGTTACGGATTTCGGCGGCCCGGAACCCGTAGATAGATTGATCCGGGTCGCCGACAATGGTAATGCGGTTCTTCTTGGACGCTAGCAGACGCATGAGTTCGAACTGCACCAGGTTTGTATCCTGGAACTCGTCGATCAGGACTGCCTCGACGTTGCCTACACATTCTGGATGCTCCTTTAATAGCTCCAGACACTTGAGTAGTAGGTCGTCGTAGTCTAGCAGATTCGATGCCTCAAGCCCTGATGCATAGTCTTTGAATATTCCTACAAACTCCTCCGTTGATATGCCCTTCTCCTTCTGCTGTGTACTCTGCTGTGTCAACTGTGTCCCCACAACCTTCGCCGGCGCATTCGCAGCAGGAACACTATTCCGTGCTTTGAAATGGCTTATTCTGCTCCTTACCGCCTTCGTATCCGTGATAGGCAGCCCTTTCTTTTTGAGTATCCTTTTTACGATGCCAATGCTATCACCATTATCTGCGATTCCCCAGCCGCTACGTAGCCCCAATAAATGTCCATACCGGACTAGATAGCGCCGCGCAATGCTGTGGAAGGTACCAAGAACAAGCTTAGCTTCAACACCATTGCCAACCAGCTTTGAAATACGATCCTTCATTTCGCGGGCAGCCTTCACAGTGAATGTTGCCACAATTACATTCTGCGGGGCAAGGCCCTGCGCGGGAGAGAGCAGGTAAGCGACACGGGATGTCAGCGTGCGGGTTTTTCCAGATCCAGCTATATATACAAAAAAATCTCATTAGCCATCTATATATAGCGGTCCAATAATGGTGAAGAGTGTGTGGGATATCAGACGAGGAGCGAGTATCTGGACCACTGGTGCGGGATTGGTGACAGCGATTGATTGCGCGGTATTCAGACCCGCCAGTATGGGGTCTTGCTCCTGCTCAGGTTCCTGTACAAAGTATTTAGAGGCCATGTTTCGGACCTTCAATATGCGATTGTGCTGCTTCATGGTGAGTGATGTGTGGTGAAGGTCGCGAGGTTTGTCGAGGAGACGCGTCGGCCTTGGCTAGGGAAGCTCATATCACGTGCCCGCGATAAAACACCCTGGACAATTAACAATGTTAGACTAGGGCCTAGGGTTATGATAAACTGAATCTTGACGACCAGAATCAAAGGATTCGATGGGATTCAAGAAGAACAGACACAAGAGTGCTATTTAGAGCACAGATTCGAATAGGACACATACATATATCTAGCTAACATAAATAGTATCAAAGACGGGGGGCGCAGCAGACCTGTCTTGACAACCGTGTACCATAGGTCCACAGCGAACGGTAACGAGACTATCAAACTCTGGGGAACCTCAAAAAAATACTCGGGCTCTATGACGTCTGCAGGAGATCTATCAGCATAATCTGATTGACACCTTAGCCACAGGTACAATCGATAAGTATCTCTATTATTTGCCTGCGCAACAATCATTACCAGTAAACTCAATCATTACCGTCACGACAACCGGCCATATTACTTGTTGAAGTACTAGCCTCTCAAGTACCCGGCCCATTACACGGACCCAATCGGATGGATGTTAAGCATAATAGCCCATTGGCCATAGCATGAACAATGAGAAACCGCATTTAAGCTTATTAAGAAGTAATATCAGAAATCCAATGTACTCATGCGTTCATTAAATGGTCGGAATTTTTAGTAGGGATTTGGTTGTAACGATATCCGACCATTTAATGAAGCCCGAGTATACCGATACTAGTGGAACTCGGAATCCCAGGTGGGTAAAGGTAATTAATAGTGGCTAGGCTCTAGATCTATGATACAGTTCAACCACGTCCCTTTGCTGGCGGTATTTCCACCAAGCACTTGTGAAAATCCAAACACCTGCGAAACAATGTACGTACATACCGTGAAAATTACAGGAAATAAACATCAAGCAATAAAAAACAAGAAAGAAGAAATCCCATCCAACGCCATTAATTTTTAAAACCCCCGCTGCAATCGGAGGAAAATTCCACATTCCGAACAGCACAACTACCCCTCACAATGCCTGCCCAGGACGAAGGGAAGCCCACTTTCCATATGGAACCAGCAAGGAAGAATCTTCCTACCTCATGGCACACTCCAAACAGCAGCGTCCCTCGTCCCTCGGAATTGAGCACCCGCCGTCACAAACTCTCCTCCCACACCCAACGCACATTCCCTCATCTTCCGCACAACCATCCATGGGCCTATCACAATCCTCACAACTCGTCACCGCAGGAGCCTGCAAAAACTTGAACCCGCCCGAACCCCTCTGTGGCTGCAGCGCCGCGAACGCGTTACGTGGTTTCTGGCCGGTGTGGGTCTGGGTTTTGGGTGGTGGGGGAGCGAATTGCTGGATGGACTGGACAGATTGGGCCTGTAACGGTGCGGGGTGAGGAGGGGAGGATTGCGCGGACTGTGCGGAGAAGAGCTTTTGAAGTGTGTATTCTGGACCCCGTGTTCGTGTCAGTCAGTTCAATAAGCTCGCTCACAGGTTCCAGTGGTCCGGTGACTCTTGAGTACTCGTGGGCAACTGACGATAAACCTCTTCCTCCTTCGGCTTATTCCTCCACCGCTTCATCGTACGCCCGTTCCCTTGAAACTCATGCATCTGATTTTGAATCATGCCTCCCGGTCCCATACCCCCAGATCCAGGTCCGAGTTCGTCGCCATAATCGCGCTTCCGCTTCGAATTCCCAGCAGCAATTGCGAGGCCGCTCTGCGTCTGCATTTGCGTAATCGCTGTGGCAAAGAGTGACGACGCCATATGGGGGGTGATTTCGGAGATATCTCTATCACACGGCAGACAAAGAAAAATTTCCGGTGGGGGATTTGGAATTTTAAATTGGTGGTCAATGATAATGATCGTGTAAAGTAGGTATCTGTCACGGCGGGCGACGACGACGCGTTGAGGTCTGAAGAGCACTGTAGTTTACCAATCTAATCTAACCCATTACAACTACGCTGCTGCATCCCCTTTCACGCGCCAGTGTGGTGGCTGAGTGGCGGACGGTGGCGCGAGACGAGACCCCTGGCTGGGCTGGGCCCTACAAAGCGGACCAGTGGTTGGTCGGTGTTCCTAAAATAGGTAGGTCACGGACGGTTCCTAGATCTGCTCTAATATGCACCTTATTGCAAAACGCGTAAGCCCTAGCAGGCACACATCCATGCACGAACGATCATGACTGGAGAAGCTGTTTTGTCTCTCTTGCTCGTTCTGGATTCTCCAAACGAGAGACACAGGAAAGACAAAGGACAAGAGACGAGCAAGAAAGAAAAAAAGAGCACATCAGTGCCCATTAGAGTATCATATGCTAACTCTATCATAGCTACACAAAGCTACACAAATAACCTCTTATTCTTCACCTCGCTCCCGCAAAAGCCAAGACCAACTCAAAACCCTAACCTTCACCTACGTGTCCGAAAATTCTTGATCATGATCGACCATTACGCGTTTTCCCGGATGATGAGGCTCAATGGGGGTGGTTGAGATTGGCATCATGTACGAAGGCATATCTTCACCATGGGGTAATTGTCTTGCGCTCGCGCCAAGTTGTTGTTGTTTGATAATCGAGTTCTGGAGGTTATCAGTTCTCTCGAGCTCTTTTTTCGATCTGTCTGTTTCTGATTCTGTTTCTTGATAGATGTGTACCCTGGTTGTGGGATCCAGAATTTCGAAAATCCCAAGTGATGACTGATAGATTACGATTGCATCCAAAGCGGGGATGGGATGGGGACATCCACATCCATCGATTTGACGCAGCTCACCTTAGATTGGTCAGTTCATTATCTTGGGTTAGGGCTTCCGTTCCGAGCTGTCACTGTCTGTCATCCTGTCGCTGTCACTTATGCAGCCACGGGGTAATTCTGTCCGGTGGGTGGAGTATATAAGTTATACATGGTGGAGCAGGCTGTTTGAGAAATGTGCCTACATACAGACAGTTTTCAGTCGTGAAAACCCTAGGGGAGACAGCAGTCGACAACCGAATTGACAACGGAGGCGACTCCGGACTGTGTCATTGGTCAGATCGCATTGTTAGACTGTAGTAGTACTTTAACTCTAGGGCGGGAGGCGTTTGTTAATGGTGCGTCCTACAAACCTAACCCAAACGGCCTAGGGTCTTGCTAGTTCAGAGCCTCAGTTAATGGGATGGATTCCTGAATCCCATACAATCGGGACAGTTAGTATTACGTCTCACCTGCTACCTAGGTACTACAGACGTAGGTATGGTGCCCCCAGTCTTAAAGGTAACATGAGAAAAACGCCAAGTCTCGAATAACTTTTCAACCACGATTGATATTAAAAATATGGAAAGAGAAAAGCTGGATACCATGATGAAGAAGAGTTTGTCTTTCCATATTTTTAATATCAATCGTGGTGGAAAAGTTATTCGAGACTTGGCGTTTTTCTCATGTTACCTTTAAGACTGGGGGAACCATACATACGCAAAATCAAAATCAAAATCAAGACTCACAGGAGGAGAAGTAGCGGTACAAGTCGCCACAGGTGGTAGGTACGCAAGAAACATGCGAAATCGAATCCAAAGGCGGGGGGCACTCCGTCAAGATAAACAATCAAGGTCGTGGCTTAGGCTTTCCCCAAACGAAGCAGCTGGCGAAGAAGATCTATTGTCACCTGGCCAGGTCGACGTCGTTAATATCACAAATCTAAGCTGGACTTTTAAAGCATGAAGCCCACGGGCCTCCGAGCAGCAGCATCAGCATCACACTGCGTTATGTGCATAGATACCTTACGAGTCAGTCACAAAATTGACAATCACAGCTTTGTTAGTAAGTACTTACACAGCTGCTGCAGAAGGGACGCGTGGATGCTGTAACCGGCAGCCAGCAACCACGTATTTTAAACGTGCCGGGAAATCATCAAACGCGCGGGCCAATGAATATCGATCTTGGCAGAATAGGCGAGAAAGAAAAAGGCTTACTAAGTGTGGAAAGGGACTTGGAAGTCTTGATTACCCCTGCCGCGCGTCTTGGGTGGGTTGCGTATGCAGCAGCTCAAAACAGAAAGATAGGGTCCGACGGATTCGACCACAGGAATTTTCGCTGGGGGGCACCGGTGTAGGTACAACCATAGATGACACTGATACCAAGCAAAAATGCTAGGGTTTGCGTCTTGAGCTGCGTGTACTGCCTCTGCCTGTGGTGGCACTGCACTGTTTTTGGGGGGAGAGGGAAAGAGTAAGAAGTCTGCCTCCTTCTTGTATCTTCTGCTCTCAAGGCTGCCCGATAGAACGTTTTATCCCAGTAGTAGTTCGCATCGCCGCAATTCTCAATCACAAAAAGCCTCTCCCACCCAGACTCCGCCCGTCACTCATAATATACGCTTTTTTTTTTCGTTTCTCTATTCTCTGAACCAGGCTATTCCTCGAAAGTTCGCTTCCGTCTTTTTTTGGACGACCTGTCGGACGGTTTCATCTAGATCTACTGGGGTTATTTTTTGGCCCTTTTCTCTTTCCGCGGTTGTCACCTCTCACACACCTGCTTCTGCTGCTACTCTCATCACTTACATGTGTAATCTATTATTCGTTGTGCTTTACGTATTCACTTGAAGGGGGTCCAGTTACTCACGTCCCCAGCGCCTTCGTTACATCCCCTCAAGTATTTCCATCTCTGTTATAAAGCCACCCTCTCTCTGCATTTTCCCAAGCCCCAATTTTTCCCGGGCTCTTACAAAGTAAGTAGAAGAGTAGCCGTTGAGCCGTCGTCTTGAGGGTTTGTTTCGTACGCGTTCGGCTAGGCAGAATAGGTTGTAAGTAGGTCAGGTCAGGGTTGTAAGGAAAAGAAGGTCGAGCTGCGTAAGCCTCTCTCGCGCTACTCTAGAAACCCTTCATCCCCCCCCCCCCCCCCCCAGTCCAAGCCCCCCAAAAAAGAACGTCGACTCCCCCATCCATCATCCTTTCCTGTCGGCGCGAAACCTACAAACCCTACCACCTACATACCCTTCATTACACACCCACGGGCCATCTATACGAAAGGGAAATCCCCACCCACCATTACCACCACCACCGCCTACCTCCACTGCCATAATCTGGGCCCCCATACCATACCAGTCCCATACCATTCACTCTACCACCTTCCCACAACCCTCAACCCTCGACGACATCTACATACTTACTCACTCCTTCTCCAGAATACTTTCGTCGTCGTCTATCACTCGATCCATCTATCCGACATCTTAGATACCGATATTCCTCGGTTGTTGGTTTTTTGGTTTGGTTTCGTGTGTGTGTAGAGAGTAGAGTATTGAGTGCAGTGCAGTTGCTTCTTTGGAATACTCCACTCCAACACCTCCACTCGATCACTTACCCACTCCTGTTGTGGTTTTGCCTGCTCCTCTCCGGGTCCTGCAACACTCACTCGATCACTTCCACCCCCAACCCAACGGCAGCCAACCCGGGCCCTGTCACCTGTCGTCGTCATATCGATTGTGTAGACTAACAGCCTCTGAGCCTTCTTCTCTCCTCAACCACCCAGCAGCGACAATAACAACACCAACCTTCCACTCATTAGCAGTGCAATAATATAGCAACGAACAATTCTCCTCACACTCTTCGAGAAAGAGAAGAGAGAGAGAGAGAACAACCACCTAACCGCTCGACATATATCTCACCCTCTACCCTCGTTATAGCATTCAACATAACCACAATGTCAGGATTCCCAAATCCTTCCGACGACCACGAGGCGTGGGCAAAGCACTTGACGAGCCGCTATCAAGATGTCATGCACAACAAGCGTACCGACGTGCTAACAAAGCAGACGCGCAACCTTTCACTAGGAGGTTCCTCATCACGACCGACACCATCGCCACAACGTCCAGCGCTTTACCCGCCATGTCCTACAACCGCCCCACCACCTCCTCCACCTCCACCACCACCACAACTTCAGAAATCAAGGTCGAAATTCCAACTCACATCGGCGAGCACCTCAAGATCACAGGAAGTTGGCCCGGATGGTCTCCCGGCGTATACAAGGACCGCACCAAAGATTCCTGTAGCCCCAACCGACTCGGCATCAATAAAATTCCGAAGTATGTTGATTTCGCTGTCAGCGACGCCGACAAGATATGAAAATCCGGGGCTATTAGACGAAGCGCTTGGGGTGATTCCGTTGAACAGGATATATCAGGAGGCGGAGGAAGAGAGCCAGATCTTGTTGGTAGAAGCTAGGAGTTTAGGGAAGGAGAAGGCGAAATGGGGATACCAGGATTGCGTTATCCAGGCTTTATTGAGGTGGGTTTTGCTGGTTCTTTTATCCCGAGAGATTCTCTTTGTGCTTTTTTTGGGGTGGTGGATATTCGGGAGCCTGCGTTGGTGTATCACGAATTTGAGGAGGGATGCAGGGTTTCCCATGGATGAGACGAACTGTAGTTCGTTGAATTGTCGTTTTCTTGCCGGGGTTTCTTTGTCTTGCGGGTGGATTGCTGACTTGGGATTTCTTGATATCTAGATGGTTCCGACGGGATTTCTTCACATGGGTCAACAATCCCCCATGTGCACGCTGCTACTCAGAGACAACACCAGAAGGACTATCACCAGTGACTGATGAGGAATCGGCTCGAGGTGCATCACGGGCAGAGATCTTCAAGTGCAATCAGTGTGGACAATATGAGCGATTCCCTCGATACAGCGATGTATGGACATTGTTGGATACACGTCGGGGCAGATGCGGGGAGTGGGCAAACTGTTTCTCGATGCTGTGTCGGGCAGTCGGAAGTCGCGTGCGCTGGGTATGGAACAGCGAGGACCACGTAAGTGTATTCCGTTATACAAAATGTGAACCAAGTATACGGTTACTGACACCCGAATCAGGTCTGGACCGAGGTATACTCAGAACACGCCCGCCGTTGGGTGCATGTCGACGCCTGCGAGGAGGCATGGAACCAGCCACGGCTATACGCTGAAGGCTGGGGCAAGAAGATGGCATATTGTATCGCCTTCTCACACGACGGTGTAACCGACGTGACCCGCCGCTATGTCCGCAACACCCGCACACAAGCCCTCCCACGAACACGATGCCCCGAGGAGGTCCTCCACTACATCATCAAGGAGTTGCGCGAGAAGCGCCGCGATAAGCTCAGCCCTGAGGACGTTAAGCGGTTGGAGAAGGAGGACCGTGCTGAGGAGAGGGAGCTTCAGTTGTATATGTCGCAGGGCCAGGCACAGGAGGAGAAGTTGCAAGCTGGTTCGACGTCATCGAGGGGTGATGTGGCACATGGCGACCTGAAGAGGCCCATTGGAAGACAGAGTGGTAAGATTACCATGGTCTCTGAGTTCTATCGCTTTTACTGACTTTGCTACTAAAGGATCAACGGACTGGAAACATCGACGAGGTGAGGATGGCGTCAATGTAAATGCCGAATCCCCATTGGGGATTAACGAGCATAGGATGCACGAAGGCTATTAATCTCGGCCCGCATTTTCCGGGATGTTTTTATTTGTTTGGTCTCTGGTCGGATTTCGGGGCTGTAGGTCGCATTGCAACAATGACATGATTTTTGGAAGGGTTTCACACAATCGGGCTTGAATTTGGATGGGGGGGTTTCGACATTTGCATGGATATAAGCGAACGACCAACGGGCACGCCACACCACAACAATAACCCACTCCACTGTAAGGAGTCTTAACATGAAGGACCATCACCACCGTCAGCACTTTCTGCAACAACTTTTATGTTGCTGTTTTTATTTTTCGTTTCTTTACTCCCCTTTTGGGGATTATCCATCCAACAACCACCAACCATCGGTGACGAATGTATGGATTTTGGGGCGCGGGAATTAAAAGGCGTTTCGTTTATTTTGTCTTGTTTTATATCAAGAATTCTTTTTCTTTTTTTTACATTCGGGGTTGGGGGACTTTTTTGGGAGGTTTTTATGTTTGGTTCGTTTTCTGTTTTGGTTTCTTTGGGGGAGCTGTGACGTCTGTTCGTTTGGTTTGGCAATTGGGCGGGCTAATCTTTATAGCTTATTGCTTATTTCTTGTGTATATTCTTTCTTTCCTTCTTTTTACACATTCTCTATTTCTTCCTTATATGTGTGGTCTTCCTCCACCTCCTCGCAGACAGACATACCTACCTACTCTAACATTTATTTCTCTTCCCTTTGTTTTAGCTCTCTTTTTGTCATTTGGATTTCCAGATCGGATATATAAGTGTGTATACAGCAAGCAGCGGGTATATTGGTTGGCGAGGGGCGGGTACAGGTATCTGCGAAATTCTATATCTGGGTGGAGGCTTTTTCTGAGGAAACCAGCCTTACTACTGCGTTGATCTTCATTTTTTATTTTTTATTTTCTAGTTGTGCCTGGATGGCGCTCGACTTGTGGCCCCGCCGTTTCTAGGCCATTTCTCTGGATTATTATATCCTTCTATCATGATACGTTTCCCATGTTTATTGCTTTATATCTTTGCGACGGTGTACTTAGGAGTTCTTTTTTTCCGTTTTTCGACTCTTTTTATTTTTTTACTTCCTGGAGCCGGGTGGGTTGTGCATTTTTTTTAGATATCTTTTTTTTATATAACTTGCAGGAGGGCAGCTTAGTTAGAGACCACTGAATTCAAAAACTGGGCCAGCGAGGTATCGCAAGGGTCAAGGGGTGTATTTACAAATCACTTTTTTTCCAGCGGTCCTAAAAGCTTAGCTAGTTGGTAATCAACAAAAGATCTTAAGAGTACTTGAGAGCAATATATCAAATCACTAGTTCGAAATACCAGTTGTGTTTTTTTGAGTTTTCATCTTACTCCTTCATTGAATTCCCCCGATGGGTGACGAATCCTCCGCGGTCTGTCGACTTGAAGTTACTATGGAGGCCTGGGCAGGATGACAACTCAGTCACTCGTGCCACTTTACTCAGTGTCATCACTTGAGAGAGTGAGGGGGCAGAGGTATAATAGACTCAAAGGAGTGCTAACTAGCGGTGGTGACGAGGCCTGGGCGGTCTCATCATCGTCATTATCATCAACATCGAGGGGTGGCCTCCGGTAACGAGGTGCCACATATATATCGCCCAGCAGCGGTCACTTCCTTTCACTCACGCTCTGGGGTGGCAGGTTCCGCACATAAGTTATAGTGGGGGAAGTGGCAGGGCGCCAGAAAAAGTGACTCGCCGGGTTGCGCACCAGGAAAGAGGGGGAGAACGAAGGTAGGGGGTCGAGTGATCCCTCATGAGTCCTAAGAAAAGAAAATATTAAGCGGATAAATGTAATTCCTTTCCTTCATTCCAGTAAATTCCGAAGAACGCGTGTCCCCCAAGACCTAAGCCGGATATTGCTTAGTGGGGGTTCATTTGAAGGGTGGCTGGATGGGGGATAAATAAATGAAGGGCATAATCCGAGTTTTCGTGTTTTATCTTCTAAGCCGGCATGTTGATCTGAGTACATAGGGCTGGAGTGAGATCGGATAAGAGGATTTGGAATCGTTGGTTCCATATTCATTTCTATGTTGAGGTTTGAGGTTTTAAGATTGGTTCTTGGCCCCAACCAGTAAACTAGGAAACAAAACTTCCTCGCTAGTTGGCTAGAGCGCGGGCCCTAGCTTCGGCCCAATACATCCGAGATTCGAGTGTTTGCCGAGTTGTTTTAGTGCGATCGAGTAAAGCTTAAAAAGCTCGCCCAAGGCCGTGCGGGTTGAAACATGCAGACCTTTGAAAGCTGCAATGCAGTATATATTTCGTTCTCCTAAAAATATCTTTGCTGTTTGCGATCTCTGGCTGGGATTTGATGTTGACAGAAAAGCGGACCCTAATAGATAATTTTTTTTTAAAAAGGGTTTCTTTCTTCCTGGGGGTGACCTGGTCAATTGCCTTAATCGCACATCGCCGGAGTACTGCCGCCGCTGTATATCGTGCGATAGGGCGCAGGCAGACCTATTGATTAGCCAGACTTGCGGTTAAAACCGGTAAAGATATGGAGTCTTTCCTTTATTCTCTCAACACTGCTAGAGTTATCCCCATTGTAGTTGTGCTTGTGGCGGAAGTCACGAGTGATATCGCATGATTTGAGGCTTGCCAGCCACAGTAGTATTACATCATGCCGCTCCCAGGGCCGGGGGACGCGTATGCCCACGCTGCTTTACTAATCAGAATACCACCATCTTTTATTTTTGCTCCCCCCTTATAATTACCTGCAGGTGCACATATGCACGAATTTCCTGCGTATGTGATGTGAGGTCCTTGCATGATGTGTATTGGACGTCTCGGAAGTACGCCATAGTGAATGGTACGTGAGGCGTAAGTACCTATATAATCAATCGGGCCGGCCCGTTAGTTCAACGATTTGAAGGCTGGAGTGAGTTGTTGCTAGCTACGACTAACTTTGATTCCCAGACACAGATTCGTTAAGTCGGTGAGAAATCCTCTGCGGAGACTTTTCGTACCTATATACAATATTAACAAGCAAAAATACCACATTAAGCTTAACCCGGCACCCCAATGGACGAGTCATGGATGATCCCACTATATCAACGACAGCGATGGTTACCTCTTAGCCGCTATTAAGATTGCCTTCTTTCATGTGCCCCTAGGGGGAATTGGCGAGGACTACGGACGTACGGATTGCCTTGGTATGTGTATACGTGAATTAGAAGATATCACAAGCCTGTTCTATTAGCAAAGCTTGGAGGCGGAAAGATAGGTGAACAAGGGAAGAAAGTAACTCGAATGAGACCAAAATCTCCTTTCTGCACAGCTCTCACAGCTGTCTGTAGAGTCCATCTTGTCAACGGGGGTGTTTTATACTACCAGGGTGAAGTAAAGCACCCCCGGAGTTCCGTTGTGAGGGACCCGTTCTTCCCGATATTTGCACATATATGTACGGTATCATAGTTTGTACAAAGGTGCATTCGAAGCCGCATCGTTTTTACGTGGAATAAATAACCTTAATCAGCGTTAGAATAACTATAGGCTTAAATAATTAAACGAAGGGGCTGTGGGGCTGTGGGTAACTTATCTATATATAAACATTAAGAGTTAAAGGTTTAAGGCATAATGTGGGACAACATAATTGGATATATAGATATTATCACGCCACATTTGAAGCTTGCATGAGTTAGAAAATGTCAAAACCATCGCCCCATAGCCATCGGAGAATTAAATCCTGATAAGTCTATATCAGTTCTTTATATAATATCTGTGAACACCCGGGCTTATCACGTTTAACTATGAATTACGAAAAAATGGGGTAGTGTTGGATAACTGATCTAATTGAACGAAGTATTAGACTCAGTGCATAAGCGGTAGTTTAGGTTATCGCACACCACCAGGCCAGAGGCTTCTATAGCTAGAATTAGCCCGACTGATATCACCGTTGAGACAGCTTCTAGGTAAGTTAGTCTTCTATAAACATTTGATTTATTTCACAACACCCGGACAGTACCTTCAACCGCTACAATAAAGCTGGCAGAACCCTATCCTAACAATGTGAGTTCTCCTGCGATGGCATATTCATATGTCATCCCCGGATGAATAGCGATGTTTATATGATTGAAAACGATCTCGCCTGGGGTGATCCGCCATTAGAGGTGTGGTTTTATATAACCACAACTTCTCAGCTATGAACTGTCTATTGGATCGATTTGGTTCGTGGAGAGCGCTTGATAGCTGTTAGTCTTTATAGGAAGTTGATGAGCCTAGACCTGTGTAGAATCGGGCGTGTATGAGATGGTTTGTGATGGAGGTGTTACTTAAGTAACGTCAATAGCGAGACAAGAGACAGGAGACAGGGGGCTAACCCACCCCCCGCAATCTTATCACAACGTAGCGATTCGAAAGTTTATCTTTTTATTGAGATTTTGAGACACGCAAGACGGTATAGCGAAGTTTTTAGATTGTGGCTTCTTTGTATACGTATCCTAACTATCACCTGTAATAAACACTCCAAATTGACTTGTATATTCCATCCCCATTATATAAAAAGGGAGCGGGTAGATACCCTAGCTTTAGATTGAAGTAAATCATATGATAGTGTGATTCAAATTAATATATCTATGCTTTGATATGGCCTCCACGTCTAGTACACGTACAATGGAGTACATGTAGTTCTATTAGATGTAATTCTACAACATGGGCTGTGTCTGACTATGCTTCTGGGGTGCTGGGAATCATGCTTGGTTTTCAGTATGTATGATTGTAGGTATAAATTATGGTCGCAGTTCATAATATTGGTGCCAACCAAAGCCCTGAGTCTCCTATTGTTAACACTGAGAAAGAGATAGGACGCGAGTGATCGCTGGTGATAGAGGTTCAACAATATGTTGATACGACACCCTACACTACATGTTTAAGTACATATAGGTGCATGTTCTTCTTACGCTGATCATAAAAACTTATATACATGTACCGGGTTAAGGCTTCGCGATTGATATAATACCCAGGACTCAAACTTGCGGCGCATTGAAGTATAGTGCACGTGAAGTGATGTTTAATCGGGGTTTCGCTTTATAGGGGCTACTCAGTACAATAATCGCAGCAGATATACACTTGAAATATATCTAATAATCTTCTTTGATATTACCAGGAAGTGTTTCCTTTACCCATCTTTTTAAATACGCCAGCAGAGTTATGTTGTTGACGGGTCGAGTGTCACTGTCAATGAAAATAAGGGAGGAGCTAAGCTTCTTATTTCTCGACCTAATACATAATTAGAATACCCTTTTGATATGTGTGATATATCATCACTCAGCGCGTTTAAAATTGCATATATGGCTGACAAATAAGTTGGCAGAGGATGGTTTTTGTTTTGTTTTATCTTTTTAGACCATTCGGCTCTGAGAAGTGTACTCTACTGTTGATTAAATACCTTGTGTTGCGTCGCCTAACAACCCCTAACACCCAAAACTTAAAAGTCTCATCAACTACACCACCATGATCCCCGGAATCGGCGTCGACCTCCTCCACCTCCCCCGACTATCCACTCTCCTCTCTCGGCGCAACGGCCACTACCTCAACCGGTTCGCCCGACGCATCCTCACCCGGAACGAGCTCGCCGTATTCCAGCGAAAGCTCGGGGAAGCAGATAGCGCCACTAGCGAATGGGGAAGAGAAGGTGGATTGGTGAGATGGCTTGGTGTGCGCTGGGCTGCCAAAGAAGCTGCATTCAAGGCTACTGGAGGAGTTAGAGGTGCTCTGGGTTGGAAAGAGGTCCAGGTGGAGTATCATCCTTCGGGTAGGTACCTGCGCTGCATGCAAGGTTGTTGTAGATTGGGTCGGACTAATTGGAGCAGGACAACCATACCTGTCGGTTTCGAGAGGGCCGGAGAAAGCAGTGGGCGGGTTAAGTATCTCCCATGATGGTGAATATGTTATCGCGATGGCGATGCTGCCAGCTACTCCTGCTCAGAGATGAGGCGGCGAATTGTAAGGTTTAGGGGGGGCTAGACGGAGGATTGACTTCCTGGTTCTTTAGTTTGAACTTTTAGAACAGAGGGCGGCGGTGATGATGTAGATTGTATATAAATCTAGATGCTTGCACCGAAAAGCTGTATGATAAACTTGTCATGTACCGGTACATACTAGTAGACTTAGAGCTCCCAGTTTTGATATCAATAATACTCGGGGCTAGAGAGCTCCTACCCAACGCACGACTGAACACCAGGCCTGGCCACGATGACCTCTTGAATTTGGGAAAAGTTGCACCGCCTTCTCAGGTATCCCTATTTAATCTCCTCCCCATATTAGCCCGTCCATAGCGGCCCAAACCTCCAGCACTCGGCAACATACATGCGAAAGTGGAGAATCTTTCCTCTTATTCTAAGATACACACATACAGATCTAGAAGCCAATCCAGCCCACAAAAAGACTCACGGAAATAATTTTTACAAGAAGCAAACCGGAGAAACCCAATCACGCACGAAAAAGGAAGAAAGAAGCCAGAAGCCCAACCCAGCCCAAAACCACTATACAAAAATGGCTACGGAGAGAAAGAAATTGAAATAAAAAAGCAATATATATACGCCAACCAGCCAGTATCATAGTAAGTAGTAGTAACTAGAATCCCTTTTTTTCTTTTCTTACTCAACCTCCTCCATCAGTCCGTCTAAATCTACTTTTGGTGCTTCTTCAGCCTCTCCTTCTCATACTCTGCAATGAGCTCCTTCTGCATATGAGGTGGCGCGGCTGCGTAGTGCGAGAACTCCATGCTGAATTCACCCTTGCCCTGGGTACCAGCTCTCAACATACTTGAGAAGCCAAACATGGCATTCAGCGAGCACATGGCGGTAAGTGTGAAGTCCTCCACACCGATCTCAGAGTCCTCAATGACAGCGTTACGCTTGTTCATCAGACCGACGATGTTACCCTGGAACTCATTGGGTGAAGAAATGGAAACCTTCATGACGGGCTCAAGGATGACTGGCTTAGCTTCCTTGAAAGCCTTGCGGAAGGCTTGCTCAGTGGCCATTTTGAAGGACATTTCGGAAGAATCCGTCATGTGAGTGGCACCATCGTTAACAACCATGTGTGTACCAAGGACTCTGTGGCCTACAAGAGGACCTTTCTCGCAAGAGCGCATGAAACCCTAGGAATAATCAGGACGTGTTATTGGCCATTGAAATGCGGGTATAGTCACCTTCTCACACGCAAACAAGAACTTCTCAGAAATAGTTCCACCAATAACCTCCTGCTCGAACTTGTTGAAGGCGAGATCTCCAGTAGGCTCCATGAATCCCATAACTCTGGCGTAATCACCGGCACCACCAGTCTGCTTCTTGAGGGTGTGGTCGAAATCGATACGCTCAGTAATGGTTTCTCTGTACGCAACCTCAGGCTTACCAGTGATACAGTCGACGTTGTATTCACGACGCATACGCTCGACGTAGATATCTAGATGCAGCTCTCCCATTCCTGAGATGATGGTCTGCTGTGATTCAGGGTCGACGTGGCAGCGGAAAGTAGGATCCTCACGCTGGAAGCGATTGATGGCCTTGGAGAAGTTTGCAGTTTCTTTGGAGTTCTTGGGAGTGATGGAAAGGGAAATGACGGGTTCGGGAACAAACATGGAAGTCTTTCCATAGCATTAGTAAAGAGTGGGTCACAAAAGGTATGGTATGGTGAGGGTTTACCATAGTGTACGGCAATCCACCATCTGTGAAAGTGTCTCCAGACGCACAATCTACACCAAACACGGCACAGATTTCACCAGCACCAATCTCCGAAACCTCCTCCATCTCATTCGAGTGCATTCTCACGATTCTGGGAACCTTGATCTTCTTCTGCGTCTTCGCATTAAACACATACATACCCTTCTTGAGCATACCCTGGTACACCCTGATGTAGGTCAACTGTCCAAAGTTGCCCTCTTCGAGCTTGAACGCCAATCCTACAAACGGCATGCTGTTGTACGGGATCAATGACACTGGTGCCTCAGCCCTGCGCCTATCGAGAGCAAGATTTGGTACTTCAGCCGGGTTAGGTAGATAGTCTACTACGGCATCAAGCATGGGCTGAACACCCTTATCCGCGAGGGCAGAGCCCATGCACACTGGTGCAAATTTACGTGCGATGGTCTGGCGACGGATAGCAGCCTTGAGCTGGTCAATAGAGGGGGTCTGTTCCTCGAGCCATAGCTCAGCGATCTCGTCATCAACATCGGCAAGGGCGGCAATGAGGACGCCGCGTTTCTCCTCACAGAGAGCCTGGAGGTCTGCCGGGATGTCTTTTTCGACGACGTTGATACTGAGGAAATGTGAGTGACAATCCATGAAGATGGCAAGTATGACTTACCCTTTCGGCCCCTCGAAGTACAGAGCTCTCATCTTGATCAAATCAACCACACCCTGGAACGAGTCCTCACCGCCGATCGGGACCTGAATAGCTGCCGCCGGTAGCTTCAACTTGTGGTTGATCTGCTCAATTGCCTTCCACGGATTCGCACCCATGCGATCCATCTTGTTCACAAAGCACACTCTCGGAACATCGTAACGTTTCATCTGTCTATCGACGGTGATGGTCTGCGACTGTACACCGCTGACAGCACACAAGATCATGACAGCACCATCCAGCACTCGGAGAGCTCTCTCCACCTCGATCGTGAAATCAATATGTCCTGGTGTGTCGATAAGATTGATGTGGTACTTCTGGTCAACGCCGTCCTCCTTCTTGACCCAGTCACAGAAGGTCGCTGCAGACTGAATGGTAATTCCCTTCTCACGCTCAAGATCCATCGAGTCCATCTTTGCGCCGACGGCGTCTTTACCGCGGACTTCATGGATGGCTTTGATACGACCCGTGTAATAGAGGACACGCTCTGTGCAAGTGGTTTTTCCAGAATCAATGTGCGCCTATTAGGTGTGAAGGGATATTTAGCAATTTGCTTCAATTGTTTCGCAAGTAAGTAAACAGGTACTACTAACCGCAATACCAATGTTGCGCACTGTGCGTAACCTCTCGGCTTCCACGGGGTCCATCTTGCTGTGAATTTCCTCCAGCGAGACCAACTCTGGTGGCTCCTCAGCTCTGCCATCAAGAACCAAATTAGCATCCTCGTGCCCACTATATTCAATTGAACCCACAAAAAAAATTAAAAAATTTAAAACCTACACAATGGCCTCCGCGACACTCGCGTACCCCCTAGTCCTCATCCTCAACGCCGGCAGTGCAGCTCTCGCCAGCACTGGCGCCGCGAACGACGAAACTTTCTTCACGGTCCCCAGTCTTGCAACCGGGCGCGCAAGAGGCGCCGTCGTCCTCAGAGCAGAGGAGGAAAAGGACCGGAAAGCCCGGCATTGGGATCTGGATATCGCAGCTCTCATAATTGCAATGCTTCCTGGAGTGGAGTTGGGTGGCGGGTGAAATCGAGATTTGCTCTTCTCCAGGGACGGGTGAGGCAGGGTTGAAAAGAAAAAAAGACCCGGCAATGGTGGGTTGCTTATCTTATCTATCAGATCTAGGTGGGGCAGGGAGCCGCAGGGCCGAGTGAGGGTCCCTAACCCTTGTAGGTTCATGATATATCACTCGTGGAGACCCATTCTCTCTTTCGCGAATGGAGACTTATGTAGATGAAATTCTGCTGGGTTTTTTTTTCTATCGGCGTATTGCCTAAACTTAAACTAAAAGTTGATGGAAACAAGGAATAACTTGGGTATCGCAAGATATAAGATATTTACATTTACTCTAGTAAAAAAAAAAAAAAAAAAGAACAAAAAGTTCCCAACTCCCATCCCCTGCGGCCGGGGTGGAAGCTGGTAATCTTCCGCCGAAATCACCACCGGATGGTGTGAAGTCAGCGTGGGTTGAACGTGCGCGCATTATTTAAGACACAGCTGGTATTGAGACAATGGCTCGGCCAAATACCGCTGGGACATCCAACCCGATAACGACAGCGTGTCTTTTGGTACACTTGGCCTTGAATCTTTAGCATACGCGTACACGGTTCCAGAAATACTCTTCGCTGGGGTATTTTACACCTTTGCGCTGAATCCAGCTTTTGATCGTGACCCGACTTCTAGTACTTGTAACCTTGCACAACCCCACCGCCATCTTCGGTCACTTGACTACAGACTCCTGTCTGGTGATGAACATACACTAAAAGCTGATGTCTCGAGACTTTAATCATCGCGACAGAGCAATCGACCAATACCAGAGGTGAGGGCACCCACAACTGCTCTCTCACCGCCGCCCCCAACAACTCCATAAGACTCTCGAGAATGCTGATGACTTAACACTCCCCTTCCCCCGGATCCGTCGAGCCTGCTCTCGACGTCCTCGACGTCCTCGCCTACGGGCTCACTGAAGTGCCTCCTATACCCCAAGTGCATTAACCCTAGACTAAGCCGACACAGATCCAAACTACCCCCTCGCTTCGTCTGGAGCGACTGGAAAGATGAGTCCAAATATGTGTAAATAGTGACGACAATATAGAGAGAATTCCAGAGATAGATCACCTCATCGATCAATAAACCCTTGGCGCCGGATGATTAGGTTTATCGTTTAGCCAGCCGAAATCTTCAGTCTTATGGAGGAGGAAGAGTAGGAGGGAGGATGAAGAAAGGAAAGAAATGGGACTGTATATAGATACGCTGGGGGGACTCGTGGATGGTGTTGCGTGGTCAAATTTTAGCGAGTGATAATTCATGATGATGATGGAGAGTTTGCTATGATCACCATATATCACTCGTTTGAATCACCCGCTCCGTGTTAAGGATGATGTTCGAGTCTAGTATCGTTTACTATGTGGATATTTACAGACCGTCCTTAGAGTAGGTGGAGATTTAGAGCAAATGATCCTATGATAGACAATTGAGTTACTTCTCTTCGTTTTCGCACCTCGTTTAACATCAGTGTGGTTCACGAGATATGTCAAGAGCAGTTGAAAGAGGTGTATTGGAGTACCGCTATCTACGCCTCATAGAACATTCGTCTCAGGCTCCTTCGAAGATTTGGTATTCTTTAAACCAAAGGTAAGAGAGGAAGTCCGAAGTAGCACGTCGTAAGAGTGGGATTCAGACGTGTCCTGAGGATAGGGACGAGGGGTGAATGTACAGACCGCCAGCTCAACGGAAAGGCCAAAGATCAAAGATCACCAATTTTTGGGCGCTGCCGACTGCGAAATCTAGTATTTGGGGGGGAGGGGTTGAGTTCTCGCGGATGCTATCACTTCGGCCTATACGCTGGTTAGGTATGAGCTGAGTAGGGCAGGATCAGTGTGAACTTATGTTAGTGCCTGTACTGGTCATCGTAAGTAGATGATGGTTCGCTATCGCGGGGCCCCGACACGAGAGAAGATTGTTGGGAGGGTGTGGGGCCTGGATAAAGGACAGAGTCATGCCGCAACCACCAGCGCCAATGATCATCTTCACTCAATCGCACCGCACACACCACACTCAAGATCCAAATCGTTACCAGAAAAAAAAGCCATCATTGGAATTCTACTAAAAACAATAAACTAAGCCAACCTAACTAACCCTGCAAATTTCCCACGCCACCAAAGGTAATACTCTTGATGACTGTGTACTCATCAATCCCGTACTTGCTACCCTCTCTCCCAAAGCCACTCTCCTTGATGCCTCCGAAAGGCGCCGCAGTATCACTGATGATTCCAGTGTTGACGCCCACCATGCCGACTATTCACCATATCATTAGTATAAGTTACTATTACCAGAGAGAGAGAAAGAGAGGGAAGGGCAAACCTTCAAGCGCCTCAGCAACCCTCCAAATGCGCCCAATATCACTACTAAAGAAATACCCCGCCAGCCCAACCTCCGTATCATTAGCAAGCCCCACCACCTCCTTCTCCGTCTTAAACCTGAACACGCCGGCCACGGGCCCAAACGTTTCCTCCCTCGAGATCCGCATCTCACTCGTCAACCCCTTCAACACCGTCGGCTCGAAGAAGTTCGGCCCCAACTGGCTCACCCCACCGCCCACCACCGCCTCCGCACCCTTGCCCACCGCATCGTCCACATGCTCGCGCACCTTGCCTACCGCGCGATCATGGATCAACGGCCCATGGGTATTCTCGCCGTCAAACCCGCTGCCAACCTTGAAGCCACGCACCTTCTCGGCCAGCTTGGCCACAAACTCGTCGTGGATGCCGTCCTGGACGTAGATGCGGTTCGCACACACGCACGTCTGTCCCGACGACCGGAACTTACACCCAATGGCGCCCGCCACCGCCGCATCGACATTCGCATCGTCAAAGACAATAAACGGCGCGTTTCCACCAAGCTCGAAAGACAGCTTCTTCAGCGTCCCCGAGCACTGCTTCATCAGCAGCTTCCCGACTGGCGTCGACCCCGTGAACGACAGCTTCTTGACCACAGGGTTAACACATAGCTCCTCGCCCACCGCCGCCGTGTTCGCCGACGCCGTTATAATATTTACTACCCCCTTCGGCATCCCCGCGCGCACCGCCAGCTCCGCCAGCGCCAGCGACGTCAGCGGCGTCTCCGCCGGCGCCTTCGCAACCACCGTGCAGCCGGCTGCGATGGCGGGCCCGATCTTGCGCGTGATCATTGCGGCAGGGAAGTTCCAAGGTGTGATGAGCGCGCAGACACCGACGGGCTGGCGGATGGTGACGACGCGGTTGCCGCGCACGGAGGAGGGGATGGTGTCGCCGTAGAGGCGGGGGGCCTCTTCGCTGAACCATTCGAGGAAGGAGGCGGCGTAGGCGACTTCGCCGCGGGCGTCGGCGGTGGGCTTGCCGTTCTCGAGGGTGATGAGGGTGGCGAGGTCGTCGGCGTTGGCGATGATCTGGTCGTACCAGGCGCGCAGGAGGCGGGCGCGCTCGCGGGGCAGGGTGTGACGGAAGGTTTGCAGGGCGGTGTGCGCGGCGGTGATGGCCGTGCGGGTTTCGGCGGCGGTGAGGTCGGGGATGGTGGCGATGGGGGTGTTGGTGGCGGGGTCGGTGACTGTGAAGGTGGTGAAGGCGGGGGAGGTGATGAATTGGCCGTTGATGAAGGCGGCTTCTTTTAGGAGGGAGGGGTCATTGAGCTGAGGTGAGTTAGCTAGCTGTAAACTATGGACCGACTACATTATGCTCTGTCTTATAGGTCATTGTGATGTTCTGAAGTACTTACTTTAGGGACATTGTGCGTAGAGAGCGACATCTTGAGAATTGTGTGAGTGTTTGCCTGGAATAAGGGACGGAGAACTCTGGGACGAGTGAAGAGTCGTAACATCACTGATATATATAGTAGAATTAGAGGAAGTTGTGATAATTATTAACGGCTAGATAAGAGCTATAGGAGGCCTCTAGATGCGGGGAAACAGCAATTGTGGAGTCCTTACTTCCCGGCGATAACAGTAGCACCGCAGGGTCAGTAAGGTGCGAAGTAAAGCGGAGTTGACGTTGGGTTGGTGGTGATGCCTCGGGAATGCCTATTACGACATCGTGCAGCTCCCCACCATGCAATGATCATCGTGCAAGATGGCTGCTTTTGCCGAGGTACAGCATGGTTCAGACGGGGGGTTAAGCAGTGATACCCGGCGGAGGGAGTACGAGCTGCTTGATAATCATGGAGTGGGAAGTGAGGCCTTAAGTACTCGAGAAGAAGCAATTCGTAGCAGAGAAATGCTATTGAGTTGTCTACCCCACACTTTTGTGTTTTGATATCGGAGGTGGGGGCGGGGTGCCAATGATTGCTACGACAGCTACTTTAGTACATTACCTGTAGCTTCATGTGCCATGTCCTGTACTTAGGTTGTTTCTACTTTTTCAATCGGGATAATCCGACTGTAGAAGAAGCTGTATCCGCAGTGGGACACCGGGCGCGAAGCACAGAGCGCCCTGTGCCATGCGAATATCGTGAGATGCGGAGCTCAGTCTCTCAAGGCTATATCTATTCTCCATATCCACTCCCCGGCCATTGCCATGGGATTGAGCAGTAGAGCATCCTACTCGTCGGTTCTGAGCAAGATCAAAACACAGGGCCACAAGGCAAGAGGGCTGGGAAGCTTTAATTAACTAGAGTACGCTTGTCCTCAAATACCACTCAAACTCTTTATTTCTCGGCAAAGTGGACACTGCTCCAGAGACAAGATGCGGGAGGTCTTGACTCTCGATGTTGGAAGCGGAAGAGATTGCCAAAACAGCTCTTCTAGACCTTTAACGTTGATGTAAGAGCTGGACAAAGCTTTTGACTCACGCCGAGCTTGAGCTAGCCTTTGGCTTCCCGCTGATGACTAATCATCATGATAATGCTCCGCAACTCCGGCCGACAAGGTCGACGGTAAAGGCGCCGACCGAACAGCAGGAGTTGCCACGGATGCCACTTCTATGCGGGGTACCATGGGGGCCCTTCTTCCCTAAGCCGTGTTTCGAGAGCCTGTTTCCCGAAACCTCTAGGAGCGTTGTGCCCCACCGAGTGACAACCTGTGATTACTAGAAGCAGGAGAATTTCATGGCTCTGATTGGCCGGAATGGAGAACAAACAATTCGAAGCCCCAGGCATCAGAGCCATGTTTTCTGCGGGCTCTTGCTACGGTATGAAGCAAAAATTTACATTTTTCCTCTGTGGATCTGTGGATCTCTCTCCCCCCCCGCATGACCGGGGCGGCGGTGTGTGGCGCGTACCGTAGATTCCAGTGGGTTCTGTCAGCATCGTTGCTGATTCCTCTTTCGGTTTCGGCTCACACAAAAAAAAAAGTTGGGCGAAATTTTTTCGCTGCAACCAGAACCGACCCGAGTAGGAAAAAAAAAGTTCATAAGGTCATCAACCCGCTCCTCATCTCTCGCAAGCACACCCCCCCCCCCATCACCACTACACATCATCTCTCCCACGACCATCATCGTTGGTTAATTGTTTTCACTGTTCTTGACGGAAGGCCCTTTTTTGTTTCAGTTCTTCCTTACATATCACTGTCATAATGGTTCTTTCAAGAATTGCCCGTGTTGTGAGTATTTCGTCACCACCCGCTCGCTGACTGACGTCGGTGGGGCATAATGGTCTACATCATCAACCACAACGCTGACTGAGGTTTGCTCTCACAGGCTCCCCGGGCTGCCCCTTCATTGAGGTCGTTTATCAAGCCTAATGTCACTCGTCCTTCACTATCCGCCTTCTCGCGGTTCAACTCCTCTGAGCCCAAGGTTCAGGGCCAGGTTATCGGTATTGATTTGGGTGAGTTTTACACTTCTGAGGAATTGCAATTTGATCGCAAAATTCAATTCCAGATAATTCAATTGGTTTCATTTTGACTGACATTGAATCGTAGGTACAACCAACTCTGCCGTCTCCGTAATGGAGGGAAAGGTTCCCCGCGTCATTGAGAACTCCGAGGGTGAGAATTTTTCATCCCCGCGCTCCGTCTTACCCGAGAAAATTGCTAACCGACTCCCGAAGGTGCCCGTACCACCCCCTCAGTTGTCGCTTTCACTGCGGACGGTGAGCGTCTCGTTGGTATCGCGGCCAAGCGTCAGGCCGTTGTCAACCCCGAGAACACCCTCTTCGCCACCAAGCGTCTCATCGGTCGTAAGTTCACCGATCCTGAGGTCCAGAAGGATATCGCCCAGGTCCCCTTCAAGATTGTTCAGCACACCAACGGAGATGCCTGGGTTGAGGCCCGTGGCCAGAAGTACTCTCCTTCGCAGATTGGAGGTTTCATCTTGCAGAAGATGAAGGAGACCGCTGAGGCCTACCTCAGCAAGCCCATCAAGAACGCCGTCGTCACTGTTCCCGCTTACTTCAACGACTCCCAGCGTCAGGCTACCAAGGATGCCGGTCAGATTGCTGGATTGAACGTTCTCCGTGTCGTCAACGAGCCCACTGCTGCCGCTCTTGCCTACGGTCTTGAGAAGGATGCCGACCGTATTGTTGCCGTCTTCGATCTTGGTGGTGGTACTTTCGATGTCTCCATTCTTGAGATCCAGAAGGGTGTGTTCGAGGTCAAGTCCACCAACGGTGACACCCATCTCGGTGGTGAGGACTTTGACATTATTCTTGTTCGCCACCTTGTCCAGCAGTTCAAGAAGGACTCTGGCATTGATCTCTCTGGCGACCGCATGGCCATCCAGCGTATCCGTGAGGCCGCTGAGAAGGCCAAGATGGAACTCTCATCTACTCTCCAGACCGATATCAATCTTCCTTTCATCACTGCTGATGCCTCCGGTCCTAAGCACATCAACACGAAGCTCACCCGTGCCCAGTTCGAGGCTCTCGTCGACCCTCTCATCCAGAAGACCATTGAGCCTTCCCGCAAGGCTCTTAAGGATGCTGGCCTCAAGGCTTCCGAGATCCAGGAAGTTATCCTTGTCGGTGGTATGACCCGTATGCCCAAGGTTGCCGAGACCGTCAAGAGCGTTTTCGGCCGTGACCCCGCCAAGTCTGTCAACCCCGACGAGGCCGTCTCCATTGGTGCCGCCATCCAGGGAGGTGTTCTCGCCGGTGAGGTTATGGACGTTCTGTTGCTCGACGTTACTCCCTTGTCTCTCGGTATCGAGACCCTCGGTGGTGTCTTCACCCGTCTGATCAACCGCAACACCACCATCCCCACCAAGAAGTCCCAGGTCTTCTCCACCGCCGCCGACTTCCAGACCGCCGTCGAGATCAAGGTCTACCAGGGAGAGCGTGAGCTCGTCCGCGACAACAAGCTCCTCGGAAACTTCCAGCTTGTCGGAATCCCCCCTGCCCACCGTGGTGTCCCCCAGATCGAGGTCACCTTCGACATTGACGCCGACTCCATCGTCCACGTTTCCGCAAAGGACAAGGCCACCAACAAGGACCAGTCCATCACCATTGCCTCCGGCTCTGGTCTCTCGGACTCTGAGATCCAGTCCATGATTGACGATGCTGAGCGTTACCAGGCCTCCGACAAGGACCGCAAGGAGGCCATCGAGGCTGCTAACCGCGCTGACTCTGTCATTAACGACACCGAGAAGGCCCTTAAGGAGTTCGAGGACAAGCTTGACAAGTCTGAGGCCACTACCATCAAGGAGAAGATCACTTCTCTCAGGGAGTTGGTTGCCAAGGCCCAGTCCGGTGAGGGTGGTGTCACCGCCGAGGACCTCAAGACCCAGACCGATGCCGTCCAGACCGCGTCTTTGACCCTCTTCGACAAGATGCACCGTGCCAGATCTGAGCAGCAGAACGCTCCCCCCGCCGATGAAGCTAAGCCTGCCGAGGGCGAGAAGAAGGAGTAAATGTAGCACTTCAGGAGCATAAAGAAGAAAAAATTATCTGGAAATGAATATATGTCTGGGAGCATAATGTGAAGTGGAAAAAAAGTACGTCGATGGGTGTGTCTTTTATGAACAAAAACAAAAGGGACGGGAAAAAAAGGGTTTTGCTGTTTAGATGTATTTTGCATATTTCTATCTCCCCGGGATGTCTTCACTTTCCTTTTTTCCTTTCTGTGTATGTATTTTTCTATTTTTTTTTTCTTCTCTCGTCTGTTTCTTTTCTTTTTATCTATGGGATTCTTGTGTCTTTTTACTTTCCTTTTGGTGTCGGGTTACGCATTACTAACTAACTACTTGTGTTCATAACAATTTCCCTCCACCCTTTCTTTTTCTTGCTTACTCTTTTATCGCTGCTTGTGCGGTGATGGGTGCTTTTTTTCTTTGTATAAAAGCTGCTCGAAAGAAGATCGATCTCCGCTCTAATGGTGTGTAAATATAACTTTTTTGTCCGCTTGGCTACAATTATGTGTGTGATGTGTGCGAGTGATTTCCTGTGAATACATCTACGGCAGAAAGAGACTAGGCTCTCGTAGAAAAGGGCAGAGCTTGACTGGTAATTGCCATAGTCTACATGGACTCGTGAACGATTTTCAGGGCGTGTTTGGGGCATCTTCAAATCGACGTTTTCCCCCTTTCCGTGGCATCCCTTTATATCTGGTGTTTGCTATAAGAATCCTTCTCTTCTATTAACGAAAACGGCATCTTCGAAAGTAGATCCTTCTTTGAGTATTGCAATAGTAAATTTTTAAACCATACCACTGTGTTTCGTTCGACGCCAATAACTGGCCTTCACTCCGGTTCTAAAAGACACGTTCCAATTACTCCTAGTCAATAAATCCGCTATAGAATAGAGTTTGTTAACTTTCTGGTCTCAAGCGTTATGGGGCAAGTTGGCCGAATAGCTACGTGGTTGGACTTGGTGAAGCATAGGTGTTAGTTACAAGATGCTATAAAGTTAAGCTGCGGCACCCGCTTGATCCAGCCATCATCACTCTCATCTTCATTTAGAGCAACAGAGCCTCCAGACCCCTGATAGCGAGACCTCGCCTGAAAGCATCTACACAGCTCCAATCGGAAAGGCGGCCGTAATTGACCTTCTCCCAGTGGTTGGCGGAGATGGGCGGCATGGACAGAATGGGAAGGCTACATACATAACCCCTTTGATTTGCCCGAGTCATAGAGAAGGAGACACACTACTGGACACCATCGCTTCACATCACATCACGGCGGAACTCAGATGAACGGAAACACATTTTATATTAGTGAAAAAAAAATACATATATTATGAAATTTTATCAACATAAACTTTGACGAGCGTTACAATACACTGCGCAGACGTACATGGGCATACTTACCTGCCTACCTTTCTATCCAAGACGCCTTCTTTCACGTGGCGCGGCATGAAGTCACTGCGAAATACTAAAACACCAGTCAGTTCCTTGTCCCAAAATGTAGGAAAGAGAGAATGATGGCGGTGATAGAATATAAAGGGGGTAAGAAGGGGCGTTGCTCAGATGGCCGTTCAATTGCTTAACCATTTATAAAGTCTTCAAGTTTGATCATGAAAATTTTGATGTTTCTCCTCATAGCAGCAGCGATGATAGTGTGGGTAGTGGTAGGGGAAGCGGGGGATGATGCAAAAGTGCGAAACAAAAAGGGGATTAACGCTTACCTTCTGCCTTCACAGTCCTCTCCCCTAAAACCCCGCCGCCCGTCAGTATCACCCCCATCTCCACTCCCCGCGCGCCAAACGGAGACATCCGAATAAGAGCCCGTCGCGCGCAGGCCCAACGCCAGCAAAGTGGCGAATAACCACACACTGGACAGCGCCATATAGTCTCGGTCCCAACACTGGTAACATTGGATCCCGCCAGGACAGAGACAGCCGAGTAAGCGTCAGAGCCCGGGGGACCAGCGTTGGGTAAACTTGCGGGCGAGATAACCCTGGCGAGTAACCGACCCGAGACTGGCTGCCAGGTGCTGCGTTGGGGGTGTCGTGGAGATGGGGGGAGATTACCGTGGGAGCATGATGGGGTCAAGCGATGGTGTTTGGTGTGAGCTGGTGATGATGGAGGTTGATGGTGGGGTTGATGATGGTGGTGGTTGGGGTGGGTTGTGGTTGTGGTTGTGGTTGTGGTTGTGGTTGTGGTTGTGGTTGTGGGCGATGGTTGACAGTCCTGCTTGAAAGAAAGCCCAGCCACGGCTTGGCGCGCCAAGCCGTGGCGACAACGGACGATACCAATGATCGTGGCAGCAACTCAACACACGCACCCGACCACGGTTATTACTCCACGGAGCTCTATTAATAGAGAATTAAACAAATCAATGAATTGCCAAAATCTCTAGCAGATTGAGACAAGATTAATTAATAACTTCTTTCGATAATTTTATTCCCATCCTCCCCCCAATAAGCTCCAAATAAACTTCCTACCAATTATTAACCTTCGCCCGTACTCGGCACGAGCCGCTGCTGCATTGCATACGACATAGCTTGGATACACCTTCTCTAGGCAGCAGTGCTGGAGCTCTGCTTTCCCTGCTTCCCCCAGCTCTCTCGCCAACGACCTCCCGCCACCTCCACCACCACACCTCCACCACCATCACCCCCCCCCACCCCCCCCACCACCCCGTCATGGACGACGCAGAAGAAGACGGCTACGGCAGCGAAGCCTGGGGCGAGATCGACTACAACGACCTCATCGCCGTCGCCAACGAAGTCGAGAAAAAAGCCACACCCACCAAGCCGCCAGCACCCGCACTCCAAACACCAGCATCAACTGCACCAGCAGCAGCATCAGCTCAGCAGCTATGGTTCACGGACGACGACTTTGACGACTTTGACGACGACGACATGCTAAGTGCCGCGGTGCCGGGTATCGCAATCTCGGACGAGCTGGAGGTCGTGGATCTGACGGGCTCGGTGGAGACGCTGAGGGCTGAGACACCGCCGCTGCCGGAGCGGCGGGTGGAGACGCTGAGGGCTGAGACACCGCCGCTGCCGGAGCGGCGGGTGGAGGCGCTGAGGGCTGAGACATCGCCGCTGCCGGAGCGGCGGGTGGAGACGCTGAGGGCTGAGACACCGCCGCTGCCGGAGCGGCGGGTGGAGAGCCCGAGCCCGGCGGCTCGGCCACCAGGTGGTGTGCCGAATGCGTAAGCTCTGCTCTCTGTCCGTTGAGTATATAGCTCTAGTGAGCTTAGCTAACCATTCCTCCATAGCCCACAGACCCCGCAGCAGAATAGAGCAAATGTCGTGAAACGCAAGCCCTCAAACCCGCTCCTGGGCAGGTATCTACCCCCCCCCCCCCCCAAAACCCTCCCACCCGCCACAAAGCTGACTCCCGCAGCGAGAACCGCGCCCGACGCAGAGTCGAGTACTCCGGCACGATCTTCCCGCGCTTCACCCTCGCCTACGAAGGCGACCTCGCCTCCGCCGTGACCGTCGCCGAGTTCTCGCTGCGCCTTATGGAGGTGCTCACCAGCGTACTGCGTGAGTTCCTGGTCGCAAACGCCGCCGCATACCCGCTGAGCTGGCGGCAGATGAAGGCTGATGAGATCAACCGCATGGTGAGGCACCGCAAGGCCGACGTGCTGTTTAAGGGCTGGGACTTTCTTGCGCTGGCGAACATCATCATGGCGCACAGGTTTCACTCCCCTCCCCGCTGATTACTGAATTGATGGTAGCGAAGGAAGCTAATGGTGCAACAGTCGCTCTTTGCCGGCGTTTGTGAAGAATCCGGTGGGTGTGGTGGAGCGGCTGAAGGTGCTGAAGACGACGATGAGGTGGACGTTTGCGCATTCGTCGTTGCAGGAGGAGGAGAGGAAGCATCCAATGGAGATGAGCCTGTGGGCGATTAATACGCTGTTTCTGATTGAGAACTTGGGCGTCTCGATGGAGTATGCGGGGAGGGTTATTGCGCTGCATCAGGGACTTTGGGTATGTTGATTGTGAGGAAGGGGTTGAAGAAGGGGTTGCTGATCTCTCGTGTGATAGTCTCGCGCGAGACAGCCGTCACCGCCGCCATATGTGTCGCAGGATATACTCCTAGGGTGAGGTTTGGGTATGTTGGCTCTTTCTAGACCTTTACTATCATAGGGTTTCTCGAACTAATTCGGACTGGTAGAGTTGCTTGAGTAGCGTTGACGGAGTAGATTTAGCGGATGCATATTTCACACGCATTTGATATGCCACAAAATAGGGTCTCGAAAAGGGTTCTCATTTCACCCCAGATATATCATTTCCACTAAATTGTAGTATTGTTCGTGGCCGGCCAGCCGATATAGTATACTTTGACATTTTAGTACTCTACTGTAACGAGTTCAATGTATTTCATGGAGTCTGCTCTATTGTTCTTTTTTTTCCTTTACCTATCTGTATTATTATTACCTATTACTTCATACTTTTCTTTTCTTTTGGGCATCTTGTATGGGTCGGTGGGAATCTGGAATCTGGAAAATAAATATCTACAAATTAGTACACACCTCAATTACTCAACCCCAAACACCCAAACCAACGACAAATCACCCAAAAGGAAACCGGCCACCGGAACTCCACGACAAATATGCACTCCAAATGAGGGGTATTCCAAAACCTACCCACTCATACATAACCTCCCCTGTCCAGAGGGAGACAATGATACCTTCCCATTCACGCTTAGTTGCCGTCCCCACGTCACTTATCGCTATCAAGCACCACCGCCAAGGCTTACCAACCTACTCTACCGGAGGTATAAATCTCCGAGAGCTCCACGACACTGTCTTTTTCAGGCGCGCACACGACCTTTTTCCAATTTCAATCACCACAATTTTTTTTTTTTTAGAGAGGAAAGAGAGGAAAGAGAAGATGGGGATGAACCCGCTAATAAAGAAGGCCTACTGGTCGCTGGCGGCGATGGGGGCGCTGTATTTTGTGTTTCTGGGCTGCTTGGCGAATCCGTGGGTGCAGCGCAAGTATGTTTTTTCTGCTTGTTATTTTATCATTATTGGGGATGGGGGTTATCTTGTATGGGTGTGAGTATGTGCTGATTACAGTGTGTTGTGTGTGGACAGTGCGATCTATATGAACCTCCTCAAAGTAACCTGGCGCCAGGACCTCACGAAGCCGGAGGAGTTTGGGTTTGCTAGTACGTTTTGCTTACCCCCCGCTGCCCTTTCTACTAGCTAGCAAGTTTTTGGCTTGGTTTAGTTATTTACGTATTTGCTGTGGGAACATCTAGAGAACCAAGTCACGCCGTTCTTCCTGGACACGCCGGACGGTGAGAAGATCTTTGCGTGGCATGTGCTGCCGCTGGGACTGTACAAGGCGCACCGCGACGAGCTGGTCAAGCAGCCGGACGGTATCCCCGAGGATGTGTTGCAGTCGGAGGGGATTAAGTTGTTGATGAGCGATCCGGAGGCGAGGTTGATTATTCATTGTATGTGTTTGTTCTTTGGTTTGTTTGCGTGGGGTTTTGCTAACTAGAACTACAGTCCATGGGGTGCGTAGCTAGACTTGATACTTATACCACCGGTACCTACCTAGATATAGCCACTGACATCCATCTCTTCAGAACGCCGGCACCGTCGGCGCCAGCTGGCGCCCCACCTACCTGCGCTCCCTCTCCGCGGCGGACCCCTCCAAGATCCACATCCTGACCATCGACTACCGGGGCTTCGGTCTCTCCAGCGGCACCCCCTCCGAACACGGCCTCATCACCGACGGCCTCGCCGCCGTCCACTGGGCGCTCGACACCCTCGGGCTCCCGCCGTCCCACGTCGCGCTCGTCGGCCAGTCCCTCGGCACAGCCGTCACCTTCGGCGTCGCCGAGCGCCTAATCACGCACCCCCACCCCGTCGAGCTCGGCGCCATCATCACGATCGCGGCGTTCACAAACATCAAGGAGCTGGTCGTCACGTATGCCATTGGCGGGGTGGTGCCGATCTTGTCGCCGCTGCGGCCGTACCCGTTTCTGCAGAAGCTGTTTGCGGGGTTTATTGTGGAGCGCTGGGAGAGCGATGAGCGCGTCAGGACGCTGGTTAAGCAGAGTAAGAAGCTGAAGCTGATACTGCTGCATGCGTATAATGACTTTGATATCCCGTGGTCGCACTGCGACCGGCTGTTTTATGTTGCGGCGAACGCGACGGGGGAGGAGGCGCTGAGCTGGACGGAGGTGCAGCGGGCGAAGGAGAGGACGGAGTATGGGGTTGAGAGCTATCGGCAGAGCTGGCCGGGGGCGAAGAGCGGCGGGAACGAGATTGAGCAGTGGGTCGTGACGTGGGGGGGCCATAATCAGGTGGTGACGAGTGCGGGGACGTCGGTCATTGTGGCGAAGGCGTTGGGGCTATAGAGGCTATAGAGGTCCGTATGTAGCTGATAGATGTGTTTGCAGCGCTTCTCCTTTTTTATGCTCGTCTTTTTCGTTGTTTGAGGTTGTTTGAGGTTGTGTGGTAGAGATTCTGTCGAAGCCGATACCCTGCTACTCTATGTAGCTGGTGCGAAACGTAACCGGGTGATGTTCTGTGATGCCGTTTTATCCACAGCTGTAACGTAAAGCAGATAAAGAATAGCTTCTAGAGCATAGTAGAAATTCTCCAACAATAAAAATATCCTACAGGGCTAGAGTAGTCGCCAAAGGAATCTCGGGAGACTCATAAAGTCTGACTCGAGGCCAGGGTTAGGGATCGAATCGCCCCACTTGTCGCTCTGGTGCTATCAACAATTTCAGGAAGCAGTTGTTTTTTTAGAAAAGTACTGGAGCAACAATCTGTAGTCCTTGTGTTAATTCCCCACGCATTGATCATTTTATATCTCCCCTTGAGAGATATTCTATATTTGCTTAATTGACCACAACAAGACTGGTACTGTAGTTAACCCCGGCCTAGGCCTGCTCACATCTCCAAACCTCAAAGTTCCGCCGGCAACTCCCGCACGTCTTGGCTCCCTCAAGTTCCAACAACCTCAACTACAATGTCACTCTGGCAGTACCACCCCCTTCCCCTCTACCCAGTCTATTAACTAACCCCCCTCTCCAATACTAGATACTACCGCAACCTCACTCCGCAGACACGCGCGCTCGTCGGCGCAGGCGTGGTCGTCTATGCGACGGCCATGCTGTACATCAGCGACGCGGCCGAGAAGAAGCTGGACCTGGTGCCGACGGAGGAGGATAAGAGGAGGCTGGAGGAGTTGGTGCCGAAGGTGAGGACAGTGGAGAGGAAGGAGAGGTAGTGGGTGGTGATGGGGTGGTGGAGTTGTGGGGAGAGGGGGGAGAGGGGGGAGGAGGGAGGAGGGGACGGGGCGGCGGGGCGGCGGGGCGGCGGGGCGGCGGGGTCAATGATAGGGGAACGGCGGGTTGTAGATTAGGGTTTTGTAATGGGATGTTTGTTTTGCGTTGTTTGCTTTGGAAGATGGAAGGTGAAGATGGGGGGGTGCTAGAATGTGAGAGAAAGAAAAGAGGTAAACAGTGATGTGGTAGGGTAAGGGGTGTGGGTGCGGGATCATTGACACATATATATTTAAGGCACCTATACCTAGAAGCCCGCACCCTCCATTCCTCCTACATCACACCACAAGGAAGAATGGTAAACCAAACCTTCGAAGTTTGATGTTCGATATTTGATGTTAGGGCTTGTTGATGCAAACCTAATTCCCGGTTTTGACTTTCGAGAGTATATAACACACCCACCTGCCCTTCTTTCCATCTTTTCCTCCATCCCCTCTACACATCACACCCAAGGACGACTTCCACCACGAAACAACCTTTTCTCAACAACCTTTCCCAACAACCTCTTCACCACCCAACCCACCAACTCAACGCCAACCAAAAAAAAAAGCTAAGTCCCCCTCCCCCCTTGACCCCCCCCTCTCCCAGGGCCTGGCAAGTCTGTCTCGGGTCCGGCTACACGCTAGGGTTACTCGCCCGTTGTTTGTCCACTACTAGTTCCCCCGGGCTCTGGCGCTTATTCGGCTGTCTCTGTCCTGGGGGGGGGGGGGGGGGGTTGTGCTAGCGGTGGGACCGGGGCAGAATTGCTTGTCCAGGTTGTAGTTATTCGCTACGTTTGCTGGGGGCGCGATGTTGGGCGGCAGGTACTTATTCGGTGCTCTGTGCGGTCTGGCGGTGGGGTTGTGGTGATTGTCGTAGTTGTCCAGGTGGATGGGCGGATGTGGTGGATGCAGGCTAATGAGGGCGGATGTGGTTGATGGGTCTTTCTGTTTTTTTGTTTTTTGTGTTTGTTTCTTTTTGGGGGATAGGGTTAATTATCGGTGATTCTATATCATTATATTACGACTTGCAATTGGGTCCTTTGGTTATCTGTATAGTCGCCCGTCATGCTCTGACATCGAGCGAGCGAGAGGCGGTGGATTAGGTAAAACTATACCTATTACCCAGCATTTTTAGTACCAGTAGAAGTTCTGTAAGCCTAGCTAAGTAGGTAGCGTAAATATAAACGGCGAAGCAGTTCCTTGAACTAATGAGTTAATAAATCAATTAATTAGTCGACGGTCAATTAATTGAATTCGATAATCACCATTTATCACTCGCTATAAATAGTGGGGGGGAGGGGCCGAAATTCTCCTATTTAGGGAAAAGTGTAAAATGATAGGGACAGGAAAGGTTTATGGAAGTCTTCCTGGCCCTCTTTTATCTTGTACTCGGGATATGGGTACTTGCAAGGAGGTGTTGGTGACCGCTGATGAGCTAAATTTAACTTTTGAAGCTAGTTTGGCGTGCTGGTTCAGTCCAGCCTCGCCAAGGTGATATCTGAACCTCACTGACAATTTGGCCTTGTATTGTCTCGTGGCCATCACAGATCGGACCAGAGTCTGAGCACAGAGAATTGAACAGCGTTGTAGAAGAGCTATCTGGACTGGCTTTCACGGATCGTTGAACGAAATAACCGGAGAGGTTTTGCGTTGGAATACTTGCCTAATTCCGCTTATTTCCGACGTCAGTTTGCCTCGGAGGTTGAGATAAAACTTAGAATCCCTACGTCACACCCCGAATCATCTAGCTCGGGAGATCTACGACATACAGCCCAACAGCCCTTATATTGCACCAAAGAACTGTGACTTTCGCTCCGAATACAATGGTCAAGAGGTATGTGCCTATGCGTGCCTTCATATGGCTATTTTCCCTGGAGCCAACTCATTGAGCTCATGAGGTAATTAGGTTTTTTGCTGCGCGAGAGGAAGGGCGTTCGGACCGCGAAAGTGTATCATGGATGCTCACTCGGGTTTGTACTTTTTCTTGAACCTCTGTGTAATGAAGGAGATCACGTGGAGTAATCTCTTAGAGTATAAATAGCTCGCTACACTTTGTATCCTTTAATCGTAATCATTATCTTGCAATACAATACTATTTCACTAGTTAGTCATCCAACTCAGTGCCGTGGGGGCCAGGTTGAACGCAAGGGTATCACACTCTGCAGTCGTGAAATTAGGTGTATGATTTGGTTCACTCTTCAAGAGTATGTGTTTTTCGCTTCGTGTCTCAATCAGAACATCCTCACCCCCCCCCCTCGGGGGTTGAGGTAAGCCTTAGAACCACTACGTCACATCCAAAATTATCATTTCCTTCCACCCATTCTAACCAGCTCTGTGACACACAGCCCAACAGCCCCTCAAATTAAATTGCACCAAAAAACTAAGACTTTCGCTCCGAATAAAATGGTCGAGAGGTATGTACCTAGGCATATCTTCATAGGACCCGTTTTCCCTGGAGCTACCTCATTGAGCTCGTGGGGTAATTAGGTTTTTTGTTGCGCGAGAGGAAGGGCGTTCGGATCGCGAACAGTGTATCATGGATGCTCACTCGTGTTTGTGTTTTTTTCTTGTTGAACCTCTGCACTCATGAGATTATGTAGGTGCATGATTTGATCCGCTCTTCAAGAGTATGTGTTTTTCGCTTCGAGTCTCACTCAGGACATCCCCATTCTCCCCTCGGAGGTTGAGGTAAAACTTAGAACCTTACGTCACATGCAAAATTATCATTTCCTTCCACCCTAACCAGCCCGAGAGTTCTATGACACACAGCCCAACAGCCCTCAAATTGCACCAAAGAAGTGAGACTTTCGCTCCGAATAAAATGGGCGAGAGGTATGTACCTAGGCATACCTTAACACTGCCTGTTTTCCCTGGAGCTACCTCATTGAGCTCATGAGGTAATTGGGTTTTTTGCTGCTCGAGAGGGACGGCGTTCGGACCGCGAAAAGTGTATCATAGGTGCTCACTCGTGTTTGTACTTTTTCTTGATGAGCCCCTGCCCTCGTGAAGCTAAGTGCATGATGTATTTCATTCTTCAAGAGTGTGTTTTCCGCTTTGCGTGTCACTGAGCAAAATCATCGTGTCCTTCTACCCATCCTAACCAGCTCCGGAGCCTATGACACACAGCCCAACAACCCCTCAAATTGCACCAAAGAACTGAGACTTTCGCTCCGAATAAAATGGGCGAGAGGTATGTACCTAGGCATACCTTAAAACCGCCCGTTTTCCCTGGAGCTAACTCATTGAGCTCATGAGGTAATTAGGTTTTTTGCTGCTCGAGAGGAAGGGCGTTCGGACCGCGGGAAGTGTATCATGGATGCTCACTCGTGTTTGTGCTTTTTTCTTGTTGAGCTTCTGTTCTCGTGGAGTGAGGTGCATGATGTGTTTTCCGCTTTGACTCTCACTAAAAAAAAATTTCCATCTCTTCCCCCGCGTGTCATCCATCCATTACAAACTGCGTAAGCATACGTACTAGTAGGTGGGATCCAGAAACATAATATGTGCCTATTCGGGGTAGACCTGGAGCTGAAATCAATCGTTTCTCTCGAATATTTGCAGCTCGAATGCTATGTAGGGGGAAGAAGCACTTCAGCTGGCTTCGTAGGTGTCCACCCGCAAGGCTCGTAGTGTCTATGGACCCCCGCTAGAGCTGCACGTCCCTAAACCTTTCTGCACCTTTCGCTCGAGGACGATGTTCTCAATGGTCAATGTATTGCGCACCCAACTGCAGTCTTTGGTAACCTTGGTTCGATGGTGGGTGGTTGCCCAATAGGATCGAAGCCGTGTTTGGGTACCAGCCGCTTTCCGGCCTTCTTACCTGCCATTCGCCAGCGGCGCTGAATAGGGCTGTAGGTGCGCTTCCGGAGAGCGAAAATCGAGCCTGGTTCTCGTGAAGCACTGGTCTATCGAATTGTCAACTTTCAGGATAATAGTAATACTCATTGAAGAATGGTAGTAGTGGTGGTGGGTAACCTCCGATTAATGCGTTTGTATACTCGGTGATTGGAGCCGGCCATTTTGTGATGGCAACTCGCGTTGAGTTAAACACGATGCAACACAGTGTTTCCCGTTGGATCCGAACGCTGGAATATCACAAGACGCTATGGAGCGGGGCTTGGATCATGGCTGGTCAGGGAAGGCTCACGATGGGGCAGAGATGCCCTCATCAAAGAAGCAGAGTGTGCGAGAAATAGTGCTCCTGTGCTAATGCGCGTTATGGCAGGGCTTAGCCTTGTTTCTTGTGTTTCTCGAGGTCGAGTGATAATCTATGAAGGGTGTTACTCTACACCTGGGGCCAAGGCGATCGAATTGGCGTAACCTGTTTGCGTACCACCGGTAGCTCCCTTTTTCACTTGCTCGAGAGGAGGAGGGGGCTTAAATATCAGACAATTGCAGTGCCGAAAAGAGAAAACGAATGGTCATCATCCTCTCGCTAAAGGGTTTATACGAAACATAAAGCCCCAATATCACCTTTGTTCTACGCACTACGAACTGTGTGGTCGAAAAGGGTCAATTGCAAAAAAAAAAAAAAAAAAAACGTTCATATTTCTCGTTCAACGCAAACACCAGAGCTAATAACTAGCTAGTCATAATCACAATCTCGAGATATTTCCCTTCATAACACCAAATGGAGACTTTACGCCCGCGCCCGTCCCCGCCAGATTCGAATTCGCTTGTCAAAGGTGGACAATCGCACCCGCCTCCCACACATTCTGCGGCTCCAGCTTGTGCCATTTCGAGACCGCACCGGCCTCAATGCAGACTATACGATTCTATATTAATGCGCGTCCTTGTAATAGATAACAGAGGTAAAAAAGCGCATAAACTTACTCATATTCTTATACCCATCACTCGGGCCAAAGTCCGCAATGTTCTTGCAGCTCTCCCACGGATTCCACACCACCACATCCTCCAAGTTCGAGCGCTCAACACGGTACAACGGCGTGCCGCCACTCTTGACCACGACCGGCCCCGGGACATCCGCATACACGCGGTCGACCTCCCCCTGGATCGACAGCTCGGGCGTCTCCTGGGTCGCCTCGGTGCCGGTGACCTTGCACCTGTACGCGATGTCCTTGAGGCCCTCGATGCTCACGTTGCCCACGTTCGGGACGCGCAGGTACGTGTGGAACAGCAGGTTGAAGTCGAACGTCTCGTTGCCCTCGTTGCGCACCAGCATCTTGGTCTCCAGGCTGGTGCGCGTGAGCGTGACCGAGTAGATCAGGCCGAAGGCGTACGGCCAGGCCTTGCGCAGGTCGACCGTGAGGTTCTCGGGGCCGAGGCCGAAGTCGACTTGGATGGAGGACTCGTTCTCGCTGGTCTTGCCGAGGAGCTCCCATTTGCAGATGCGGGCGAAGCCGTGCTGGGCGAGGGTGGCGGCGGGGCCGTCGGTGGCCTTGCCGAATACCTGCAGGCGGAAATTAATGTCAGTGATGTGTACATCACCGGTGCGCTGTGAAGGCGGCGGGGTAAAGGACGTACTGGGAACACAAGTGGAATTCCGCCACGGACAGCTTTGGACCCGTCTGTAGACTATTTGTTAGCAACTGGCTTTGGCACGGTGAGATTATTGGTACTGCTTGGGACGGGGGGTTGCGTACCAAGGTGGGCCTTCTCGCTCAAGAACAGCTTCTCCTCCCCGCCCGCGATCCAAGAGACCACCGTCGCACCGTAGAGCAGCACATCAGCGGACTCTCCAGACGGCAATGACAGCTAATACACCCGCATTACCAACCAGTCAGTCAGTCTGTTTCCCCACGCAGGCAACAAAGAAACAAAACAAAACAAAAGCCCCGCCATACCTTCACCCTGCCGTTCTCAACGCTCATGCCGCCGTGTGCAGACGCACCTCCATGGCTGACGGGAATGGGAGCGGGCTTCTTGCGTTCAACCATGTTGCTGATTTTCAGATTATTGTTTGTGGTGATGGCGTGTCGATGAGATGGGCGAGATGGATGAGATCGAGATGGATAAGAGGGGGTTGTTATAGGATGATGTATGTAGGAGATGTAGGTACACCTACCCCGCCATCCATGATCCAGTTCTATGCAAGAGCTCATGATCAAGGCGCTGAATGCGGCTGCATGGCTTGGCGCGTGGAGGGGTGGGATCCATGTTTCGGAATACTTGACCGAGCCGTGTGGAGGCCAACGGAGCTTCGATTCTGCCAGGAGATGGGCAATTGAAATTGGGGATGCCTTGTCAGTAATGCTGGCTGGATGGGTGCTTGATATCTTGGGTTCCTTTGCAAAGTGGGTTGTTTGCTAGCTCGGGAATTGAAATTCCTCAAGAGACCATGTCCAGGAAACAAAGGTGCAAACGCAAATAGCAGATAAACAGGGACACAGCCAACTCGTTCAAAAGGAAGACTTGTGTCTAGGTTGAACGTCGTTATTCGAATTGCTAAATACTTGCGGATAGATATAAGGCCGACTGTACTAGCTGGGATCAATTCTAATAAGTCCTTCGACGTTTACGCATTAACCTGCAAGTGTGTAGGTTATGCTGGTTTGGCATGGCTATCCTGAGTGTTCTGATCTTGGATTGCCATTGCTTCTAGAATTCGAAACAGGCACTCTCGGTGAAGCATAAACACGCAAGAGAAATCATTGATACTCAATCCTGGAGTGGAAATCTCCGAAGGGAACTACATAACTGCCGGAAGCATCTAGATCTTGCTTCCAACCATTCCACCTGCCAGGCTCCAGAAAGAACAACACACAATCCTTTACTTGTAGTCTAGACCTAGGTGCTATACAGTTATCCTTGCTCCTCCATGAAGCTACAGAGCTTATCCCGACTCTCCCTGCCAGCGAACGTCCTAGGGGCTAGGGTTATACGTAAGGATCAGCTTAGAACAGATAAATAAAGCAGGTACATGGGTGACTCTATCAAAATGCCAATACTAGAGTATGCAATTCGGCTTAGTCGATGTCGGTTCGTAAGGGAGGGGTAGAATGTTGTGTTCCCACTTGAGTCCACTCTTTGATAATTTCCATTTCCCATGGAGCCTCGCAGAAAAGAGGAATGAATGCTAGTGCTAGGCCTTTACAACCTCAATTGCGGTACTACATGTAGTATGAGTCAAACATGGCCGTCTACCTAAAGTTTACGAGCCAGATTAGAAGATACGATCTGCGGCAGACCTCTGTTCTGAGCCTACCAAGCAGAGACTGTTGGGGTGCACACCCCATCCTGCGGCAGTGGTCAGCACTGTTTCCCTCGCAATAGATTATTCCGATCATTGACACATCCAATTCAATTCCCGCCCAACCCCTCATACGAGTCATACCCTCCTCCCAAACACACATAAACACCGCCTTTCCTTTCCTTTCCTTTCCACCCCGTCTCTATTCCCAATTCCAATCCACCGTAAGCCATCAATTCCCATCCCCACTTCCCCCCCTTTCTCCAATTTTGCTATTTCAGTTTATTCACTAGCTAGGGTTAGGGCTCCCCCCCACGACCCAATCAATGCCTGCAGATCCCGCGATAAGATCAGAGCCGCACCCAGTACAAATTTCCGCAGCCCCACCCCCACCGCCCCCACCACACCCACCAGCAGCAGGGCCCACCACCCAACCAGCGGCGCCCACCATGAACAGAATCAACCTCTCCCTCCTCAAGCCCGGCGCGCTCAAGGGCAGCCTCAAGCTGCCCAAGAGCACGCTCAACATCCGCCCCGCCGCGCGCGACACCGCCGCCTCGCGCGCACTCCTGGCCCGCTGCTCGGAGGAGCTGTATCAATGGCAGGTAATATACATCTACATACATCTACAAAGACTACCACCACCACCACCACCACTTCCAGCAGAGAGCGCTGACATCCGCAGAGTACAGAGCTCCCCGCCGACAACTCGTTCGTCCTCCACGACGGCCCGCCATACGCAAACGGCGACCTGCACCTCGGCCACGCGCTCAACAAGATCCTAAAAGACATCATCGGGCGCTACCAGATCCTGTCCGGCCGGCGGCTCTGCTACATCCCCGGCTGGGACTGCCACGGGCTGCCCATCGAGCTCAAGGCGCTTCAGAGCCTTGACTCCCCCACCACCACCACCACCACCACCACCACCGCACCAGAGAACAGCAAAAAGAAGCACCCCAAAAAGGCCAAAGAAACCACCGCCGCCGAAGCCGCCGAAAGCGGCAAATCCATGCCGCCCGCCCAGCTGCGCCGCCTCGCGGCCTCCCTCGCGCGCACGACGGTCGACGCGCAGAAGGAGGGCTTCAAGAGCTGGGGCGTGATGGGCGACTGGGAGCACGCGTACCGCACGCTCGACACCGACTACGAGGTCGAGCAGCTGCGCGTGTTCAGGGACATGCTGGACAAGGGATTGATCTACCGCCGCTTCAAGCCCGTGTGGTGGAGCCCGTCGTCGGGGACGGCGCTGGCCGAGGCGGAGCTCGAGTATGACGAGCGGTATGCGAGCACGGCGGCGTTTGTGCGCTTCCCCATGGTGGCGGAGGGGGCGCTGGCGGACGAGTTCCCGGGGCTGGCGGCGGCGATATGGACGACGACGCCGTGGACGGTGCCCGCGAACAGGGCGATTGCGGTGGGGGCGGGGATGGAGTACGCGGTTGTGCGCAACTCGCGGCACGGGTATCTGCTGTCTGCGAGCGAGCGGGTCGAGGCGTTCATGGGCTTCCTGGAGGGCGAGACGGAGGTCGTCCGCGCGGGGATCATGGGCGAGGAGCTGGTCGGGCTGCCATATACGCACCCGCTGCTGAAGAAGGACTCGCCGCAGCAGCCGATCATCGCCGCCGACTTTGTCACGGCCGACTCGGGCACGGGGCTCGTCCACTGCGCGCCGGGCCACGGCGCGGACGACTACCTCGTGTGCCTCAAGCACGGCATCGCCCCGTTCTCGCCCGTCGACGCCGACGGGCGCTACACCGCCGACGCCCGGCCCTTCGGCGGCGCCCTGCACGGCCTGCACGTCATCAGCGAGGGCACACCGGCCATCATCGACCTCCTCGCGGCCGGCGGGGGCCTCCTCGCCGTGCAGGAGAGGTACCGCCACAAGTACCCGCTCGACTGGCGCACGAAGCAGCCCGTGATCGTGCGCGCGACGGCACAGTGGTTCGCCGACGTCGACGCCATCAAGGCGCCCGCGGTCGACGCCCTCTCCGGCGTAAGATTCGTCCCGGAGACGGGCCGGTCGCGCCTCACGGCGTTCGTGCAGGGGCGCTCGGAGTGGTGCATCTCGCGCCAGCGCGCGTGGGGCGTTCCCATCCCCGCGCTGTACGACGCGGAGACCGGCGACCCGCTGCTGACGGCCGACAGCGTCGACCATGTCATCGCCGTGATGCAGGAGCGCGGCACCGACGCCTGGTGGGGCGACGCGGCGGACGACCCCGCGTGGGTGCCGGAGAAGAATCGCGGCGATGGGCGGAGCTACGTGCGCGGGACCGAGACGATGGATGTGTGGTTCGACAGCGGCACCAGCTGGGCGACGCTGAAGCGGCGGATCGGGGAGCGGCCTGGGGGGCGGCCGCTCGCGGACCTGGTACTCGAGGGGTCGGACCAGCACCGGGGGTGGTTCCAGAGCTCGCTGCTGACGTCCGTGGCGTGCAGCGGCGTGCAGCCATATGGCGCCGTGCTGACGCACGGGTTCTGCATGGATGCGAGGGGGAAGAAGATGTCGAAGAGCCTGGGCAACGTGGTGGCGCCGCGGGACATCATCGAGGGGAGGATCCCGAAGGCGAGGGCGCTGAGCGGCGGCGGCGGCGGCGGCGGCGGCGGCGGCGGCGGCGTGGATGCGCTGCGGCTGTGGGTGGCGTGCGCGGACTATACGAAGGATGTGGTGGTGGGCGAGGGCGTGCTGGTGCATGTGCACGAGGCGCTGCGGAAGAGTCGGGTCACGGCGAGGTTTCTGTGCGGGAATCTGGAGGGGTGGGATGGCGAGCTGGTGGAGTATGGGGACTTGACGAAGGTGGGCTATTGATCACTGCTTGTGGATGGGGGGGTTTGAGGGAGACTGGAGACTGGAGACTGGAGACTGGAGACTGACGGAGAGCAGATCGATAAGTATGCCCTTGCGCAGCTCTACAGAGTCAACAAGGCCGCCCAGGACGCATACAGCAACTACCAGTTCAACAAAGGTAAGAGGACCCACAACCAAGACCTTCGCACGAGCAGAGCTCTCTCTCTCTCTCCTCCCACAGCCACCGAGTGATAGCCCATGGCCCACTAACACCCCCGCAGCCGTCAACGCAATCACAAACTACACCGCCCTCGACCTCTCCGCCTTCTACCTCGACGTCATCAAGGACCGCATCTACTCTGACCCCGCCAACTCGCTCAGCCGCCGCAGCGCACAGACGGTCATGGCCCACATCCTGCGCAACTACCTGTCGATGCTTGCGCCCATCGTGCCGCTGCTGACGGAGGAGGTGTGGGCGCACACGCCCGCGGCGGTGACGCGGGGCGCCGTGAGCCCGTCGCGCCTGGGCTGGTATCGGCCTGAGGAGAGGTGGAATGATGGGGAGCTGGTGGGGCATTTTAAGCTGCTGGAGGAGGTGCATGCCGTTGTGAGGCAGGGGATCGAGAGGGCGAGGACGGCGCAGTGAGTGTTTGCGATGCTGGGGATGGGGGGTTTGGGGGTGTTGGTTTGCTAATATGCTTGTGACTCTAGGAACCTGAAAGTCAACCTCGAGTCCTCAGTCGTGATAGTCGCCCCCGAAGGCTCCAAAGCCCGCGCCATCATCGAGAAATACCGTACCCCCCCCCCCCCCTTCCTCCCCTCCCCTCCCCTCCCTCTAAAACTCCCACTGACCCTCACTAGTCGACGAACTCGCCAGCCTCTTCATCGTCTCCGGCGTCGAACTCTCCAGCACCATCCCCCAAGACGAAACCACAAAATGGAGCTACGCCGAGGCGGTAACACTGCTGGGCGACGCCGGCTGCCACGTTGTGGTGAGGCCGGCAAAGGGCCACAAGTGTGCCCGCTGCTGGGTCTACACGGCCGAGGAGGAGGAAGGCATCTGTGCGCGCTGCGAGGGCACGCTGAGGAGTTATCCGAGGGGGGAGTATGAGGCCCTTTTTGCTTGAATAGACGGGGGGTGGGTTGGGGGGGGGGGGGGGGTTAGAGGCACTTTGTGTTTAGATATGGGGTGCAGTGTGCTCGTATTTCTTGTAAAATAGATTGTTTACACTTTTTGTATTGTAGTGTAGATGTCGTAGCTAGATGGATATTATTGACTCTTCGCTCTCCCAACAATTAATCCCTACATACATGTACTTTTCTGTAGCATAGCCTGGTGCTGCCGCTGCTGTGCTACAATGTGTGTACAGTGGAATTTCGATAGTAGCATATGGTCGGGAACGGATTTTCGTGTGCTACTACCGAGAACATGCTTGTATCGAGAACAAATTTGCCCATATCGACTCGTTTGGGATTGCCCAACTATACGCTACAATCGAGGATATGCTGTTATCGAGAATGCTACTATAAGGGTACGGAAATACCGCGAGGGCGTACCCTTATAGAGCAGTTGCCCTTATAGATATTTCAGGGTTAGATTTGGCAGGGTAGAAAGTTCACTTTTGGGGGGGGGGGGGGGGGGGTGAAGGGTTCGTGCAACACTGAATTTGGTAGAATGGGAAGTTCGCAGAACTTCTTGACCTTTGCCGGCTAAACCATAATTCTTTGGTGACGGAACTTTCGGCTTTTGGTAGTGCAACTTTCAATGTTGTTGTTAGCAGAACATTTTTCACTTTTCGAGGGCGTCGAATGATCTCAACTTCCACTGAAAAGTCACTCTCTCTATAAGGGTCACACCCCAAAAAAAAATGAGAAAACGTACTAAGGGTATTCTTATAGCGAAAAACATGTTAACACTACATACTGAAAAAAAAGTAGCCCGCGGACCGGGCTCCTTATAGGACGAGTATTCTTATAGAGAGTACCCTTACAGGGAGAGTCGACTGTATCGGGACACCGCTGTACCTACATGTACTGCACGTAGAGTTCAACTGTTGAGCTACTAGTAGTGGCTCAACCCCCACATTTTTCCGGGCGGGCCATCCTCGTGATACCGCGTGTCGTGGTGGGCGCCACACTGTAGCTAGCTACGTCAGCCAGAGCGATCCTCGCCTTCCCCTGCCGATTTTTGATCCCACCACACGCACACCCACACCCACACCCACACCCACACACCCAACCCCAAGGCTTTAGCCGCAGCAGCGTATCAATGGATTTGGGGGGGGGGGGGGGGGGGGGCGGTTCCGTAACTGCGGAGAGATGAGATCCAGCCCGTCCCAGCTGCGCGCGCCCCGGCCCCCGGAGGGCCTGATCAAGGCGGTAGGTATGTGGGTAGAGTAGATTGAGTAGAGCAGGTAGGGCGAGGAGGAGCAGTAGTCTGGTTAGTAGAGTAGTAGGACAGAGAGATACACGCAGATACATGTCGGCACTGGATCTGGCTAAGACTGGTGTGTCTATCATGTATCATATCGGGATCATATCAGCGGTAGAAATGGATGCCTAAGCTAAATACATGTAGTAGAAGCTAGCTGGAGTTGTAGCGGGCAAGCAGACTGACACGGGGCCTATCTGATCTGCCTATCTCATCGATTCAACCAACCCGCCCAACACACACACGCTCTCTCTCTCCCCCGTCGTCGTCTCCTCTCTTCCTCTCCATCTACCTACCTACCTACCTCTCTCTCTCTCTCTCTCTCTCTCTCTTCTCTCCTTCCCTTCTTCTTCTTCTTCACCTACATCGCCACTGTCCACTCTCCCTTCCATCCCTCCTTTACCTCTACACCTTTCATCCCTTCCCACGATCACTCTCACTTACAACACCTAACCCACCACATACACCACCCACCCCCCCCCCCCGTTGCGTTGCGTTGCCCGGGCCACACCCCCCGCACCCATGCTACGCGACCTCGGAGCCACGCTCCTCCTCGCATCGTCGGCCCTCTCGCTCGTGAGCGCGGCCTCCAACCGCTCCCTCGCCGTCGACTACAGCCTTCTCCAGAGCCAGGCGGCATGGAGCCTCGACAGCCGCCCGCCGGAATGCCCGCCTTGGTGAGTAGTTACCTACACTTGGCGTGTTTGTGGGGGAGGCAGGCAGGGGAGGGAGCAGGGTTGGTTGGGTGGTTAGTCTGTGTGGAGTGGGTTAGCTGACAAGGCGCGTGTCTGTGTGGTCGGTAGCTTCAACTGTCTGCTGCCCGCGTTCAACTGCAAGCAGTATGCCGAGTGCAGCACGCACGATGGGAAGTGTGAATGCCCGCCGGGCTTTGGCGGGGATAATTGTTTGGAGCCGCGTATGTGTCCTGACTTCCGGCCGCGGTGGTGGCGTTGCTGGGGTGTGGGCTAATGGGATTGTTGGGTGCTGCTAGTTTGTGGGTCGCTGGCCGGCGACAATCACAGGCCCGTGAAGGGCAAGGAGCCTTGCGAGTGCGACGAGGGCTGGACTGGAATCAATTGCAATGGTTTGTGGCACTGGGCAGCTTGGGGGGTAGGGTAGGGGTGGGGCGGGAACTACAGGCTGATTGATTGTGTGTGTGTGTGTGGATAGTTTGCGAGACGGACGATGCGTGTGACGCCCTCATGCCGCAGCGTGAGGGTGGCGTTTGCTACAAGCAGGGCATTGCGGTCAAGCAGAATTACCAGCAGTGTGATGTTACGAGTATGTGGCTGGCTACCCACGGTAAAGAACTGAACCGGGACCCGAGGCTAATGGTGAGCAGATCGGAAGATCCTGGAGATGTTGAAGAGGAACCCGCAGGTCACGTTCGGATGCAACAAGGAGAAGGAGGAGTGTACTTTCCAGTGTAGGTGTTTCCGGCCGGCTGGTTAGGTTGGTTATGGGCTAACATGTTGGGGTTGTATAGTCTGGGTTGACCAGGTCGAGTCGTTCTACTGCGCTCTTGACGAGTGCGAATGGGAGCTGCAGAGTACACACGATAAAAACGTTACAGACTACGAGTGTAAGAAGGTCAAGTGCGAGTGTATTCCGGGCCGCACCCTCTGTGGTGAGGGTGGCACCATCGATCTCACAGAGTTCTTGACAGAAGGAATTACTGGGCCCGCGACATTCTCTTGCGATTCTTCAAAGTCGAAGGATTCGTGCTATTTCTCGGAGCCTGCAATGAACGACGTCATCTCCTCCATCTTTGGAGATGAGAGCATTCTGTTGGATTGTAACGCGGGTGAATGTTTGCACAAATCGGAAGTCCCTGGATACAGCAGACCGATCAAGACCATCAACAAGCCTCTTATTGCTGGTGTCATTGCCGGATGTGCTTTGTTCATACTTGCTGTAGTTTTGGGTCTTTGGTATCTTGGCAGGCGCTCAACCCAGCGCAATGGCGCAATCCGTCTCGCAGAAGAAGACGATGAGGCAAGCCGTCTTGGTGTGGAGCACAGACCTGCGTCATTGCACTTCGAGAAGGTTTCTTACTCGCTCAATGAGAAGACTATCCTCAAGGATGTCAGCGGTGTTGTCAATTCCGGGCAAGTTATGGCTATCATGGGACCCTCCGGAGCAGGAAAGACTACCTTCCTGGACATCCTCGCGAGGAAGAATAAGCGTGGTAATGTCCAGGGAAATATCTACGTCAATGGATCTTTGGTGTCGGACGAGGAGTACAGAGAGGTTATTGGTTTCGTTGATCAGGAAGACACTATGATGCCGACACTCACGGTCTACGAGACGATTCTCAACTCTGCGCTTCTTAGACTCCCGAGAGATATGAGCTTCCAGGCTAAGGACACCCGTGTTATGGAGGTTATGGCACAGCTTGGAATTTTAGCAATTAAGGACCAGCTTATTGGAACATCAGAGGACAATGGACTTCGCGGCATCTCTGGGGGTGAGAAGAGGCGTGTTGGAATTGCCTGTGAATTGGTCACCAGCCCTAGTATCCTGTTTTTGGACGAGCCTACCAGCGGACTGGACAGCTTCAACGCCTACAATGTGGTCGAGTGTTTGGTCAACCTTGCAAGGAACTACCGCCGTACTGTGGTCTTCACTATCCATCAGCCGAAGAGTAACATTGTCGCGCTTTTCGATCAATTGGTGCTTTTGGCAAAGGGAAGATGTGTCTACTCAGGCCCTTTTGACAAGTGCCAGAGATACTTTGATCAGCAGGGTTACCCGTGTCCTCAAGGCTTCAACATTGCGGATTATCTCGTCGACTTGACAATGCACGCAGACTCCCGACGCGCGCTCCCCCAAGAGGAAGATGTCTCGGAGAGCAATGAAAACTCACGCAGAAGCACAGTAACATCACCAAGCCCCAGCGAAAGCACTCCTCTCTCTTCCACCAGTTCCAAGAAGAAGGGCCGCAAGCGGGGCGGCTCAATCAGGGCTCTCCAAGAAAGGCAGCTTTTTACTCGTCGACGCTCTGAGATTGCAAACCCGCTTGGCGAAGAGGTCATGATGTCCGATGATTTGGAAGGCACCAGGGTCTGGAGAGACGTCGGTGAGCCACGCCACACCTTCGAGGAAGCAGAACACCTTCTCCCCCCCGCTCCCCAGATGAACGGTGACGCCACAGATCTCGACGTCCTGATTGCCGCCTACCAAAACTCCGACGTGGCCGCCGCCATCCGAGACGAGATCTCATCACCCGGCACATCCGAATCCAACGGCAGCGCCAACGGCTCCGCCGGCCAACGGCCCTCCAGCAGCGGCATGCGCAGTTTCAAGCGCATCGGCTGGCTCGCGCAATTCGTCATCCTCAGCCGGCGCACCTGGAAGAACCTATACCGCAACCCCATGCTCATGCTCGCGCACTACGCCATCTCGATCCTCCTCGGCGTGCTCTGCGGCTACCTCTTCTTCGGCCTCACCAGCGACATCTCGGGCTTCCAGAACCGCATGGGGCTCATCTTCTTTGTGCTCGCGCTCTTCGGCTTCAGCACGCTCACGTCGCTCAACGTCTTTGCCGCCGAGCGCACGCTCTTCCTGCGCGAGCGCGCAAACAGGTACTATGCGCCCATCACGTACTTTGCGGCCAAGGTCATCTTCGACATCGTGCCGCTGCGCATCATCCCGCCAATCATCATGGGGATGATCATGTACCCCATGGTCGGCCTGTACGCCGAGTGGCCCGAGTTCTTCAAGTTCATGCTGGTGCTCGTGCTCTTCAACCTCGCCGCCGCGGCCATCTGTCTCTTCATCGGTATCATCTTCAAGGACACGTCGCTCGCGAACTTGGTGGGGAGCCTGGTCATGCTCTTCTCGCTGCTGTTTGCCGGGCTGCTGCTCAACCACGACTCGATACCGAAGGGCGCGCTGTGGCTGCAGACGGGCAGCATCTTCCATTATGGCTTTGAGGCGCTGCTGGTCAATGAGGTTAGGTACTTGAGTCTGTATGAACATAAGTAAGTCACTCGCAATCTACCCCTAACCCTAGCTATATATCCAACATTACTAACAACTCAAAAAACAGATACGGCCTCGATATCGAAGTGCCCGGCGCCACAATCTTGAGCACCTTCGGCTTCAACTCGCTCGCATACTGGAAGGACGTGATTGGGCTGGGCGTGTTTGCGGGCAGCTTCATCATCCTGGCGTATGGTGCTATGCATCTGCTGTTGGTTGAGAAGCGGTAGTTTGGGGCTGGTTTGGTTGGTGGCGGGTGCGTAGAGAGCGCGCGCGCGCGTGTGTGTGTGAGGGCGAGGGCGAGGGAGAGGGGGAGAGAGACAGACGATACATGTATGAGTTTAAAGATCAGAAAGGACACACGGTTTTCTCGTTTTTTTTTTTACATTTTGGTTTTTATGGTTTTTTTTTCTTCTTTTTTTCTTTTCTCTTTTTTTTTTTTTGAACGGACGAGACGGCCATTAATGGTGGACATAAATTAAGACCTTGTCATAGATGATTTGATGGGTTTGTGGGAGAGTCAGTACCCCCCCCCCCTTTTTCTTCTGCAAATGATGGGCGGAAGACCATATAGGGGGGGGGGGGGGGAAGAAGGAAGAGAAAGAAAAAGAAAAAGAAAGATTTTCCCCACACAACTTCTTTTTATAAGTAAATATTTGGAGTTTTCTTTTTTTTTTTTTTTTTTTTTTTTTTTTTTGAAAGGTTATTGGTTTAGTGAGTGTTATTAATGTTTTTTTTTTATGTTTTCCTTATTTGTTGTTTCCGCTGTTTAAGAAATAAACTACATGTATGTTTTACACATGCGTTTTTTTTCGGTTCTTTTTTTGGGGGGTTTCCGCGCGTGGAAAAGACAAGATAAAATCCTGGGGATATATATATATATATATATAAAAGTCGGATCCAGAGAAATTAAAGCGGAGGTTTAAGTACTCTAAATGTTGAAAAACCTGGGGTATATACCAATGATCATGCAGTGCACCAACTCCGCCGTGCAGTGTGATGTCGCACAGGCGATCCGATCCTCGCTGTTTGTTCGGGTAGGTATATGGGGGTCTTTGGGCGATTGCATACGTAGGAAAATATCGAATATCGAATATCGAAACAAACCTGTAGATACCCCCCTCGTGAGAACCCTTACATTAGAGTAGTGCTGCTAGGTGCTGTAACCCAACGCTGTCAGGTAAGTATGTACCCCTAGGTACATGAAGGTACTTCTACTGCACGTAGAGCGCCGTCATGGCAGACCATGTGTCCAGTATTTATTAGTCGAAAGGACAAACAGACCTCGGGCCCCATGGCCAGCATCCCACCATCCCACCATCCCCTCTCTTCCTCCAAAATTAAAAAGGGACTTACCGTAGCACAACCCCACACCAACCGGTCCCGAGGAATGTTACTGGTCCTCCTCCAAGAAGACTGCGCTGCGCTGGCTATTATTACCGATGCCTTTCTCTCTCTCTCCCCACGGTTTCGGTGCCCCACATACATATGATACAGGTCTCAAAAATAAGCTCTCGGACCAGTGAACCCTTTACCTAGAAAGGTGGGTGACTAAGTTTTGTACCTGCGCCGACCCGATCTGTGGTTTCAAGCAACCACAATCATTGACACTAGCTAGAGGCTACCTAGGCTCCACTTTTTTCTCTATTTTCTCTAGCGCGCCAACCTTGAAGATCCCGCTGCGGATTCGATAATTATTACTTTGCCAAGGTTATGTCTAATGTTTAGTTGGAATTGATAGACAGCACAGCGTCTGCGATACCTGAAAGCTAGAGGCACATGGTGATGGCGCAGTTGAGTTAAGCTTCAAACCCCATCAGATTGATGTAATTTATATCTGTTTCAACCAGTTCTTTGTGTGTAGATAATAAAATTCAGTGGGCATAAAATGCGAGATAATTGTTTGAGAAGGAATATTCTACACTCATTCCTGCTTGAGCCGCAAGCATTGGTGGGGTTAAGCTGGGGGGGTAGGGATCGTGGGTTATAATTAGCACAACCCATGATCCCAGATAGCCGTTGTGCAAAGTACGGACCAGTACGAACACAGCAACGGAACGGATGCAATACGCTGAAACAAGAGAATGACAAGTCCACACTCCTGGAAAATTATCATCTCCTTTTCATATCGCATGGCCGATATTGGTGATGTGTTAGCTTTTGAAGGGGGGGTCCGAGATGAGGTAAGTCGTGGACGATTTATTATTCTTCCGCAAGTCGAGGGGAGCAGCAAAAAAAGTCGAGCCAAACAGCCACCGTTCACCGGAGAGTTTGCAGGCAGTGCCGTGTCTGTCCGAATCTCACCCACATCCTTCATGTTGTATCACAATGATGTTCTGTGGCGGAGTACTTACTCTACATGCATGTACTGTAAAGTACTTAGAGTGCCTCTTCTGTATTGCATATCCGCATGTCAATTATTTCAAACCCAAGTAACAGAGGGGAAATACATGTACTCCATGTAAACAATTCCCTGCCAAATAATCCCCTCCTCAGAAGCACTATCGTATGTAGGTGCTGTATTAACGGAATAACAGCCGAGAGTCGCTTAACCTGATAAATTTAAAGGTCAATGCCATATTTCCATTGACTTCTCGGCCACAGCCAGGGTATTCCCCATCCCCCATCTCCATCCCAAGGACTCGCCACAACCGTTCGTTCCATTCAGTTCCAGTTAAACCTGTCCTATCGACCTTCGTGTGATTTGTGGCTTGGGAGGGTCAGCGTATCATCAGCCTCCTTCTCCCCCGGTAGATCGCAGCTATTGGGCTGTCTACCCTACATACGTACTCCCGGATCCCACCTTTACCCTTTCCTTCCTCCACTCCAGTTGAACCTGTCTTCCACTCCTCCGTGTTGTTTTGACCTGGGGACCCTTTTTTTTCTGGTTTTGTCAACGTCCCAATCTCTACCCATCAAAATATAACGGATAGGCACACGCAGTAACCTGTTTTAATCTTGTTACACACTTGCTTGCTTGCGTGTTTCCGAATCTTTGTTTTGTCTCCCAAATTCTTTTGGCGCCCTTCTACTCAAATTTCCTTATCGACTCTATTTCTTTGGCGCTTTGAAGACGAGCGCTTCGGGCAATAAGTCGGTGATGAAGCTTCCGGTACTAGTAACACGTACGCTCGTTGAGAGGCGATTTCCTCATGATGATGATGATGATGAGGATGGCCCAGGAGGGTCCAGCGGTCAAGGGAAATCTCTTATAGTGAGTTTCTTATCAAGCTCTAGGAATTTCTACCTTTTGGTTTTGCTTCAGGCATCCGGAATGGTAGTTGTCTATCGTTGTTCCTATAGCTAACGCAGCTCCTCCCCACTTCCTTCAGGTAGCTGTTGTCTTCGTTGCCGTTCTTCTCTTCTCCCTATTCATCTACGTCGGTCTACGTCTTCTCCGCCGAAGTGTATCAGAGCCTCCAACCTGGCTCCCCGAATTTGTCAGATCTTGGTGGACAAAATGGCGGCCCGGTACCTATATCCCCACACCAATTTCAGAAAGAGAAGCTATCGCCGCCGCCACAGCCGCATCATCTATGTCCAGCCGCCATAGTGACCGTTCCACCAACTACAACGACAGTCGTCGTGATCGACACAGCAGTCGACGTGACCGCCATCGCGAAACCCCAACACAAGGGATTGACAGAAACACAAGTATTCGCTCTATCATGACCTTACCCGAATATCGACCTGTCGCTTCACCCGGAAAGGAGCGGACAATTGGCCGAGAAGGTGAACGGGCCGGCATCGATGTTGTACTCGAATTTCCAGAGAGTTCAACTGAGGAGGAACAAAGGAGGGAGGAGCACATGCAAGCTCTGTATGAGATTCGACTCGCACGGCAACTTGAGAGGGCGGAGGCTAGAGAGAATGCCGTAAATGGAGGAAGTAGGAATAATCGACACGCCTCGCCAGGGCCAGGGAGCGATCGGGGGAGAACTAGGGACGGCTCAAGTAGCACTTCACTAGCTGCCGCTCTTGCTGCAGTTTCGGAGAGAGAGCGAAGACTGGCCAATGTTTCATATGCCGAGGTTGGAACCGCAAGACCGGACGGATCTAGAGTTAGGGCTAGCTCAACAGCATCTGACAGAGATAACCAGCCACTGCTGAGCTCTGGGGCCAGTATGGGACGACACGGGAGAAGTGTATCGATAGAAAGTGTTGAGATGTTCAGCGCGAGACCAAGTATGGAAACCAGACCTCCAGGAGGCTCCGGTAACAGACAGGTCTCTGGTGTCAGATCAATGTTGGATGTTGATCGGGAAACTACTCCCCCGCCGCCCGATTATGGCGGTCCGCCAACGGAGCCACCGCCAGATTATGATCAGTTACATGATCTGCACGATGATGATGGCCAACATGGAAATATGAATATGCAGGTTCCATTACTACGAGTCGAGGCGGCTTCGCCCGAACCATCAAGCTTGCCCGCCTACCCCTCACAGGCACGATAATCATAGAGAATGATATATATATATATTAGTATGGAGGTTTTCTGAAGCTTTTAGGAGTAATATAACTCGCCTTTCCCCTATTACTGGTCTGAGATAGCGTGGCTATTCTTTTCTTACTTTCGTTGTATACCCCCCATTTTCTAACCATTTTATTTTTCTTTTGGGCAAATTCTTTACTTGGGCGTTTGTATTCATCGTTACTCACTATACCATGCGGTGGTTCTTTTTTTCTCCTTGAGCTTTTGTTCGTCGCGGCGAATAGGGTTGGAGGCTGTTATTGTTTTGTGGTGCTGTTAGTGGGGAGTTTGAAGGTAGATGAAGCATCGAGAGCTACAGCTAGAGGTGTAGTGATCTAGAAATGAACCTACATTTGTGAAACACGATGATCATAATTAAGCACCAATTTACTTCGCGGTACTTGATCTTGTAAGGTTGAATCGAGGCTCTGCATCTGGCCCGAGTGATCCTGTGTGTTTTAACTATGATTACAACCACACCCCTGAGGGTTGGTTCGCTGAGATTTAATCGAAGTAAAAGGAACTAGGTTCAAATATATAATTTAGTATGACCACCTCGCTTCGTATTCAGGGCCGATGTCGACATCAGTGCGTCCGCTAACAAAAGCAGCATTAGTTCCGAGAGAACCCTCGCAGGGCAGGTAATCTATAGATACCGCGCTCCCGGTGGCAGTCAAAACCTTTCAGAAAGTGCAATCCATTCATTTTATCATGAGGGTTCATTACTTACTACGCAAAAGGATTATGCCTGTAGGAATGTTGGCGTGGTGTCCTACACACCGGTGTCTTTTGACATGAGTACATATCTTGAGTATTGTAGGTCAAAGCTGTATAACCGGCAAGTGAGTTGATAGATTTGCTTGCCGCAAAGTATTTCCACTTGAGAGAGTGGAGGGGATGAAGTTTGTGTTCAAGTCTAGGAGTGGAACGCTGCGAAGGGGTTGCGAGTGTCTCAGAGTCTCAGGAAGAGTGTAGGCAATTGTTTCGGAGGCAACTGTAGTCACAGCTTAGTTCAAAGGTAACTGCAGTCACATTTTATTTCACTCATAACAGATATACGTGTACATTTATCCAATATCATTGCGAACCAAGCCAATACAGTAGTGTCATACACACAAACGAAGTACCACGTAGTGTTTACGCTTTGAAACAAGCATAGGAGGAAAGCTAATCCATATAGAATACAGGCAGTCAAATACGCTCTATGTCACCATGAAAGGTTTTATCGGTTTATCCACAGCAAGAAGCTGTATGTGGGCGTATAAATACAAAATCAACGTTCACGTTAATCTCGGGCGGGAGGCCGGCTAGACACGTATTGATTGACGAGTGAGAACCTGTGATCATACTAATACCGCCTACATACATACTTGTACGCACGGAGACGCCAAGAACTTTTAACTCTGTTTATGCTCTACGTTTTAGTCCTATTCGCATTACAGAAATTCTAGCTCTAATGTCCCTTACCACCATGCTAGCCTCTACTCTGTCTATGGTGTTGGCCGGTTCTCTTAGGCAAAGGTGGGTCTTAAAAGAGTTGAACAAAGTGAGGTGGTTCTATTTAGAAGTCGAATTGTCCAGCTACAAGTACATGTACCTGTAGTTATAGGCTAGGACCAGATCATGACACCGTGGTCTAGGCCCATACACGACAGCTCCCCCTACAGTGTCCTTAAGCCGCTAGAACCGCAGCATTTGCCAGTCAACTCAGTCTCTCGAAAACTACATGTAGATATAGCCCCTTGATACTTATGTGGCCAAGAACAAATCTTGAACCTCACTTCACCAATATGGGTCGACGGCGTAAGATAACCCACAATTTGGATGATATAGATACCAACGCCGTATACCTATCGCTCTCAAAATAATTACCCCCCACCGAGCAGCTAAAATCGGCTTATCTAGTAGCTTCCTGGTCAAGGAAGTGATTGAGGAATTGTCAACTACTAGTGATATTTCTACCGGCACAAGGGAGTTTGATCAAGGCTTCCTAGGAATAGCTGCAAACTGTATATATTTCATCGATTGCCGTTCCTTCTGTCTTCGTATCTACCCACCACTGACACCTGCAGATCTACTAAACCCTTAGATATCTACCACTACCTACTGATACTACTGATCCTTCCGATAGCAAGAGCTTTTATAGCACTCGGGAGTGTTTATGGGAACTGATTTATCCAGGCGGTGGATATATTGTCTCGTTTGGAGGTGACAATGTGAGTAGTAATCATCCACGTTGTAGCCCTTGTTTTGATCTTGTGGCTGCTGTTTCTATTTCTGACCAGATGGCTAACCAGAGCGGGGAGGTACGATAACTACATATAAAATTCGTCAGTACACCCCGTAATACTTAAGGTTTAGACCCGAAATCTTATGAGAGATGTATCAGGGGTTTCTGAGGTGTAACTTCGATTCCCAGGTATCACGAGATTGCGGGAGAGGACTCAACCGTCAAGCCCGTAGCTTCGCAAGAAAAGAGTTACAGTTTTTTAAGTCTGGTTGAGGGCGTGTCAGCCCCTCAACGCGCCATTCCAAGGTTTAGAGCGCAGCTGCCGGTGCTAGCAGCTAGAATACAAAGACAGACAGGCGTCTTGGCGCGAGTGATCTTTCATGATTGTGAATTTTCCTCATGGAGTCCTCGTTGAGAGGATAAAGGTCTATTAACGAATGTCATTAGGCAGGGTCTCTTCCGAAGTTATGACTGCCTACATGCGTATATGCACTCATACGAAGGGTATTCTAGGCGCAGGAGCTGAATTAAGTACTGACTGCCACGAGGGAATCCCACGGGAGCGGGCACCACCGACCAACTATACGAAAAGTATACAGATATTCTGCTTCTTGAAAATAGGAAGCGGGGAATAGGCTCGTAGCTATAGGCGGTGTTATAGAGTCTTGCTGCCGCCTGAATTTCGGATGCTAGATGACGGGCTGTTCGGAGGCCAGTGTTTTCGTTGGAACCACGGCCTATAAGTAGGAGGAGAACTCTACCTATTGATGCAACATTGCTTCCTTATATTCCCATCCCCGAATGTCGCTTCTTCCAAGCTCTGTTCTGCAGTAGAGCTCATTTACTCCTGGGTTCGTAGCCCTAACCCACAAACCGCCACTAACCGAACAGTCTTGGCGCCCGTCCACGGTAGCACAAGCATATCGTAACACGTGACCTCACTCCTTCGCACTCATACACTTGCATTCATTCGTTCTCTCCTTCGTTCCTTCCCCTCCTTCGTTCCTTCCCCTCCACGAACAACAATTCTCCCCCACCGCGCGTCTATCACCCACCGCCCCCAACTTCAATTCAGGCCGCCGGTGGATGACACCCCATCCCCGAATTAGCAATGGTGGAAAAACGGAAACGCTACATGGCCGTCCGAGAGACAACCTCCGCAAAACGTCGCAGCCCAAGTCCTACAACCACTGCCGGTGCGACACCTGAGCTCGCCCATGATGTGCCAACGACGTTTGCGAGGGATGGACCGTTGCCGGTGCTGCCGGTGCGACAGGAGAAGGAGCTACCGTTGAAGGAGTATAAGAGTGTGGCCGAGAGGTGCGTTTTCACTGTTACTGCTTCTTGCTGAGTTTTGGGTGGCTAACTTGCAGCAGTCGAGTCATGCAAGAATCGCTCGAACGCTCACGCCGCAAATGGGTCGACGGCGACATCTTCGAAAAGTTCTGGACCAAGCCGCTCAAGTCACGGAGGCTCGACCCCGTCGAGATGGAGAAGAACCCGGGGAAGGACTGCATGACCAGGCTCGGGAGTGCCACGCTGAGCTGCAAGCCGCACAAGTTCGAGATCAAACTTTTCGGCGTTCTCGAACCTGTTAAGGTCCCCCCCGCACCTCCTGTCCCCACCCCTGCCCCGCCACCGCAAATGCAACCGCAAACTCTACAGAGACAGCCACAGCAGATGCAGCCGGTCAATGGGATGCAGCAGGGAGCTCCGTTTGCGGGGACTGCGCAGCCGGTACAGCAGCAGGTGCAGACATCGGCGGTACCACACCCGCAGCCGGCCACTCAAGGACATGTTGCTGCTGCTCCGCAGCATTATGTGCCAGCCCAGGCTCCGACCCAGCGCCCGATGCACCTTACTCCACAGCAGCAGCAGCACCCGCAACACCAACAGCACCCACAGCATCAACAACAACACCAACAACACCCTCAACATCTGCAACACCCGCAACATCCACAACACCCGCAACACCCGCAATATCGCCCCCAACAACAGCATCACCCCCAACAGCCCCCACACCCGCAGCAGCCAGGACCACCTCGACCAGATCCCGTCATCCAGTCGTTGGCAATCCGGGCTGCCGAAGATCCCGAGCTGAAGGCCCTCATGAGGATCGTCGCCTCCGGGAAGGCGACCCAGGAACAATTAAAGATCTTCCAGGGCCATATTGATGCATTGACTCCACAACCACTTGTGCCGACCGCCGCCCGACCAATTGCTCCTACGCAAGGGCTTGTCAATCCCCAGCCACAGGCCCGACCCCAGCAAATGCACCCGCACCCGCACCAGCACCCGCAGCATCTCCAGCATCTCCAACACCCTCAACATCTCCAGCATCAACAGCACATGCAGCATCCTCACAACCAGCAACAGCAGCACCCCCATCCGTCATACATGGTGCAACACCTGCACCCCCAGTACCAGCAGGCCCACCAAGCTCCACGCCCGCAGCAGGTAGCACCCCCGAAGCCGAAGCCCTTCCCGCAGCCGCCAAAACAGGAGATCACCGCTATAGTCTTCGAGTTCACCGACCCATACAGCCAGGGCGACCGCTTCCTGTTCCCGAAATACTCGATCCTCGAGTACTCCAAGAACGGCATGATGGTCATCGCATCCTTCATGGTGACTCGCAAGCCCATCGACGACCTCGACGAATACTACCAGCCGCTCACCATCACCCTGGAATCAACGAGCCCGCGCAACCTCGAGATCCTCCAGCGGGTCGTCAAGGACGCGGACACAACACGGGAGCACATGAAGAAGCTCATGGCGACACTCAAGCGCGCGGACGACAGCTTCCTCGCATTCCGGCTGCGACGCGAGCCCGGCGACGTGGTCCCCGATAGGCTTGATGCGCCGCTGCTGCTGCCGCCGCCACCGCCGCCGGGCCGCGCGAGGGAGAGTAGAGTAAGGAGAGACGCGAGCACGCCGGTGGTGCCCGGGGAGACGAGGGAAGCGCCGCGTGGACCAAGGGTCAAGAATGTGAAGAAGGTTCGTGCTTTAAAAAGTTCTTGTTAAATTATTTTTTTTATTTTTCGTTTTTTATCTACCTTTCATTTTTTTTCTCTCGAGGTGTGTGTGTGGTTCGCGGCGGGCACAAAATAAAAATAACTTCTCTCTACTACTTTCTTGGTTTTTTTTCTTTTCTTACTCTCTCTCTCTCGATTCCGTTTTGAAATAGAACACGGTCATAGCTAAAATGCGTTTCTTCGATGACCACCAGGCATTACCGCGAGAGCCTACCACTGCTGCCACTACCAATACCACTACTACAAACACTCCCACAAGCACCCCCACTGCCAATACCACCACTCCACCAGCAACCACCTCCCACCCCCTCCCCACCAGCCCCCACCCCAAACCCCCCAAGCCCCCGCGCTCGCGCAAAGGCCGCATCGCCGACCCCACCAAGTCGTGCACGATCTGCAAAACCTCCAAAACCTCGCTCTGGCGCAAGGCAGACATCGACGGCGAGAACGTCACCGTGTGTAATGCGTGCGGCATCAAGTGGAAGACGAATGCGCAGCGCGCGGCGCAGCAGGTGGTCGGCGACACGATTGTGGTGAAGGGAGTGGAGGAGGGGAATGGGGGCGGGGTGACGGGGATGGATGTGGGGACGGGCGTGGGAGGGACGGGGGTGGCAGTGGGAATGGGGCCGGTGGTGGGGATGCAGATGGGGGGGTTGCTGCCGGGTGCGGTTGGTACTGCGCCGGTGATTGCTCCTGCGGTTCCTCAGGTGGGTGTGCCGGCGGGTGCGCCGATGGTTATTCCTGCAGTTGTGCCTGTGGCTGCTCCGGTGGTTGCGCCTGTGGTTGCTCCTACGGTTGCCCCTACAGTTGCTCCTGTTGCCGCTGCACCGCCGCCGATACAGACACAACCGCAACCGCAGACGCAACCACAGATACAGGTGCAGACCCAACCGCAGACGCAGACGCAGACACCCCAAGATGCGCCAGTGGCCTAGCCTCACCGTAACTAAGTCCAAACCCAAACCCAGTAGACCACATCTACATAATACAACCCCCCTCCCCCCTCCCCACATCCCACTCCATTCCGCGACTCTAGAAAGCCCGTGGCTTCATGACCATCGCCACCCCGGCCCCCTTCGGCTACGTTTGGTTAGCTCATTAGTTTACCGTTAGGACCTTTTTCTCTTTTCCTCTTTTTTTTCTTTCTCGTTGTACGCGCTGTGCGTATCGTTTCGGTGTCAATGGCGTTTTAGTTTTCTGTTTGAAATTGGGAAGCATTGAAATTCGAAATTGTAGTAGCGCTTTGTTATGTGCTCATGATCATGACCAGGTCGGGGCGGGGTATACGTAGTACTAGTAATATAATATTTGCTGTTTTTCTCTCTGGTTGGTTGGTTGTATTAATAGTGGTAGTACATGAGGTTGGTGATAGTAGTGGTAGTACATGTAGTAGTTGAAGAAGGAGGGATGGATATGGGCCAGTAGTACAAAGGAACGAATTTGGAACCAGTCGACGATCGTGGGGGGGTGTCCTTTATCTATATATCAATCGGTGGAGTGCGGCCGGAAAGAAGTGACCGGGTGGGTGTAAGAGTGCGAGTGATGGGTTGTGACCGTATTGTATGTAGGGTGTGCTCCGGGTTGCAGAAGCGGGCAGGAGGCGTAAGTAAATGCATCCGGCAGCGAAGAAAGAGTTAGAGGATATAGGCAGAAGTATCCCAGCGCGGCGGCGCCTGACCTCTCTCAAAAAGTGCTGTATAGATTATTTCCCCATGCTCCGGTAGAAAAAGCAATGTTGATTTGCCTAGACTATGGCTTGGGTTTGTGCTGAGGGTGGATTTTTGATGGGGGTATTTCTGCTCTTGTAGTGCAATTGCGTCTTGGGTCGGTTCTTGATGTGTTTTTGAGGGGCTTTGGGACTTCTATCTCGGGTGTTACTTTTTCTCGTGCTGGCGTTTAATATATAATATCACTCGTCTGCCACCAGAAGCTTACACAACACAATGCTAAGACTAAAAACAACTACACATTCACAAATAAGGTATATTTATTACAAACAGCTATGTAACACCCCCCCACCCACCCACTATACAAAGCCCCCCTAATCCTCCAACTCCTCAAACCGCCCCTCCTCCACCGCCTGCTGCACCGGATTCTTCACATCCACAACCCCCGTCTTCCTCAGCCTCTCAAACAGCACAAACATTTTCTCCGCCTCGCGCTCCTTCTCCTCCATCGTCATCCCCTCAAACGGATCCGCCTTCACCGGCTCCATCTCCACCCACTGCCCCGTCACCGGATTCACCTCCCTCGCCACCCCCTTCTCCTTCCCGACCCCCGCCCCCGAACCCATCCCGCCGTCCAGCCCCCGCGACACAAGCAGCCCAGACGCATACCCGTACCCCACGTTCTCCACATACGTCTCGGGGCTGCTTCCGCTGAGCTCAAACAGCAGCGACGCGACATGGTCGCGCAGGCCGGGCGCGGTTGCGGCGGCCGTCAGCCGCAGCAGGCGCGAGGGGAGGGTTTTGCTTGTGCCGAGGGGTGCGTCGCGCTCCTCGGGCGCGGGGAGGAGCACCTTCTGCATGTGTGCGACCACGGCCTCGGGTGCGAGCTCGAGGAGCTTCCGGAGGAGGGTGACGAGCGGGGCGGCGGCGTCGTCGAGGTCGGGGTCGCGGGTTGCGGCGTCGAGGATGGCGATGAGGCGGTCGACGAGCTTGAATTCGGCGCCGGGGGGGAAGAGGGCGGGGGTGGTGGCGGTGAGGGGGAGGGAGAGGGGGGCGTTGATGAGGTGGATTATGGTGCCTTGGAGGGGGGGGCTGGGGAGGGTGATGGTTGTGAGGAGGGTGAGGAGCGGGGGGAGGGTGATAAGGAGGTGGGGGGATGCGGTGTGGTGGCCGAGGCTGAAGAGGAGCTTGAGGGTCTCGGTTAGTGCCATTTCTTGCATCTGCATGTGGGGGGCGGTGGTGTGTCGGTCGAGCGCTGCGGCGAGCGAGGCGGGGAGAGTGGTGTCTAGCAGTCCTGGGGGCACTGGTGGGGTGAAGGTGGCCAGGAAAAGGATGCGTGAGAGGAGGAACTCGTCGTCTATGGATGCGGTCTATCATGACCATTAGCAGGCGCAATTATATTGGGTGGGTTTAGAAGATGTACTTCGAATCGTTCAGCAGCCTTGAGTGCATATCCGAGGTCCACGAAGATCTGGCGACAGTCCGGATTGAGGAGGAGCGCGTTCGCAAGGCATCTCAGCGCCTCCCGGGAAGTTGAGATGTCGGAATTAGGCTGGTCAAAGGCGTATTTTCCCAATGTGTCGATTCCCTAGTACTGTAAGCTGTTGTTGACCATAAGTGTAAGTAGAGGGCCTCTACCTCTCTGGTGAAGATGGCGCCGCTACCGTTAGGGTCTCTCCCATGGACCTTGAGGTGCTCGAGGGTCGCGGTGCGCTCTAGAGAATTAGCAAAGCTAGACGCAGGAACGCGCAAGGTTGAAGCTTACGAGCTGGAGTGAGCGTCGGGTTCGTGAGGTCTGTGGAAAGAACGTTGAGGAGGCGCTCAACGGATGCCTGCTTTGCTGGGAGATGTTAGCTGGTGGGAGACGAGAGCAAGCTTAAGGGGTTGAGGGGCATTACGTTCGCCGGGCTTGGGCTGCGCACTAGCTGGTAGAGAGGCCATTCTTGTTGAAGAATGCTGTATTGTTAATTGGGTATCACGGGCTTGTTGATGCGGCACCAGAGGCAGGGAGTGGTCCTGGAGTGGATGGAGGTTGTTGAACTGGGAACCCTCAGGCGACGTCACAGTGCACCCTCTTGGGCCTGAGGTTACACAAGCCACAAGCAAGGGTGGCGAGACCCTGGCCCACAAGGATGGATAGTTATCCCCCAGATCTGAAGACAGCATAACGAGGTCTATAAGGCTTATTTACCCAAATTATATTAGCAGAGTCCCATTATTGACGGTGGTTCGGTGGTGGCCAATAATTCTGAGTGGTTCGACATCGTATCAGACATGGTGCATCACTCGGTCGGATAGTCCGCCCACCCAAGAGTTAGCACAGTGGATCGGGCACCAAGAAGAGAGATTTTGTACCGAACCCAAGAAATCTGATTCAATTTCTCCATTTCTAGCTCTTGTTACAAGGCATTCATACGCCCTGGGAGGCTCTGTTGTTTTCCTGGCTGCAAGTTAATGGGCTGCTCGAGAAAATGCATGTGGGCAGAAGAGTAAGCCAGTGCACGTGGCCAGAGAGCTAGGATGAAAGTCCCTAATTTAGCTTTCATTAGAGACACCGTTTCTATAAAACACCTGTCCTACCGGTAATGTGTTAGTGTCTTCTATACGAGTCACAATACTTGTCCTATGGTACACAAACCCTTCATATCCTCAATCATAGACGGTCACTCGGGCGCCCGAGCTATCCGCCATGATGTGCCAACTCGGATCACATTTTAGGTTTGAAACCGGCCAATACTATCTCCACGGTAGAGCCTGTTTGTCTATTATAGCGCCCATGTCTACACAGGAAACGGTGATTCCCTTCTTGTTGTACCTCATTAAATTGTTTAATATACAAGTTTGCGTTTAAAGATTAATTCGGGCTCTAGATCTGGGCTGGGTATGATTCAGTAAGATTAAATGTGTGAGCCATTCTATCGGTTTTTTCCCTGGGTGTTTAGCTTTCCCAACCACATCCATTCTATTAAAACTGAAATATTCTAGAATTGAGCCCCAATCACTATGGCACAGATCAGGCACCCCGCTGGTGGTCTTGGGTAAGAAAATGATATATGACCGCCTGTATATACGGCAATTTTAAGTATGATAAGCGCAGCGTATATGTAGCCTAGTAGCACAATTTAAGAGTCACGGATACATATATGCACTTTAGATAGAAACCACTGTGCATTGGGTAACAACCGACGGAGACATTGAATTATTCAACTGTTGCTTCAACAAAGAAGCCCAATCATTCCCCCAGTGAAATTGCCAAGCCCCCAGGGTCCCACCCCAAAGGGGAAGTAATTGAGCCCTCGCGCGTCTTCAACGCGCTACTACGCGAACATCCCCTAAGGGGAAGCGTCTGTCTTTCTGGCTGTCTCTGCTTGCTAGTGCTGCTTGTCTGCCCTGGCAACCACCCTGGACCGTGTGTGTGCCAACCAGACTATCCAGATGAAGCCAGGCTCTCGACTCCCATTCTACATGTCCGATCACGGTGCCTGATCTGACCCTCTCTCTCTCTATCTCTATCTCTATCTCTACCTCTATCTCTATCTCTATCTCTATCTCTTCCTCCCCCTCTCGTCTCTTCCTGCCCTGAAGTCTGTCTGTCTTTCTATTTGCGATTCCGCCCGTCAACACCCCCGGCGGTTCTTGTACAATAACTACACCCTATCCTCCCCCATCCACATCGATCCTAAACCCCCCATATTCTTGCTCTTGGGCAGACAACAGAGAGGGAAGGAAGATTACGATCAACAGAGGATTCACAGCGGGACCTTGGAGAGAGAGACGGACGGACAGACAGATCTAGATTGGATCTACGCATCTCCACCTCATCATATCACATTTTATCATACTACTCGCCGTTCTTTTCTTTTCATCCATCCATCCACACCCATCACGGCCTCTTCCATCCATTCGTCCACTCCCGATCCACCCCCCCCCCCCCCCCCCAAATCCATTCTATTGACGCCGGCCTAAAGTGTCACCGCCACAACTGCTACATAATACATATCCCCTCCGTCGCGTCACCCCCGTTCATGCCATCGTGACTGGAAGGACACGCTCCCTCCCCTCACCCTCGCATCATGGTCGTCAACACCTCATCAGAATCGTCTCCCTTCTTCCCCACCACCAGTCCTACTGCCACCAACACCACCACCACTAATAATACTACCCCTAAACGACGGTCCCTCGACAATAACGGTCTCCCCCGCCCGCCGACCCCACCACGTGAGTCTCCGCGCTCCAAAAAAGCCCTTACCGCCACTGCCAAAGACCCTTTCGCAACCACCGACTCCAACATCCTCGTCGCCGAGTCCTCCCCCCCCCCCTCTTCCGAGTCCTCCGCCGTCGACAAGCCCAAAAAGCGCGTCCTCTGGTCTCCCTGGACCAAATACCACAAGCCCGACGTTCCCCTCGCCTCAACCCCCATCCGCTCGATCATCGACGCCAAGAACCTCAAAAGCATCCTAAAGCCCTCCCCCGTCCCCCTCTACACCGACTCGCCCCTCGGCCGCCCCATCGCCGCCCACACGTTCACCAGCTTCGCCAGCATGCTCGAGAGCGTCCTCACCTCGCTGGCCTCGACGGAGCGCAGCAGAAAGCTCGACACCTACATCACCTTCAGCAACACGCTCAAAGCCTACGACGAGATCCCCGACATGCCCGCGCTCGAGGCGCACCTACCGGCCCTCTGCGACTTTATCCGCCGCGACCTGACGGCCAAGCTCGAGGACGGCGGCAACACCGACAGCCAGCTAATCCAGCAGGCCATCAAGCTGCTTGTGATCCTCGCGTGGACGCCGCGGCTCGTCGAGGCCATCGACGACACCAACGCGGCCTTCTTCCTCGAGCACGCCATTGCGCGCATCGAGGACGCCAGCACGCCCAAGATCATCGTCAACCACAACCTGCACCTGCTCGCGCAGCAGAAGTTCCCGGCGCGGGTCGTGACGGCGGAGCGGGCGAACCGCATCGTGACGGCGCTGGAAACGCTGGATGAGCGGGTCACGGGAAAGAGCATCAACAAGGAGCGCATCGATATCTACTACAAGCTGCTGTTCCAGGCGAAGCTCGTCATGACGGCGCGCATCAGCGACTGGATGGATAACCTGTTTGGCGGGCTGCTGAGCGGCGTCACGGAGGTGCGGAACCGCTCGTTGATCTGCATTGCGGAGGTGTCGAGGGTGCTGGGGAAGGATAAGGCGGTGCCGAGGACGCTTACGAATATCTTCAGCCGCCAGGTCAAGGGGAAGCGCATGTTTGAGTCGATCAAGGAGCGGCTGGACCAGTTCATACGGGACGGGGAGGGCGTTTTTGTGGCGAGGATGTGGGGCATTGTGCTGCTGTGTGTCAAGACACTGGGGGATCACTGGGAGTACTTTACGCCGTGGCTACGCATCATCGAGGGGTGCTTCAATGTCAGTGATAAAGACGTCAAGGTCGAGGCACAGGTTGCGTGGTCGAGGCTAATCTACAGCATGAACATTGGCCCCAACACGACCCGGAAGCTACTGGGACTACTATGCAAGCCACTAGAGCAATATCTAGACCCCAAGAACGCCTATTCCAACACCAAGAAGCCCCGGAAAGCTGCAATGGCAAACGTAAGTGTATTACTATACTATGGTTTCCGCCCCACCGCAACCAACAAGCAGCTCTCCGACGTCTGGGACCTCGTCGTCGTCGGCCTCGTCGAGAAAATGGCCCTCTCATCAAAAGAAGAGGTCGGCGAGGGCTGCAGCATCCTCTCTGCCATCTTCGATTCCACCCGCCCCCGGGCCTGGCAAGAAACGCGGGTCCTCGCAGCCCCGCCCATGGCCCCCGAGGACGTCCCAAGACTGGACCCAAAATGGGTGCGCTCCAACACGGCCCTTGTCCTTAACACACTCGAGGTAGCACTTCGCCGGGGCCACTGGAAAGAGGATGCCGATAAGGGCGTCAAGAGCCTCTGGGCCCACTTCACAAAAACGTTGAGCGACGCCGGCTCAAAGGAGATCAAGGTGAGCGCGGAGCTAATGGAGGCCGTAGCACACCTCTTCAACATGTTCCAGCGCATCTGGGCCGCCGGCCCCAGCGCGCTCCTCGGCGCAAAAGAAGCACTGCCAACAGTGTCCGCATCGTTCATCAAGAAGTTCTCGTTCCTGGTCGTCACGGCGCTGCAATCACTCGGCACAATCCCCTTCACCGAAAAACACCTTTCATACGACGACGCCACCAAGTTCGCCCCGGCCGCAACCCCAACACAGAAATACTCGTCCGGTGGCTCCCCCGCCGTTCTAAACCCGCCGATTCTCCACCTCTTCCAGCTGTTTCTTAACCCGCCCGCAGACGTCTTCCCCGACGAGGAGTACTACGAGTCCGTCCGCACCATCCTCTGGAAATGCGTCGCAGGCCTAGACTCGCGGCGCAAGAAGCTCGGTCTTCTCGCCTCCTGCACGGCACTACTCCCGCACCGCGACGCCCGCGAACTGGACCACGGGATGTGGCAGATCTTCGGGCAGCTGGCGCGCAAGTGTCTTCCGCGCGAGAAGGCGTCTCTGTCGCTGGGCGCGCCGCCGGTCGTGGCCGAGTTCCGCGACGTGGTGCGCGTGCTGGAGTGGGGGTGTCCGTACGAGCTGCAGGGGTGGAAGCGGCTGTACGAGGAGTTCTGTGTGGTTGTGGCAGCGGAGCAGGGGGAGGGCTATATCGCCGCGGTGGTGATTGAGCCGCTTGCGGAGGTGCTGAGGAACCAGGCCGTCGAGAAGGATAAGTATGTTTTGCTGCCCGTGGAAGTGGGGGTGGGAGGAAATGTGGCTGATAAATGTAGGACCGAGAGCCTGAAGAAGGCGGTGATGCTGGTGGAGCATGCGGCGTGGCCGAAGGCGGAGAAGTCGTTTCTGAAGACGCCGTTTGGGGGTGCTGGCCGGCGCTCGCTGGGCACGGACTCGTATGAGAAGCTGTGTGACCTGCTGGACCACCTTCTGAAGCGATCCTACGCCCTTTGCGCGGAGGGAATGCCAATGACGGATACGCTAGCATTGATGGCAGCCCTCGGCGACATGCTCACAAAGTGCCCAAGCGGGAGTATTCTGCAACTGCTGAAGCGCCTGCAAGAGGGTCTCGGTCTCTTTATTGCGGACGAGAAGCAGGTCGTCGGCACAAAGAACACTGACACCGCAGCTAAGATTTACAACCTGTGGGTGAAGGTACTGGAAACATTTACTAGACTCCCTGCGTACGACGGCAAGGTCCTTGATGCGCTGCAGGGCCTGATCACGGCCGGCCTGCAGAGCAAGAGGAAGCAGATCGTCAATGTGACCGTCAGGCTCTGGAACGACACATTCGGCGAGCAGAGCAGTCTCCTGTACCCCCCCAGTGTCCGCAGCGCCCTCAAGAAGCTGCGACCAATCGCAGACTTGGTGCTACCAACCTTCCCCGAGAGTCTAGAGGACGAGGTGAGTTTTCTGTCCCGCTGTCTAGCACCGGGTGATTATTGGTGATGCTAACTAAATCCCGAAAAAAACAAAAAGTCCGCAAATACGCCGCCTGAATTCCCCGAAACTCAGAGTCCGCCGGATGGCGAGGACAGTGCAAGAGAGAGTACTTGGCCCGCCACCCCGCTGCGGGTGGCGTCGCCGTTCCGGATGGCATCGCCGTTCCGGAAGAGCATGTCGCCGGGGATGGTGAAAGACACGCCGCTGCCGACTCGCCGCAGTACTCCTGGGAGCGCGCGGAAGGCGCCGCCTCCAAAACTGAAGCACATGGACTCGCAGATTGAGTTTGCGCCGGTCGACAATGGGTCTGCGGAGGCGATTGATTCGCAGGTTCTTACGGAGCATCAGAAGGAGGTGAAGGAGCGGCAGCGGGATGGGGAGGCTGGAAAGCTGTTTTCGAGCTTGGCGATCAAGACGGAAAAGGACGCTGGCAAGGAGAAGGAGGTTGTGGTGTTGGAGGACACGCCGGTGGAGGATATGGATGTTTCTAGGATTGAGGAGACGCAGCCTTCGCAGGGTGAGGAGAAGGAGCTGGAGGAGACGATTTCGTTCTTATCAGAGATGCCTGTGCCGAAGGAGGAGCCAAACCCACAGTTCTTGCTTACTCGGCCGCCCACCCAACGATCTGGTGATGTGGCTTCGTCTTCCGAGATTGAGCTGTCGTCCGAGCCGGAGATGGACTCTCCTGGGGCCCAGGAGTGGGAGGAGAGCAACGGCGACGATGTCGAGATGAGCAACCCGACCGACGACAACTCGGACTATGGCAGCAGCATCTCAGAGCTCCCGTCAATCGAGGACGATTTTGTCGATGCGCCGGACCAGCCCCCGAGCTCGCCGAGGAGGCATATGACGATGACAGTGGAGGTAGCGCCGCCATCAGCCACAGTCTCTGCGGAGGAGCCGTCGTCGGAGAAGAGCAGCCATTCTAGCCCTGGTGCACAGATTATCGATGAGCAGAGGGCCTCGCATGGGTTGCCGGCTACGCAGAAGCCGACGAAATGTAGGCGGAAGGGGAAGAAGAAGGCCAGTCCGGAGGTTCTGGGCACTATCGTTATTGCCAGCGAGCCTCCTGCGCCAGAGCCTTCGGTGTGGTATCGTACAAGGTCGGCACGGCTAGCAGAGGAGAAGGAAAGGCAGGGGTCGTTGGAGGTTCCAGAAGCAAGAGAGGGCACAAAAACCTTCAAGTCTGTTGAGAATACGCCGTCGAAAGCATCGAAGAATGCGACGCCATCAAAGGCCTCAAAAGGGAGACAGGCAAAGGAAAAGACAACAGACACGCCTTCGAAGAGCAAAGCCGTTGGAGCCACCCCATCGCGAATCTCACCGCCACGGACGAGAGCGTCCTCACGGAGGGGAATTTCGGAGACCCCTAAAGCTATTGCAGAACCCGGTTTGTCCCCTTTGCGTATCGTTCGTTTCATCTACTGACCTCTCCTAGCATCGCGAAAACGCAAGTTCCTAACCACAGATGACAGCCCGGTCCCTGGATATGAGAGCCATCAATCAGGGACTGAGAATGTCTCATCCCCCACACCAAAAGGGCGCCGCCGCAAGTCCGACAACCCACCGCCGGCGAAGCGAAGCCGTGTTGTTGAGGAAGTTCCTGCTGACTCGGATGTGTCCTTCGTGGGGGAAACCCAGCTAAGCTATGGATCGTCGATCCCAGATACTTACGAGCAGGAAGTGGACGAGCTTGTCCGGGCAACACCTTATGCGGGGAGAGCTGTCGGACTTTTTGATAAGACTAATGAGGCGGAGGTGGAGGTTGCATCGACTCCCGGGAAAAGGCGGAGGGTGAAGGAAATGGTGGAGGAGACGCCGGCGCCTGTGGAAGTGCCGGACGTCGAGGAGGAGGAGGAGGAGGAGACCACTAGTGTCGAGGCGGACGCGGTGACGCCTAGTAAGAGGCGGAAAATGAAGAAGAGGCAGCCGGCGCGTGCGGGACGTCGCAGTCCTACAGCGAAGGGGAGTCAAAAGTCCTTGACAGAGACTGAAGAGGACGAGGTTGCCCCACCGTCGTCTCAGGTTGAGATATCAGCGGCCTCGGAGAGCACAGGGGCGGAGGGGTCTCTAGTCGTGGTAGGGTCATCGGGGCCGAGTGTAGTGACCAGTGTAGTGTCGAGTGCAGCCTCTGAGCCCATAACGGGCCAGAACGCAATCGAAGGGCTACGAAGTGCGCTGCGCCTGTTGGATACGGTTGAGTTGACACCGTCTGAGTCCAGAGAGGCGGAGGAAATTATTTTGGGTGCGTTTATGAATATCAGGACACGGGGCCGCGACTAGATCCGATTCCTTTCGTTTCACGCCTCTAGATAAATGCCCTGAATTATGTACATGGGGTCTTTTGGGTTGTCGGTTTACTTTTTTTTCTCTTTCCTTTTTTGCGGGTTCTGGGTTCTCTTGTTTGTAAGACTTGTGTTTTTTTAGAGCGTCTGATATCTGCTTCTTTTTCTCTCTTTTATTGTGAGCAATGGGTGTTTTTCTTTTTTGCCTGATCCTTGCTATGTATGATAAGGGGGGTGGGGCTGGGTTTTTAAAGTAGAAAACATTGCCCATGTATGGGAATTTCTGTCTGGGGTATTTTATTTATTAGCACTCTTGATGGGGGTTGGGTTCTAGCTAGACCTTGGTTTTGTTCTTTTGGCGATATGACTTGATTTAATGGTTGTTATAATGGACACCTGGAGCGAATTTGAGGTTCATTCCTCCACACGGCTTCAAAGATTATCATTTGTGACGGAGCTACACTGTGGGATCGTTGCATCATACGATATCACTCGAAGCAATAGACGCATCAGCGGAACCAGGCAGGATCCTGGAGTTCAGATTTCGATCCCTCCCGCAAATCCGCTTGTTGAGAATCAAGTCATCCTAGTGTGCTTTTTGCGAGGCGCCCGGTCTCCGAGTTTCGTTCCCCTCCTGTCCTGTAGTATTGTATCCTCCTTACTGGTAGAGACGGTTCATTCTGCTGCGCTGGGTTAGCTAGACAGGTACATGTAGATAAGGCGTTGATACGAACGTTTTGGCCCAATCACCATGTCACGGAAATATCAGCGGTGGACCCTTTCGTGGTGCCTATGGGGCGGAGGTGTCATGTAGATTAACATGTGTGTAGGCACGGGGGATTGGTTACCGACGGCGCCGGGTACATGCGGTTTATGTTTTGGGGTTGTGGCCCGGCTGGCTTTGTGGATGTACTATGTATGATTCGTGATTGAACTCAAGTGTTCATTCTCCACTTTTGAGGTATGTGTTCGTTTTGTAACAATCACCTTCTCGCCTCACATCCAGCAGCCGTCTTGCTATACTTACTCGTACTTCTACGGACGCCACTCATAAACATAATGGGATGGAAAGCAAAGGGAACTGGGCCAATGTGTTCGTCCTATGCTTCATGATTGGGTTGATGGCATTCGAATTGTGTTTGATCAAATCACCACATAGGCGGTATGTCCACGAATGGAGATAGGTATAGCTTGACTCCGACCTGGTGCCTAGCTGCAGAACAGAGCCATAAGTGAATATTCCCTAAAGACACTAGTATTAAATGTAAGTGCACGCTGATAAGGAATGTAGGGATATTGATACTCGCACAACTACATGTACTCAAGTACTTTGTAGTTTCACCTAGCATAAATCTCGGGCATTATCACTCAAGTTAGCCTATATATGCAAGTTAAATAGAGCCTCACGACAAAAGAACGATTGGTTACCACCAAATCGATGGCAGTTGGAAAATTCCCCGTTCAACCACACTGCTTCACGATGCCATATATCTGGAAGCTCCCGCCCGTTAGCAGCGTGGGGCACCCCTGCCAAGCCATGTCTGTAGCGTATCGTAGTGGCATCCTCAAAAGCCATGTCTACTCTGCATATCCGACGGGTTTTAAATGACCCAAGTTGGCCACAAAAGCTTAAGCACGTGCAGGAAAATATTAGAAAGTGATGCAGGCATATGGTGAAACTCGGGTATGACGATATGAATCTAGTACATACAGCTTGTAACCGGCGTTGAGCCCGGAGGGATCTCTACATCGTGGAGTCAGCGTACTGGATGAGGGCGAGATCGAGATGTGTGGACTTGACAGTTCTATCGGTAAAGTTAGTCGGCACTCTCTGTCGGTACTCTCTATCGGTACTGTAATAAGTGCTAGTTAGTAGAATGTTTTCAATACCCAGGGCTCACAGGGCTGCTGTAATCTACATGTAGGCATAATGCACAGGGCAGGCGGCAGTTGCCGCGGATGATGTTTATTTCGTCGCAACCACACCACGATCACCATCCTCAACAACTTCACCTCTGCTCTACCTACGAAGGGACACATACTTAACAACGCTTTGCCCTGAGCATCGTAGCTCAGTTAGTGTTCTCAAGACACACGTCGTGCTGCGAATTCAATTGTTTAATACTCACGGTACACGAGGCATACGATTCTCGGAAGAAGCCCAGCCTTTCGGTGATGCTCCCAGCAACAACAGCTCTTTGTCTATGATATTTTCGATAGTCACCAACGCCCACAACGCAGTACCACGACGGCGCCGTACCCAACAAGTATCTTAAGCTTCCCCGGTAGAAACTATATATATACGTATATCATTCCGGACTGCAATGTCTCTAGTTCCCTACAGCCCCACCGATGACTCCCGTAGTGTAGTTCTGTATGTTGTATTTTCCAGCTTCCTTTCCCCGCCTCGATCACCCAAACTAATAGTCGCAGCCGCCATCGTCAAACCCTCGTAATCTACGACCCTTCCTCGAACCAATTAGTTCTCCACCAAGCTTCGCCGTCCACCTCTGGTCCGCCCGACCTCCCCTCATGTCCATTCTGCAAACGCCCCCTCGACTCCACGCCCACACCTGGGTCTCCCGAGGCTGGTGGAGAGGGGTTTGTAGTTCAAAATTATTTCCAGTTGTTGGATGATAGGTAAGTCTCCCGACACCGTTGTCGATACGCATTCTGACCTGAATCACAGAAATATCCCCCCAAACATGCCTCCTCCCATCCGCCGTACCCCGCCATCACCCACACACCGTAGTCTACCACGGCCCGAGGTTGAGGATGTTGGAGAGGACCTGGATTTTCACCCGGAAATAGACCCGGATTCTGAGCCGGTCGGAGGTGGAGGGATTAGCGATGCGGCGTTTAGTCCAAAGTATTTCGAAAGATTCTTTGTGACGCAGAGGGAGCTAGGGAGAGGTGGGAAGGGTGTTGTACTGTTAGTTCGGCATGTGCTTGACGGAGTATCTCTGGGAGAGTTTGCGTGCAAGAGGGTTCCTGTTGGTAAGAATTTCTTTCCGATATGCGGATGGATTGGTAGAGCTTGCGGATTCTGGTGACTGGATTGTGGAGAATTGCACGAGAAATATCAATTGGTTTGAGGGCAACTGGGTAGGCTGACAAATACAAATAGGTGACAACCATAAATGGCTGGAAAAGGTTCTCAAAGAAGTTCAACTTTTACAGCAGCTTTCACATACCAACTTGGTCTCTTATCGACATGTATGGTTAGAGAGTGTACGTCTAACAAGTATGGTCGCCTCGAGGTCAAATCTTTTTAGCTTCGTGAAAGCTAATAATTAAAATTGAAGCCTTTGGCCCGAGCGTTCCTTGCGCCTTTATCTTGCAACAGGTATTATACTCTCTTTCCTGCCCTGCGTCGTCAAAATTCACCAGTGCTCGATAAATTGGTACTGGGAATAGTAGTTGAAATCTAAAACCGTGGTTGCCAAGTTATGGCTGGGTTATTTTGAAACCCTCCAAGTGGCTAGATCTAGGGTTCAAGTAAATTTGGATACCAAAGTTACTTATCCCCACAGATGATAAACATCTGTGATCAAAACCTCAAGGCGGGTTTACTATCGTGTACTAACCCCTGCTAGTACTGCAATGCAGGTGATCTCCACGACTTCATCCTCACTGCCACCAAAAAGACCACTACAGAACAATTGAAAGATAAGATTCGGCGTCGAACTCGCGGAATCTCCTCATCTGAAGAAACACCACTTGCACCACGACGTTTAGCTTTTGAACAGATTATTTCATTCTTTAGCGATATTGCCAGTGGATTAAACCATTTACATAGTAATGGGTTTATACACAGGGATTTGAAGCCGTCAAATTGTTTGCTAAACGATACTGGAATACCAGGTCAAGAACTTAGGGTATTGGTATCTGATTTTGGCGAAGTACAGATGGAAAGTGAGAAAAGAAACAGTACAGGCGCAACAGGGACGATTAGTTATTGTGCACCAGAGGTTTTGCGGAGAGGTATAAATCATCCACCTCAGTGCTTTCTTCATGGTATCTGATAGTGAGATTAGTTTCACCTGCTGGTCAATTTGCAAATTTCACAACGAAGTCCGATGTTTTCTCCCTCGGGATGATTCTTCATTTTATGTGTTTTGGCAACCTCCCTTATGCTGGCGCAGATTTGAGGAACGAGGAGAATGAAAATCTCGATAGTCTTCGTGATGAGATTTTGGCTTACCAGGGACTCGATGAACGAACTAGGCTTCGCTCTGATTTGCCAGAAAGGTTGTACCAAAGTTTAAAAACCCTGATATCTCCTGATCCCAACGTCAGACCATCAGCAGAGGAGATATTACTAGGCTTGGGTGGTGCTATAGGAGAGGATCCTCCAATGGTAACCAAATCCCCAGCTTCCTCTGTCCAAAAGATCTTTTCTTACAGTTCACGGCAGAGACGTGGATCCTCTGGCTCTCAGAAGAAACCGGTGATCAATGTTGATGATGGGACAACACTTGGTTTCCGCCGTATCTCACCTGTCGCAGATACTCCACCTCCTTCTACCCCTATTGGGTCTCCTAGCGCTGCCACGCATTATGATTACGACACATTCAAACACAAAGCATCATTCTCCTCATCTAATAATGCACGTACAATTAAACAGCAGCGCGGATCTAAACTGTCTGCAGGACCAGTATTTCCGCCTTCTGACCCAGCAAATTCCGATAGTATAATCCTCCGCCCCCGTAGGCCTTTACCAGAGCAGATGGCACCAAACTGGGAGAGGTCACTGATTATGCTTTCAATGAGGCCTGAATGGATTCCAGCGGCAAAAATGCTGCTGTTTTTGGTAAAAGTTGGTACTTTGAGTGGATCTTGTTCGCCGGTTGGTGTAAAACCATGGATTTATTATCCACTCATGGGGCTTGCTGGATTCGATTTTTCAAGGTACGCTCTTTGCTTCGGTGTTAATTTCTAGGTTTCTGGATGTACTGACTGGCCAAACAGGTCTGATCCTATGGTTACGATAGTGTTGACCATTGTGCATTTTGTAGTTTTGGGGCTTGTTCATTCTGTTGGAAGAGTATGCTTGTATTAGTTTTTTATTCTTACCTTTTTCCTTTTTCTTTTCTTTTTTTTTAAGCACTGGGAAGGGTTAGTTTTATCAAGTTTTCAAGGCGTAGCTGTTACTTTTCAAGCCGAGGCTAAGGTGCGGGTGGGGTTCTTTTGCGGCTTCATGGTTCATGTTTGGGGTATTTTTGTTTTGTTTTATGCACATTAGGGGGTGATTGGAGCGACTATCATTGAGCTTTCTTCATCTGACCGTTTAAGAGGCGCTTTTATAATAGCTCTGAATTAAAGGAGATGGTGAACACGTATATATCCGGGGCGAATAGTGGGGTGTAACTTTTTGAAGATATTGAAAGAGCATTAAAGAAACCCGCGGATGTAAACGCTCCGAAATAGCAAAACCGAATATAGGAAATAGTTATTCAGGAAGAAATTTGTATGCAAAATAAAACAAGATAAAGAGCATAGTAATTGTATAAGAAATAATAAACCTGTTTCCTCCATGTATTCATGAAATATCACTCGCAATCACACAGAGACAGAACCGAGAACGAAAAACAAAGAAAAACCGGTTTATCCAACATCAATTTCCATATCTATGGAGGATTTTAAGATTAGCTCAAGATGTGCAAAAAATGGCCCTTTGGAAACTCACCGAGCATCTGGGCCTCTACTTGTTCAATCTCCTCAGAGCGTGCCCTCTTGGTACCATTTTCCGGGTTGTCTAGGTTATCGGTTCTTAGACGTTTTTTTCTGGCTTCGGTAGTCCTGGGGCATGGGGCCGGTGCGTCCGTATGGCTTATCAATATTTCTGGAACGTGGCCTTCTCTTTTAGACATCTCTTCCCTTATGATGTCCGCGACATGAGGTCGAATGTGATCATTTGCGTACTCGAGGGGGACTTTCCAGCGTTGTCGGTATCTAGTGGGTTCGCTCCATGCCTGAGAAGCGTTCTGAGTATACCACTAGTAGCGGTTTTCTCGGGGTCAAAGAATTCGATTGCAAGATGAAGTGCTGTACAGCCGTAACTGTCTCGAATAGCGATGTCTACGCCATTATCAAGGAATAGTTGGATAGCCTTCTCATTATCACACCATATGGCTATATGGAACACTGTATCTCCATTGTCATTTTGAATCGAAGGATCTGCACCCTTCTCAAGGAGCTGGGTAATATAATCATCACTATCAGGATGTAGTAATGAGCAGTGAAGTGCTGTGTCTCCATCTAGATCTTTAATCGAGGGATCCGCGCCATTCTCAAGAAGGAGCTGGATAATATGATCACTCCTCCTGTGCTGTATGGCATAGTGAAGCGCTGTTTTTCTCTGAAATCTGTCTTGAATCGAAGGATCCGCGCCCTTCTCGAGAAGGAGCTGGATAATATGATCACTCCTCCTGTGCTGTATGGCATAGTGAAGTGCTGTTTTTCTGTCAAATCTGTCTTGAACCGAAGGATCCGCACCCTTCTCGAGAAGGAGCTGGATAATATCATAACTCCTCTCGTATATTATCGCAAAGTGAAGTGCTGATTTTCTGTCAAATCTGTCTAGAATCGAAGGATCCGCGCCCTTCTCGAGAAGGAGCTGGATAATATGATCACTCCTCTCGTATATTATTGCAAAGTGAAGTGCTGTGTTTCTATTGCCGTTTTGAATCGAAGGATCCGCTCCCTTCTCAAGAAGGAGCTGAATAATACGATCGCTACTCGTGTACTTTATGGCATAGTGAGGCGCTATATTTACATTGCCGTCTTTGGCCGAGATGTCTGTCCTGTCCGAATTCTCAATCAAATACTTCACTGCTAAACAGTGTCGTAGATGACATGCGATATGAAGCGCGGGTGTGTGCTCACATAGAGAGCCAACAAAACTTGATCGTATATATAACTTCTTACTGCTATCATTTAGAAGAAACTCGAGAACAATTCTTAATGTTAAGGCCTCCTCGCACGACTCTAGATGGTGCCTAAGATTCATTGCTATATATTCTAGGAACGGGGGCCCCCCAGACTCAAGACTCCGGTGATAAAGAGGTTCAATTTTCTGCAGGGTAATAAAGTTGTCTAAAGATAGATAGGTGGTGCAAGCTATCGCTACTCTGAAGTCTGCATCAGGCGGTTTCTTATTGCGTAGTAGGTACTCCTGGACAGTGTAATGGGCTAATCTGACAGTATTGGTATCCTCGTCTATAGTAACTAGACTACCACAGATATCCAGAATTGTGGCCTTATCTACCAGCTGATCTGCCTCATCCAAGTGATCCTAGCCTAGTTCCACGGATATTACTTGTTGAAATTCTTCGAAGCTTAGTGTTCTTTGAGCCTTCGTGAGCCAGGAAAAAGCTCTGAGTGCTAATTCGGTACAGGTCTGGGGTTGCTTGTAGATGCTTTCCATAACTCTATCATATGTTGGATCCAGAGTTCCCACACCACTGGATGAGCTTTTGAGTTTTTTCAATTCTGCCATGATTTGCTTGAGAGTTGTTTGCTTGCAAAGGTACTAGATATGGAAACGAACAAGCAAGAACCTGGATGTAACCGGATTAGCCAAAGGGGGCGAATTATTCGCTTGAATACTTATAGATTATCAAAAAGGAAAAAAAAGAAAAAAAGAAGGAAAAACCAAAGAAAGGTTTCAGTGATCCCCGGGGTCAAGGGTGATAGTTTATTTGGGGGGGGGGGGGGGGGGGGATGGCGAGTAGCTCAACACCACCTCAGCCAGATATTATAACCGTTATATATATTGAATGGTTTACTCACATCCCCTTAGCACAGTCTGTGAGGTCTGATATAATTTTGTTCTTAGATTCCAAGTCTTTCTGCCCGAGAAGGCGTCGTGAGCGTGGGCTCTCATCTATTTTCTCCTTGATATAGATTTCCATATCCTCATCCCTAGCCCTTAGTTCAATCTGTGCTGTGCCTTTGAAAGAGTCTCGAATATCTTCTGGGTGTGGCCGGCTCGTCAAAAATATGCTGATTCGACCTGTGCCAAGTTTTGAAAGGTTGAGAAATAGAGGGAGAAGTTCTTTTCGCTGGGTATCTTCGTTACATTCATCCAACGCATCAAATATGAGAAATACCCGACTGAAAGTGTTTGATAATACAAGAAGAATTCTCTGTAGGTCTTGTAACGTGGGGGTTTCACTTGCTCGCTCTGACTTTGTGTATAACTCCTCTAGTTCTAGAGGTAGTTCCTGTATTTGATTCGCGAGTTGTTTTAGTAGATTTGCTAAAATAGAAATCGGTTTTTGTCGAGCTTGGTCCGCGAAGTCGAAGTAGATATAGGCTACCCCGTATCTTTTGATTGAAGCGTTCTCTTTAAGATGATCGATAACCATTGAGCTATATTGGTATTAGTTTGAATGATATTGAACTAATACCAAAAAGAAGAACAGTCATTTTTAGCCTATTCTCAGCGGGTTCATGTTTAATAAGAAGAATAAGCGGGACATTGATCAAGGGTATGGTATCTACCCTATAATCTAGTTATGCCTATTCTTGTCTAGAACTAACTGAGGATTGACTAAAAATAAATTTTCTGCTAGTGGGACAGACTTTCCTCAAAAATGTTTTTCCGGCGCCAGCTGTTGAAAAGATATTCAGCTAATACTCGAGTTATCATTAGTGAACTTTTGATAAACGTACGAATTCCGTAACCCCATAATAGCAGAAAATCCGGATCTCCTTTCATAAAACTCTCAAAAGCAGGCTCCCTCAAAAGCCATTTTCCGGTATTGACTCTTCTTTCCCTACTAATCTCAGGATGTTTATTGTCAAAATTGCCGAGTGTTTTCGATAGCCACTCGAGCACATCATTGCACCTCTTCACCCTTTCTCTCTCTTCAACTTGGTTTCGGACCGCCTGGGATTCTACAGCCTCGGTATGAATAGATCCTAGAATTGATCCCGACAGAACACTTATATACGTTTTAGAAAATTTAAGTAAGTTGTCATCGGAGTTTGATTTCCCTTACATATGTGCTGAAGATTCTGCCTGAAGGTTGTGAACAATACGATTTGTATCCCCAACCGACTTATCGATGGCTGTAGTCAGAGCGCTATATATATTTAAATCTCAGTATTTATGTCCAAATGTAGCGATATTTAGATGTTTCTTACGTCTGTGCCAGGGCGTTGGCTTGGAGGTTGCTGGCAATACGATTTGTATCCCGAACAGAGTGGTCAATTGCTCCTATTAAAGATCTTAAGAGATATCAGTAACCTTGGAACGGAAGTTTTATAGAGGCTGTACTCTATCTAGGACTAGGCTCAACGAATTCTTGTATCTTTCTAGCCGTGATATGTGTTTAATAATATCTTTCTCATTCATCAGCCACATCAGGCGTGTTTTCACTGCCATTCGTGATCCAGAACCTTGATCAATCTTCGGCTCAATTTTTAACTGAATTCTCTTGAGTTCCTTTAGACGTTCAGACAGTAGCCCATTTTGGCCATCGAGCATCGTTAGGATTTCTTGCTGAATGTCCGCTGCTCTATCTCGAACGAAGTCCCGTAAATTGAAAAGAATCTGAGAAAATGAGTGAAGCTCGTTCAGTAGCTGTCTGATCTCTCTTGGCGCATCCTTCAAGCCCGAGATGTATTCGTAACCCAGGGAGACAAGCTTTGTCGCAAGTTGAAGGACCGCGGTAGAGCTGCCAACAATGCCAAGCGCCTCTGCCATGATGCTGATGCCTCTATTGAGACTGATGGAGTAAAGAGTTTTGCGGAACTTGTAGTTTGGATCTCTGTATCTCTTAATCCCGCACAGCCTTGTTATGCCAACACTGCATATGCCTTTTTATGGGTGCAAACGAAGGGAATACGCACGGCATATGCCGTGGAGCTCTATAGTTGGTGTCATGTGACTTGAGCGCTTGTTTACATCTCCAAGCTCTGACATGACCCAACTACACAACTAGAACTACGTGTGAAGCAAAGGCCTGATGTCTCTCCCCACAATTCTTACTCCGACATATACAGGTCCAGCACCCCGCATGAAGTTCAAAAGCCCCATCTCGCTACCCGCACCACTTCCCGCCGCCCAAACCGCGCCCTTCGAAGATGACAATCGGTGGAAGCTGTTTCTAACGACAAGCACGAAAGTCAGCGTCTGGGATTCGCGGGGATGCAATGCCGTATTTACCAGTGGCTCGGAGGGGATTGTCGCTGCGAAGAGGGCAAAGGATGGGTCGGTTTTGGCGATTGCAGACTCCCAGGTGGTCATGCTGCATCGGATCGAGGAGGGCCAGGATAAGTCCTACCGTTTGAAAGGAACTCAGGTAGAGGGGAATCGCTTGACCGTCTTTGGGGACTATTAGCTGACATGCTCGAAAGCGGTGTCGACATCTACAGTACGATCACGACTCGCGCAGCCTGTTTTTCACCGACTCCCTCCACAACAGCGTTCAAAGCTATTCATTGAAAGAGAATCGAGTGGCCGATGCTGCAAAACCCCATCCATCGTCGATTACTACTTTTGCAATATCCTCCGATTCGAATCTTGTAGTTTCCTGCTCTGCCGACCCACCTATTACCCAGATCCACAATCGCCTCATGGCAACCACCGTCTCGATTACACCACGATGCTCAACTGCACCGGTGGTGCACTGTAGCTTTCATCCGAGCCGACGGACAATCTTTGTACTTGCGTTTCGCGATGGTGTTCTCGCAGCTTATGATTACAGCAAGATATCTGGGGGGAGCAAGGCGAAAAAAGACGGGAAGATTGGTATCGGTCAAGGTGGCACAAAGGAAATACATGCATTTCAACATCTACATGACCCGAGTATTGCCGGATCGGCGGGCATCACAGGAGTCGAGTTCGTTCCGGGATACAGGAGTAGAGCTGTCACTGTAGGCGAGGATGGGAGATTATTCTTGGTGGATTTCGAGATGCGGGATACGCTGGGAAGCTGGCACATTGGGGCTCCTGCAACATGCTTGACAATAAGACCTGTCACTGTTAAGGGAAAGTCAACCGATGAAGACGACATGGGTGGATGTGTGATTGCTATAGGGACTATCCACGGAAAGTGTTACGTCTACGACGGGAACGGAAATAAGATTGGTGAGCAGTCAGTGGATTCGGAGGGTGGGAAGGTCCTTGATGTGGAATGGGTGTGTACTCCTTACAGGTAGGCTTTCTATACCGATATATTGACGGAAAGCAGGTATCTGGCGATATTCATTTTCTCCCAAGCGAAGACGGTGGTTCTAGTAGCCCCACCTCTCCACGTTCCCACATAAAGCCCTTGCCTTCGGCAGGATCACAGCAACAAGCTGAAAATCACCGAAGCTCAGCGACAGCCGAAAACTCTAGACCTACCAAAGAAAAAGATGAACCCCTGAAGCCAAAACTGGATCTAAAAGAAGATTCCGATCAGTGGCCGGAGGCCCAAGAGACCGCCAATCAGGGGTACATGGCACTGTTCAGCCCTGTAAAGAAGAAACAAAAGAAGCCAGAAAAGGCTGTTTCCCTTGCCGGAACAAAAACCGCCGATGTCGAGAAGATATCGGATCCCAAACTAAGAACGATTGAAAAAGAGGACCAGAGGAGTGTTATCAGCGCACCGTTACTGTGGAATGAATCGGCAAAGAACCAAAATCGGCCGGGAAACGCCAAAGAAGATCATAGCCCCATAAAAAAATCGGTAACCAAGTCTAATGACGATAAAGTTGCAACTTTGTTAGAACAAACACCAGCTCTAGGCAAAACAGCCCCCTCTTTACAGCCATTGGTACGAAGTAGTGGTACTGGTAAAGATAATCCATCACTATTGACATCACATCGTATCACACCCGTTGCCTCCGACGTTATCAAAACAAACGATAAGACAAGTGATGGGAAACTACTAAGTCAGATACGCTCAATAAGAGCAAAGGTAGAAGGTGATAAAATCGCCAGGGGAAATTTGGCATTATTTGCGCCCTACATGTCCAGCAAAATCAAGACTTCCGCCATTATAAGATCGGGGGGAGCGGCAGAAAACCGCAAAGCGCCCATCTCATCTCAGGATAAACCCGTAGATCCCCGGCTTCGAGCCCTGGACGGAAACAGGGTTGATGATCGAATGGACGGGAGCGTCGACCAAACAAACAGAACACCCAAGGCCGCACTTCAAGAGGAAGATATAACACTCCCAGGCCCCGTGGAATCTCCGAAAAAAGACGAGGATCTACCCTCTTTAAACCAAGAGGACGACGCAGCGTCCGAAGCCTCATTCGACGGCGATATCTGGCTTGTCGAGGACAAGCCGTCAACAAGCCTAAAAAGGAAGAACTCCAATGCGGATGATTTCCAGCCCTCATCCAGCTTCGACAGCAACGGCGAGAGATCTTCATCTAGGGCCGGATCTTCTAAGAGCAGAAAGACAGTCTCATGGGATGACGGGCTTGCCAGCCGCGACATCATAACTCCTGCAAACTTGCTACGCGAATTGGAGAATACATCCCGCCCCCGATTTGCTTCCAGCGGCGACGCACCGTGGCCACCAGTGACCAAGTACGAGGGAAAACATTTAACCTCGAATGCTACAACACCCGAAACTTCTTTCGCTTCAAGAAAGGTATTAAGCAGCCAAAAGGAGGGCCCCACTTCTGGCCTTCCCAGCAGCTTGGACGAAAACTCGTTCCACACGCCCCATGGCCTGGTTGCAAGCTTGATGGAGCCCGCGCCCCGAAACGCTTTCGCGGAGATGCAGACAATGTTCAAAGCCGAGATAAGGAGCCTACAAGCCGAGATAGCGAGAGGCTTCCAGGCGCAAATGCGGGTGCTAGAGGACCTGAGGAGCGAGGTCCGGACGGTCAGGGAGGAGAACGTGAAGCTAAGAGACCAAATATCGGAGCTGAATGCCAAGGACAGGGAGAAGCGACCTTGAATATTTGGGTTGCATTGAGTGTTTCTTTTTTCCTCCTTTCTTTACCGGTGGGCGGGGCGGGGCTGGCAGCGTTTTTTTTTTTTTGTTATGTATTTATTATACCTAGACTATGCGGGTTTATCATGGAGTTTCGGGAGGTGCTATGTTTGTGCGCGCTTGTTGAAATATTGAGAATGCAGGTTGGGTGGGCTTGATTGTACGTCCAACTGACCCTGATTTATACAAAAGTAATGATTCAAACCACTACACTTCTGAAGTATCGATTGTGTGTGTATCATACCTACATGTACCTGTAGAGCCATGGTGAAGCCAAACTCGACCCAGCGAGACTATCCCACGTCGCAAAAGTCCCCAAAACAAATCTCTAGCGCCCCAAACCATTACACCTGCCACAAGTACGCGAGTGACAACTCATGACCGCACATACCGCCAAGCCAGATAAGATAAGATGGAGGGGTCATAGTCACCCCACCAAAACCAAAACCAAAGATCGCTTCTCACAGAAAAATAAAAATCCAAAAAAGACCAAAAAAATAACATAAATAATTGCACCCCCCCGCCCAACTGCCTCACCACCCCACCAACTCACCCAACCCAGCAACTCACCGACAAACAGACCTAGATACAGACTACAGCAATGTCCGTCGCCCCACCCCCCAAAACATTCAAGGCCGAAGAGGCCGAGAACCTTGAAGACGTGCGTCTCTCCCCCCTCCCTCCCCCCTTCTCCCTTCTCAGCACCTACTAACGCCGCCGTCGCTGCAGATTGAAAAGCAGTTTGCCGTCAAAGGCACCCCACCCCCCCTCCTTCCCTCCCCCTCCCCGGCCTCCCCCCGCGGCGCAGCTAACACCCCACAGCGGTAATGCACGCGCAGACCTACTGGAGCATCCTCGAGACGCGCGAGGGGTCGAACCTGCGCCTGACGCGCTTCGACGACGACATCTATGCGCACCTGATGGAGGTGTTCCCGGACTTTGATGCGAGCAAGGCGCTCGACGAGGACGAGATGAAGAGTAAGGAGGGAAAGGAGAAGTGGAGGAGCTTTATGATGAAGTATGAGAAGACGGTTAGTGCTCTTTGGATATTTAGGTTTTTAGGTTTAGGGGGTTTAGGGTTTTGGGGGGGGGGGGGGGGGGTTTCGGGGCGGGAGAGGGGGAGGGAAGGGGAAGGGGAGGGGGAAGGGGGGCTGATTGAAGTGTGTGGGTGGTAGGTCGATGATTATAACTTTGGCACGCTGTTGAGGACCGATGCGAAGGCCGAGTATGAGAAGGATACCACGATCTTTGGTGAGTTGAGTTTCTAGCCCGGGAGCGCTGAAGGCGCAGCGGGCGCGGTGGTGCTAACCCACGATACTTGAAACCTAGTCCCCAGAATGCAGGTACGTACCCCTCCCCCCTTTACTCCCCCCGAAAAATCACATACTAACACACCCCCGCAGTTCTACGCCATCGAGATCGCCAGGTTCGTTTCCCCGTACCACACTGCTATAGAGTAAACGCGCAGTATCATGATCACTAACGTAGCGACAGAAACCGCCACGGCCTCAACAACTGGATTAAGGAGAAGATGGACGCCGAGAAGGCCGAGAAGGCTGCCGCCGCCGCTGCTGAGTAGATATGTGTTTTTCATGTCGGTGGGTAGGTGGATGGGTATCGGGGGTGGGGTTTTTTTGTACAGAAAAAATTGGAGTCTTTTTTTTGCATGGGAGTGTGCGCGTGCGGGTGAGAAAGTATGGATGGGATTGGGGTTTCCGTTGTGGGCGCCGAGTGATGATGATGGATGATACACGTAGCCTCTGCCATCGTAGATGTAGAGTGCTACATACATGTAGTAGCAGTATTGGCGGGAAAGAAATGTACACGAGTGACTGCACATGACGCTTAAATCACAACCACCACTCGGATCCACCCCCAGATTACCCACCCCCAGATTACCCACTGCCACTCCCCTCCCACTCCCCTCCCACTCCTCTCCCACTCCCCCTTCATCTCTCCTCTCCCCTCCCCCTTCATCTCTCCTCTCCCCTCCCCTCTCCCTTCATCTCTCCTCTCCCCTCCCCTCTCCTCCCATCCCACCACAACTAAATGTAATCAATTACTCACCATCATCAGACCACCTCCCCCTTTCCCCACATTCCCCACCTCTCACCGTCGCACCGTCGCACACGCAGCTCCCCCTCTTGAGAATCTTCCTACCGAGCAGCCAAATAAGGTTTCCCTAGTGCTGACCCCTGCCCTGTCTCTCGCTAGCCGTGCGAGATCGGCGGTCCCCCGGGCCGGACACACAAAACGGGCAGGGATCCACTGCTAAGCTTCAACGGCGAGTGGGACCCTGCAGCACCCAACGCTCTCTCTTCGACAACCTCCACTCCCTGCCAGTTCTATAGCAGAGAGTCGGTATAGATGTGGGACCGGCGGACTGCACCTGCCTTTCTCTCTCGGCGATACAGACAAGCGGCAGACTACATAGTTCATCTCAACTCTTATCTGTGTGTGGTGGATGCGGTGGTACCTTTGTGCTCCGGTAGCCATCACGCGCGCTAGCGGTTTGGTGGCTTGCGAGATATTTCCCGGTGCTCCGGTGCTGTCCTACCAGTGTTCGGCGCATTCTTTCACGCATAATGGCTCGGATAGAACAATGGAAGCAAAGTGTCCATACCTACAGTCTTTATTGGGAGTGTACATAAGGAATCAAGATACCCACTTTTTTTTATTTTCTGGACACACAAGAATATACTCACACTTAATACTTAATAATTTTTATAATTTACCATGTCGATGGATCTCGAGTCACAGAGATCTAGCATCTCGAGTTATCACGATGAACTCAGTAAGAAGGAGGCCGGTATACTCACCAATGTCGAGGAACTCAAAGACGAGTCAGCGGCGATCAAAACCCTTCTTGACGGTGCAGCCCATAGGAGTAGCAAGAAGTCGTTTCTGGCTTGGGCTACTATAAACACATTAGCAACCATAGGCATAGTTAATACCCCCAATACCCTACCCATACTCAAACCAAACTCCCAGCTAACGCCAACAGGTCTTCACCAACAAGCGCATCTTCCAGCACCCCTCCTTCGCCGCCTCCCAAACCTCATTTGCCTCCTTCCACTTCCTCTTCACCACTCTGACGCTCCTCCTCCTCTCCCGCCCGCCCCTCTCCCTCTTCACCCCCTCGCGCACCCCCCTCACCACAATCCTCCCTCTCGCACTCGCAATGTGCCTCAACGTCATCCTGCCCAACCTCTCCCTCGCCCACTCCTCAATCCCCTTCTACCAGACCGTCCGCATCCTCCTCACCCCCCTCGTCGCCCTCCTCAACCTCGCCCTCTACCACACCACCATCCCCATCCCCGCCGCTCTCACCCTCATCCCCGTGTGCGCCGGCGTCGCCCTCACATCATACTCCGACACCCACACCACCCACCCCACACGCACGTCCCCCGCCGGCGCAGTCTACGCCTTCACCGGCGTGCTGGCGTCAGCACTATACACAGTCTGGATCGGGTCCTACCACCGCCGGCTGGGCCTCTCGCCCATGCAGCTGCTGCTCAACCAGGCACCCGTTGCGGGCGTGTTGCTGGCCGCGTGCGCGCCGTTTGTGGATGATGTGCCGGTGGTAAGGGAGGTGGAGGTGGGCATGTGGTGGCTTGTGCTGCTGAGCGGGGGATTGGCGAGTGTGGTGAATTTGTCGCAGTTTTATGTGGTGAAGGAGGCGGGTGCGGTGGGGAGTACGGTGGTGGGGCATGTGAAGACTTGTGTGATTGTGATGATGGGGTGGTGGGTTACGGGAGGGGTGGAGGCGGGGGGTGTGCTGGGGGTGGGGTTGGCAATGGGCGGGGTGGCGGCGTATTCGTGGGTTGTGGGAAGGAGGTAGGAGTTTAGGGGGGTTGTAGGATAGTGTTTGTGGTTGATAGTTGGTTATGTAGTTGTGTGTAGGAACCTGAATTTCTGTGAACACCTTATTAGCAGAAATACTCATATTGTTAACAATTACTCGAAGGCCCTATTAAGTAAATATACTTATATTACTACGAACACTTTATGAGCTTAGGTACTCAAGTAATCTAGTAGCCAAACCTATTCCACAGGACCGGAGTCATATAAGTAGAAGTAGTTAATTTATATTCTCCCGATCTCCATAAGTATAGTCGATCCTAGTATCCTCGATCGTTTTCAAGCTGTTGGTAGTCGAAGTCTTGCTATCAAGGGTCTGGAGACTATCGCTCAAATTATTCGGATGCAGGAATGTGAGAGTGATGATGAGTAGATTAAGTGGGTTCGGCAGCTTAACTTTATAGGATCTTGAAACCAATATATACACTTGACCAATTCCAACCACGTAACCATTGGAAAGCGTTAAAACACCGCTTAACTTGCACCACAACATCGAACACTTTATTAGCCAAAGTGTTCATACCTATATATTACGGATGACCTGTTTGCAAAACCACTCAACTCAAACTTATCCGCATCGGAGCCATACCTGATATTGCGTTTTCCAGTTTGATAGAACTATTAAATCGGGTATAACTAGGATATAGGCTTTTGGGGGTTCGGGCATTGATTAAACACTTTACTGATGATCATACGTGCTATTACGAACATAACGAATAACTGGCCAAAGAATTGGATTAAACCAATTCATATACTTCCGCCTTTTGCCAACTGTTGTATCAGCAGTACTATCCAGGCCGTTGGCTCGTTTGCTCAAAACTGGTGGCGGGTTTGAGGCATCGATGAACATCTGCTTTTTGACCTGCCTCGATGATTCTACTAGAGAACTAATTGTGTCAGTCGAAGCATTCCGCAAAAGCTTACCTGTCACATCATCGCGCAAACTCATCTCAATCTCTGATTTCTTTTTCCTATCTCTGACCGCCTTTTGATGATAAAGATTTTGTGCCTTTCTTCTTTCATCGGCAAGCAGAGTTGCTTGCGCTTCCAACTCTTTCTTTCTTTCTTCTCCGGATGCGCGGGTGATATTATCATTTCTAGCTGCAATCGCTATTTGCTCATGAAAGGCCTGACTAGCGATTGGGAAGAAAAAGGTTCTCAAATCCTTCTTCTTAGGCCTGCCGACTATTTCAATAGACGACGCTATATCAATACTCGGAGAGACAATGGAATTCTGCATCGTCGAATCAGAACCCGAATTCTGTTCTGTATGAGGTGCTTCGAGGGGCGGATCCGGATTTGACTGGAGGAAAGAGGCGCTTCCCGCGATCTCATCAGTTTGGGCAGAGATAGCTGGCAGTTGTAGATTCATGGCAGCGGCTTGGTTCGTGATTGGGACTGCTGGTTCTTGCTGTGGAGCCGGTAACTGTGGAGGAGCGGCCATAACTGTATAAAAAGGCTTGATACTCAGCTGACCGGTGTTGGGTATCGAATTCTTCTTGAAGATAGTGGTTACCCGCTGTACAGAAAAAGAAATCAAGACGAGCCTTTACCTTTTGCCCCACTACGAACTTGTACCAACCTGCCTATGTCACATCTGAACAGACCCGATACACTGTACCAAATACTTGTCACATTAACCTATGTACGAATATATCAAGTGTCAGGCTCAATCGACCTGTACCAACCTCATTGACCGGGACAGTATTAGCCAGTAGTCTTAAAGGGGTTATTGCTCCGTGGAATTCGAACACCTTATTATATTATCAAAACTACTGTACCGGGCAATTGCAAAGCGACAACAGATGTCACGGTCACCTCAGAACCGGCAGTAAATATTCTAAAAATTTCTATATATAGTAATCCTTGGCGGTTTGTCGCCAACAAAATTCTTTTCGGTCACAGTTAGTAAGAATACTTCTCGCAATATGGTAGATCTTTTCCAATTTGGGTGCATCTTTGGCAATTGTCGCTTTCTCGGGACGAGTGTCGTTAAGGGCGGGTGTCACGCAAAACCAAGTGGCGCTTTGCAATTGCCCGGTACAGTACTCATATCAATTTTTGGTCAGCCGGTATATATTCCGTGCTCTAACAAGCACACGAGTATTAAGGGTTAGCAGAAATATATTAATTATACGACCATAGCCGGTTCCGCAGGTTGGGGATGTTTTTTTTTTTTTTTTTTTTTGGGGGGGGGGTGCTCGGCTTCGAACACCTTATTAGCCAAACTACTCATAATATCAATATACTGGCACCAACGCCAAACGCCAAACACACCAACACGTCAAGAGGGGGGGGAAGTACCTATAGATGCACGATACCCGTATCCCGCGCTGTCTTATGGTACTGACAAGCTTGCCCCTGCGGTATGAAATTGCCGAGTGATTATCCATGACCGAACCCCCGGGACCTTCCCAAACCCGCGAGCACTTCCAAACGCGTCCGCGTATACTAGATTCTCAAGACTTGCATTCCTGGCCTTCGCTTCTCTGAGAGTTAGGGCTGCACTGTGATGGAATAGGTGCGGTACCTGCTGCTATTACTTGGAAAGACGTCCTCCCGGACAGTCCACACCTGCCGGTTACCCAGCTAGATCATCACTAGAGCTTTGTTACCGAGATATATTTGAGGAGGTAAAGTAGATCGTTTATGAGGTTCAGATACTAGACGGTGTAGTGGTGCTGGGGTATGGAGTTCGTTCGTGGCTCGATGCGGGTTGAGGGCTGGCCAGTTTGAAGTGTTCCAGTTCTGATGCGTACTTACTAACTAGGGGTGTGCCAACTCGCGACCGCGAGTTGTACGTTGAATTATGGGTATCAAATAAAATTTAATTCTCCCTCTACAATCATGAGGGGCCTTCGGCCCCATCCTCCTCCTCTCGTGAGTGCTCAGTACTTTGATGTGTCGTGCTGACTAATCAACATCCCTGCACTCAGAAGCCAATCAGACCGTTCCAATATTCGAAAAATTAGCGATAGCACATTATAGATATAGGCTCTCTCAGAAGCACGTATGGCAGCTTACGTGTTAGGATCTCTTCATTTTATAGCCTGACCCGATCCGTGGCTACATGTACCCCTAATACTAGCACACCCAAAGACTCCTAAAGCACAGAAAACACTCATGGCGGCATGGCGCAGCGAAAGCGCGCCGGGCTCATAACCCGGAGGACGCACGATCGAAACGTGTTGCTACCAACATATATATTTTTTTTCTCCTGCCTTGGTGGATTGAAGCTGACGGAAGACCCCACTATCTAGTTGTCCAGCATATGTCTTACGCTAGAGCTGAAAATTTGGAGATTTGGAGTAGACCACTAGGCGCTGCTGAACAGACCGAGTGATCCCTCATGACCCACTCATCCAACCCGCCCAACCCAGCACAATCCACTCTCACCCCCGTGATCGCTCGTCTGCCACAACCAAATATAAGGAAGACTAACCTAGTAAGCTTGTCGGTTTTTCTTTTATAGTAAACGTACATGGCATTGCAGTGTTATGCAGCAGTACGTCATTACTTTGAGATGGTGTCGGTGTTGCAGTAGGTCCGTCACGAATGCGTAAGCTGTCCGTTTCAATATGACGAATTTGTATTTTGGGAATGACAGGTAAGCAAGCCTGATGACAGCCCACGAACATACAGGTCTCGGTGTTGTCCATTCAATACATGCTTTAGCTCACGCACTCATTAGTGCTCAAGTAGTATTTTCCCCCTGTACTCTTCATGGCGTCAATTCTGCCAACGAGTTGTAGACTTGTAGTATATCGAGGGCCGGCATATATGTGCACCTGTCAGTTACCCCAGAAATTTCTGTCAGCCGTCAGTCTATTGCAGGGAGAACGCGCACAACATCGAGTGATATCCCATGACTCATAGCGCACTCCCCCACACCTAGCGGAATTCCATAGATATTTTTGCCAACCTTTGTCTCCCGAAATCACCCAGCCTGCAGGTGTCGTAGTTAGGAGACGCATCTATCCTCCCATCTAGCTCTAGCTCGTTGCTGGTTAATCTGAGGTTTGGGGCCCCGGGGGGGGGTGTTTAGCGACGGACAGCAACGGGCTCACTAAGGGGTGGCTAACTCTCTTTCTCTCTTTCTCTTGTTATTACTCGTTTAAGCCATGCCCTAAGCCTGCTCGCGAGTTAGGGTATATGGTTATTTCGTTACCCGCTCTCATATCATTCGTGGTTTATCAATGGCCTGGCCATTGGGGTTCGTTAGGGCCGGGTCATGTACTAACTGTGGCCCTGCAATATCAAACTGTGGGCTGCGGCCGGGACGCTTCGTTCCTGCTGGACACAACGCAACAATAGGTGATAAAATGACAGAAAAAAAAAAAAAAGAAAAAAACTGGAACTAAGACCAGATAGAAACGACTACGAATACGGCTAAAAATATCCGGAACAGGACTGCCGATATATGTGCCTATACCATGTACTGTATAGACGAAAGGATAAAAGAGGGACAGTCATGGTCAGCATGTAGGTCGACTTAATGATGTGCGAAGCTCAGGCTCGTCTGCCCTCGAAATTAAACGGCTAGACAGGGCAGAATTGACGCCCCGCCCTGGGTGCTGGCCAGGATGCATGGTGAAGCTTAAATGTTAACCGTCAAACCTTAAAGTGTTTCCCAAGCCGTATATATACACGTAGCACCCTACAGCACTAGCCCAACTACACCTACGCATGCCACCCAAAGCTCCCAAAGTCACAGAGAACATTCATAGCAGCATGGCGCAGCGGAAGCGCGCCGGGCTCATAACCCGGAGGTCGCACGATCGAAACGTGCTGCTGCTAACACAAATAATCTTTTTTTTTCCTTTTCACCTGGCTGTCTGGGGAAGAGACGAGTATGCATCTCCCCCCACTCACCACTGCTCAATCCTCGCCACAACCCCCCCGAGACCGATGCCAAAGTGGACCGAGTGATACATCATGACCCCCACACACTCACCCCACCGCCCAACCCAACCCAACCCAACCCAACCCAACCCAACCCAACCCAGTCATCCATACTCACAACCACAACCACAACCACAACCCACGCCAAAAAGCACAAAACTCGTATCCATATCTCAATTTTTTATTGCATAGTACCGACTCAACTAACTAGACTACTCATACTCATACTCATACCCCACCCAACAAGCAACCGCAGCCAGCCAGTAAATAAATAAAGAACTACATCCAACACGAGAACATGTAGGCAACCCTCGGACGGCGCAGAGAGAGGGATGCGTTGATATTCCACCCATACTTTGACAGGACAGGACAGCGAGCGGAAACGAAAAAAGAACTACCTACTCAGACAAGAGAAAGACACGACATGGAAAACAAAACGAAACGAAAGGAATAATTTTTTCTAGGCTTTTGTTTTGCGAGATAAATCCCCGATATCGAAAGTGCAGATCGAAAAAGAGAGAACGAAAGAACGTAAAAGAAAAAAAACCAGGTCCAAAAAAAAGACACACAAAAACAACAAGAACAACAACAAAAAGAAGCAGTCTAGACCGGAAGGGGGGCCATCTCATCGGCGCCCCGTGACATGTAACGTTTATCTGCGGCGAGGTGCAGGCGGTAGAGTAGCGTAGCGTAGAGTGAGAGACGGTGACACGGGGAGAGCCCCGAGTCCTTTCTGTGGATGGCTCGCCAATTCTCGTCCGCAACCAACGCTGCTGCTGCGGAAACTATAAACCTCCCAGAGGCGCGCATCATACTGAAAGGGGGTGAGAGGTGAGGAAGGGAGGGGAGGAGAGGAGGGTTGTAAACAGCCTGTAGTTCTGTCTTTCGTGTCTAAATCCGGCAACTTTGTTTTTTTCAATACCAAAAGGCCGCCGGCTCGGTGTGTATTCGGTCCAGATGTGATGTGTGAGTTGTGAGTGTAATATGCGTTTCTCTGAAACGACCACGCCCGGAAAACTACGGCTCCCACAGCTTTCCGCGCCCTCTCGCGACGCCCCGCGGTGCGCCCCTGAGCACGAATCCGTCACCACCACCTCGACCACTACCGCCGCCGGGGGAGTAACTCGGGACGTTATCGCCCCCCGTGCTATCACGTCTGTGCCCTCCACGGCCCCCGCCGTTCCTGCCCCCACGTCCACCACCGCTATTTCGCCCATTGCTGTTACTACCGGTCTTGAGGTTCGCATTGTAGACGCGGGTCTTCTCGGCAAACTCCCATCCCTCGCGGTCAAGCAGATCCGCGAGCTCGTCGCTGTCAACAGCCTTGATACTAAACACCTTCGCCCACGCAGCCACAGTCTCGTTGTGAGTCACCAGCACGGTCTCTTCCGTCTCCGACGACCGCGCACGCTGCTCCTTCCCCGGCTGGTGCAGCTTGTACAGCGCGCAGTTCAGGATCGGCTGTACCCACTTTGGCGGCGTCGGGACGACCGGAGCCGCCTCGACATTCGACTCGGGGGCGGCGGCGGCGCGGGATCCCCTGCGGTTCTTGTTCCCCCCGTTCCCGCCCCCGTTTCCGTTGCTGTTTCCGTTGCTGTTGGCATAGTAGCCGTTCCCCTGGTTGTAGTACCCGTTGTTCCGCGGCGGGCTCGGGGGTGGCATGGCCGGCACGACGGCCTCAGGGTCGATAAACTGCGCGCACTCCTCCCACTTCGCAAACACTTCTGTCGGCGCCTGCACGCGCACGCCGCGGACGGGCTTGCGCCCCGCGCCCGACTGGCAGCGGTCAAAGTAGCGGACGGACTCGCGCGAGTTGACATTGACCATGTCGGTGCCCTTCTTCAGGTCGTCGAGTGCGTCGAGTGCTGTTTTTCCGCTCGTTTCATCAGCACCACTCACTACTACTACCAGGGGGGGCGGGGCGGGAGCGCGGGGGAGGACGTACTGCAGAGCGGCACAAGCATGCTGATGATCCCCTCGCCGGTCCAGCGCTTGAAGTCGCCAATGCTCTGCACGAGCGCGGAGTCGTCCGTCACGCAGTGGTACACTTTGCGCACGGGCGGCGCGAGCCGGCGGTCGAAGTCGACCTTGGTCTGGAGCTCGTTGACGGTGTATTGGAGGCGGGCTACGGCGAGGCGTTCATACTGGGGTGAGGTCAGCGGTGGTTACACAGAAAGCGTTATGCCCATCCAAACCCCCAACTAACCCTGGTTGTGTGACACAGGTGGGTGGGTGGGTGGGCGTGGGGGGAGCTTTCAGGAGTATATATCCGTAGTATGTAGGGAGAAGGGGGGAGGGGAGGGGGGACAAACCAGTGGTGGTGGTGAGGAGGCATTCGGCGACTGGGGCTGTGTCGGGCGAGAGAGTGCTATGTTTCCTTGAGTGTCCATTCTGGAGCATCGTATGTCGAACCGGAATTGCTATGTGATTGTACTGCTGGTGGTGGTGGTGCTGGTGGTGATGCTGCGTGGGTGGGTGCGGGTGGTTAAGTATCCAGACTACTCTACGAGCTCTATGGGGAGATGTAGAGGTTGCACTTAAGAGTCACAGGTGGGGGAGGGGGGAATAGAGGGGATGGAGGGTGGGGGGGGGTGTATGGGTGAGTGAGTGAGTGAGTTAGTGATGAGTGAGTGCAGTGGCGGTTGGCTAGGAGGGAGTGAGGAGGAGGGAAGAGGAGGTTCGGTGTGGATCATGGAGGTGTGTGTGAGTGAGTGAGGTGTTGTGTGGTGGTGTTGTGTGGTGGTGTTGTGTGAGGTGTGATGGACGCGATGGATTGATTGGGTTGGCTCGTGTAGCAGTAGCCCGTGGTGAGGTAATTCTGGGGCTTAGCTCATGTAGCCGCATCCTCCCCTTCCTTCCACCTACCGGGCCCACCATCCCTCCCGCCATACCTCCCATGCTTGGCTGCGTGGAACCTCCCACGGTTCGTTCTACGCAGGCGGCGATGCAAATCCTCGCGAGTCGCTCGCCCAACAAACAAACTCTAACCTTCTCCACTCTGCGTGCTCACTCTAGCTGCCGCGTTGCAATGTGTTTGGACGCCTTGTATACATAGAACAGCGGCACCAAAGTTCTTACTGCAGATAGACGGCCAGACCCGAGAGAAACAGTGCCTCATCGTCATATGCGTCGGGGCTATTAATATCTACTTGATAGCTCCCCACTTTTCGTGTGCCTATGGATAGAGCCCAACGTCTGTACGTATGTAATCTACAGGGTCTGTATACTACTGTGTCCATCGCGATATTATCGAGAGCATGTAAACAACGGCCAAGAATGCAATATCTGTAGCTTAACTGCGCCTGCAGAACATAACGTTTGTAGTTCAGGCACCCCGCGAACATCCATCCATCTAGCCAGCCAGCCAGGTATCTACGTACAACACATCCAACCCCCAAACTCACCAAACTCACTCAATGATGCAGCCTACCTACCCACCTACTTCTCGGACTTTACAATCAGTCCTGAGTCCTCAGTGACGCGCTGGGCCCACTCCCTGTAGATTCGCGAATGTCAGCCTCGGCACGTGTACCGCGTGATGGGCTGTGACTCAGCTGTATGGGCGCTGCGATGGAGACACAGCATACATGTAGTATAGATAGAGAGATGGTACTCATCCGCGACTAGATCTGAGACTGAGATCGGGGAGGATAGGATAGGGTATATTGCGTGCGTGCGGATAGGGTACAGGTACAAGGCATTGGGCACCGGCAGTGGGGGGTGGGGTATGAGTATAAAACCATAGGGTATGGTAGGGTAGGATAGGATAGGCAGCAAGCAAGCTGACTGTCTCAACCGCTGCCTGCCTGGAAGAGGAGGAATGGGATGTAAGGAAGGCCCCGGGAGTAAGGGTAGATGTAGTCAGGTAATGAGTACAGTGTGGAGATATGGGGGAAAACCCTCGTGCCAATTTGCACGGCACTGCTCCATTCCTGCCTAACGAAATACTCATCCCCGGAGCACTTCCAAACCGGTGCCTTCCCGGGTTGGCCCGGGGTCATTCTCACTTTGAGGGTTCTCTGCCATTGATGTTACTCTTACTCTTACTCCTACCCACGAGCACGAGCATGAGTAGTAGGAATCCATAGTAGAGAACCCTCGAAGCCACAACACCCGTTCCCACCCGACAAGGCCACCCTCTCAAGCCCTCCTCCCCCGCCGAAACACAAAAAAGAAGGAGAAAGAGCTAGGTACTCACGTCCAACTGCCATCATACACCCTCCTCTTCCCGCCAATGCCCGCCATCTCCAACGCCGTGTCCACAACCACGGCCGTCACCCCCGTCCCACACATCAGCACCTTCTCCACGCCCTCATCCTCACTCACGCCCGCGCCCACCAGCACTTTTCGGAGCTCCGCCGCGGCCAGGAGATTCCCCGTCGCGGGATCGACGAGCTTACTGAACGGCACCGAGATGGAGCCGGGGACATGGCCGGAGGACAGCCCTATTCTGCATCAGCCCCTGTAGCTAGCATGTATAGTTCCCGGAAGCAGGAGCGTGAGTGGACAAGACAAGAGCAACCCACCTGGCCTCGGCTCCGGATCCACGCCCCTAAACCTCCCGTTTGGCCTCGCATCCACAACCTGCACCCTCCCGCGGTCCCCCTGCAGCGCCCACTCCTTCACATCCTCAAAGCCCGCCACCAAGCTCTCCTCCATCACAACATCGCCATACACCGTCTCCTCCACCTCCTTTACCTCCCCGCCCTCCACCGGCAGCCCCGCCTGCACCCACGCCTTGAAGCTGTCCAGCACATGCACCCTCTCATGCCCAAACACCTTCAGCGTCCACGCCGCGCGCGGCGCACTAAAGATGCCGAGCTCGGCCGAGTCGTAGACCACGAGCGTGTCCTCCTTCGTGATGCCGAGCTTGCCCATGGCGGCGCTGAACACCGGGGGCGTGGGCAGCATGTGTGGGTACGGTGAGGACGGGTGCTTGATGGCGTCGAGGTCGAAGAAGCGCGCGCTGGGGATGCGGGCGGACGCGAAGACGGCGGGGCCGGTGTGCGGCGAGGTGGGGAGGAACCAGGATGCGCAGAGGGGGATGGTGCGCGGGGTGCGGGAGGAGGGCGGGGGGTTGGCGGTGAGGGCGCTGGCGAGGGCGCGCGGGGGGATGGTGTAGGTGCTGAAGGGGCGCGACATTGTGGTGGTGGTGGTGGAGAGGAGCCGGGTGGTGAGGCGGGTGGTGAGGGGCATTGGTGCTGTGGGGGTTGGGTTGGTTAGTGGGGCGGTGTTGACTGAGGATATCAATGCGGATTGAGCACACACCTGTGTGTACTCTGCTCGAGCTGCCGGTCAGTCAGGAAACGTCCTCAGTCGCAATTGCAAATCCTCGATCGATGACGTCTGGTGGTGATGTCTGTAGCTGCGATGTGATGTAAACAGTTGTGTCTCTGGTGTCGTACTTTCTTCATCCCCTCCACCCACACATCTGCGCCTCCGCCCCACCCGCCAAGCCCCACTGAGTCCCTCCACCCCCGCAACGCCTCACCCATCAAATCCCTCCACGCACCCACGCACCCGTCCCATCCAACCCAAACCCACAGCCTCACCAACCAAAAATAAAAAAACCTCAACGCGTCTCCCCAGCCAAACCACCAACTAAAAAAAAAAAAAAAAAGATGAAGGTCAGGATCAAGACGTGGAACGCCGTCGCATCGTGGCGCTGGGACGTGCCCGAGGACGACGTGTGTGGCATCTGTCGCGTCCAGTTTGACGGCACGTGTCCGAACTGTAGGTTTCCGGGGGATGATTGTCCGTTGTGTGAGTGTTCCCTCTTGTGTGCTTTCGTGGTGGTGGTGGTGGTGGTGGTGGCTGGGTAGAGGTGTGGTGGTGGACTTTTCGTGGGAGAGGTGCTGATGGGAGTGCGACGAGGTAGTGGTCGGAAAGTGTGGGCATTCGTTTCATCTGGTATGTATGCATCTACACCTACACTACACTTGGATCTGGATGCTCTACTCTAGTTGGGGAAACCGCGGGGAGATGGGAGTGCTAATGGCCGGTGACAGCATTGCGTCAACGACTGGATCTCGACCGAGAGCTCGAGGGGCTTGTGTCCCATGTGTCGGCAGAAGTTTGAGGTTGCTGGGGGTTAGGTTGGGTTAGCTGGTTAGGGACTGGGGAATGGAACTGTGGGGGGGGGGGGGGGGGGGGAGGATTTGGGCTTTTCTGTTTCTGGCGTTGTGCTTTTGAAATTGATACCTGCTTGCAATTGATTGTCTGTAAGTTTAGACTCGGGAGCCACACACATACACAGGCTCTCACTCGCACGTCGCGATGTCGCGATAATAATAATGGAAGCAGAGCTGCATAAGCTGCCCCTGTCACTCGCGTGCTCTTATCTCACGTGATGCGCTACCTTACCTCAACTCACCTCTTCCTCGCCTTACCTTCTTCTTCCCTCCACCACCACAACAACAACAACAACAACAATGGCCTCCCCGCACCAAAACCCCCCCTACGCCCCCCCCTCCCCCCACTCCACGCCCACCCCCACCCCCACCCCCCAAACGCACTACCCCCCGCCCCCACCTCCACCCCCCTTCTCCCCCTTCTTCACGCTCATCAGCAACCCGCACACAACCTCCCACAAGCACCCCGTCGTGCACTACATCTTTGCCGACGACGACATCGACCCCCTCGACCGCGACCACGGCCGTGACCACGACCGCGACCGTGTGGTCATCGTGGACGTCACCGACGCGGCCGTCACCGCAAAGAGCTTGAGCCGCGACTGGCAGGTGCTGGGCGTGAAGGTTGCGGCGGCGCCGCAGTGGGCGGGCGAGACGGGGGGCGGCGGGTTGATGCTCACGGTGGAGGGGACGGAGGCGCCGGCGGGGAAGGCGAAGGGGGGGAGTATGGAGGAGTTGGAGGCGCTGTATCAGGAGAGGTGAGTGCTCTTGTTTCTCTGTGTGTGGGTGGTTGGGGGGGGGTGATGGGACTGACGGCGGTAGGATGGCGCTGTTGAAGAGGGTCGTGGAGTTTGGAGGGGCGGCGGGCGCGGGGGTGGGAGTGGCGGGATCGTAGGTTCGTTCGGGGCTTCCTTGGGTTGGGAGGACGGCGTTTTGAAGGACAGTTGGCTTTGTGGGGTGATGATGCGGCGTTCGTTTTTCTTGCCTCCGGAGCTTCTGCACTCCTAGATTCTCGCTTCTTTTTCGTTGTGCTCTCGTCCCGGAGGAGATCCGATACTGCTTTTCTGTGCGTATACCGCGCTACTACATTCTCCATAGTAGCAAAGTCTACAAATGCAATGACTCCGTCGTCCATACTACCACAGCTATCTCTTAAAATCGCTACAGTTCCGGCCCATATGCATACCTAGCCACCACCCACCCCATGGAGTAGTAGCAGAGTAAGCTTGTTATTTACACTCGATACGGGCGTAGCTAGCAGCGTCTTCTCGGTCATGGCCTTGTAGCTGCAAGGTTATCTATCATTTCTGGCCGATAAGCCGAGACGGCTGCTAGTGTAATCAGCGTAGGTAGGAGGTGGTATCTGTGCCTAGCGGACATGGAAGATGTTGCGGGATGCCAATGGTGGTGATATGGGTGTATAACCCCCCAAAGCGCTCTAGTGGTGCTAAACATAATAGGGGCTTGTCAATATATCATATCTCCCGGGTACCGAACTACTGGTTGTGTGCGTAAACTATAGACCGTAGACCGTACGTAGACTGCACATATACTTCTGTCCGACCATGACGTACTGCTACAGAACACTACAATGTCATGTGCGTTCACCGTAAAAGAAAAACCAATCGAGTTGGCTATATCAATCCTCTTTACATATGGTTGCGGTCGACGAGTGCTCACGGGGTGAGAGTGGATCGGTTTGGGTTGGGTTGGGTTGGGTTGAGGAATGAGTCATGAAATATCACTCGGCATATCTAGCAGCAACCCGGGAAAGCTCCACCCGCGATTTTGGTGGCTGTGGTGGAAGCAAAGGTGAGGAAGATGCTGATAGAAGAGCAGGTAGACTTCTGTACGTAAGACAACAGGTTTTTTAATACTTTTCTGTCTACTAAAAAACATCACTCAGACTAGGTTAAAAAAAAAAAAAAGGTTTGAAGTTGGCTTCGCTAGGGAATCAAACCCAGTTACCTGCTGTCGTCATAAGTTTCCTAACTAGGTGCATAGACCACTATACTAACAAAGCTTGGAGGACTGCCTGCTGGGTGAGATGGTAAATGTAGATTTAATATCCACAACTGGCTTGGGTACGGTGTGTACTAATGTACTTGACATGTAGACTCATCCCCAGCCCCCCTACTTACATATGCCCTTCCAGCGGGAGGGGTATGTACCACACCGTGGAGTGTGGAGGGCAAGAAACGGCGAGACAGGACCAAGTCTGGATGTCTCGAGACAGAGACCACTTTGACTTCCCCAACATTAATATAGTCACAAAAAATATTGCTAGCTGGTTTCGTCCGGTTCGCTCTTTACGTTTCCATTTCGAAATAGAAGTAGGTAAAGAAAAAATTATTTGTGCTAGCAGCAGCACGTTTCGATCGTGCGACCTCCGGGTTATGAGCCCGGCGCGCTTCCACTGCGCCATGCTGCTATGAATGTTCTTCGTGCTTTGGGTGCTTCTGGGCAGGAAGTGGAAGGAGCTAGTGTTGTATGGTGCTAGGGCTATGTGTGGTCACCGGGCTGCACTTTAAAGTTTGCCGTTGAACATTTAAGCTTCATCATGCATCCCGGCCAGTACTTGGGCTCACAATCTGAGCTTCACCTACATGCCAGCTGTCATGTAATCTCACTATGTCTTTCGAAATTTCAGTTTCGTTTGGTCCTTTTATGCCATGTGCAGTAGGAACCAAGCGTCTCGGTACACTATTCATGATCATTGAACACAACCTTACTCATTAACGTAGCATAGGTTTGACGCTGCAGTGCCGTCGAGCGGAAATAGCTATAGCTGTCCACATGCACTCATCTGCACTCGGGAGGTAGTAGCGCCCATGACACTACATGTAGATACTTGTAATCGCCGTAGCCAGATAGCCAGGCCAGCAGGCTATAAATTAAAGCGAGTAACGAAATAACCTCCGACTAAGCCATGCTGCCTGAATGTATCCCGGCCCAGGACGTGCTGGCTGACACCAGTAGCGGTGTTCGGCTCTGCGAGTGATATCCGGTGATGCACCGGGCCTACCGGCTTAGCACCACAAGTTACCAGACCATTGCCATGATATCTCCACTCGAGATCCAGGGCAAGAATAGCAAAGAAGTTGGTTTTTTTTGTCTAGATACATAAATATATTTATATGTACCACTCTGGACCACTGGGCTTGGCGTATGCAGTGGTCCAGCCTGGTATACCTACCATACCAGGCTGGACACTGCATATCATTTGTGTACAGCGGTAAAACTCCAGACATTGCTTCAAGTAGTCATTATTTAATTATCATCGTGATCTGGGGAACGCAGAAAATACAGACCCAGGCCCCGCAATGGGTAGTGGGTAACCTGGGTATATATACCCGGGCAGAGAATGGGTGGGTTGGGTTGGGTAGAGAGTATTTTGTTGCCAGGTGGGTTGGGTATAAGGTCATTTTTTACCCGGGTAATTGGGTTATATCATGGGTAGAGAATTCAACTATTTCTTATAAATGGGACATTATTCTTCTGAGAATAGGAATTTGAAACAATTCGGAATGTGTTTACAGGGGTGAAAACTGTGTTTCAATGATCTTTTTGTTAGAACTTGGCCCTTGGAGAAGGGAGGCCCTCGAAACTTCCAGATCAGGTACTTAAATTATACTATTATTTCTTGCTCAGCACCAGAATGTGTACCCGTCAAAAGGTACCTTTTACCCGGGTAATATTGAACGGGTTGGGTTGGGTCGGGTCCGCGGATCTGGCGGGTTGGGTGGGCCGGGTCGACGCCCTTTTCCTACCCGGGTATACCCATTGCAGGCCCTGTGCAGACCTCTGACCCAAGAACAGTAGTCCCGACTTTATTCTGTGCATACGTTCCTCAGATCCCAAACCCGCAGGCCGAATTTGACCTTAATTGAGCTTTCTGGATCCACAAAATGGGCCGGCCAAATACAACTCATGTTCTCAGAATGGAGTTTAAATTGCCCATGAGTTTGGAGATGAAATTACATTTAACTAGAATAGTATGCTTATGAGAATTCGAAATACATAGTCTCATTTAACTTTCATGCAATAACTAGATTATCCTATCAGAGTAGCGAATGCTCGAATTCGGGCTCTGAAGCGTACGAGCTATAATTCTGATTCTCTACATGTGTTAGTTTCGAGGCCTGAAATTTAAGCTCTACATGTACTACATACTAATCATCCTTCCTTCCATCCTCCAATCATCCGAGCAATAGGGCAAAATAGCCTGAGAAATATTTTCGGGATAAGTCCGGGCTTCAGGTGAACGAATCCGAACTTCGAGAAAGAGAAGTTTATTGTCGACTACCGCCTCAGGCAGTAGTTCAAAACGTCACTGGCAGCGTGTTTGGGCTTACGCCTGTGCTACACCACTATCTCGATAAGAAATCCAACAACTACCAGCCATAAGCAATAAATATTCACTTTAAAATAATAATGGTAGACTGGACAGGCCATGCGATGATTACCGGCAAGGTTATGATCGGCAAGCCATTTATTGCCGGTTGGGACAAACCAATCACAGCACTGGCCAAGATCTGTTTCCTGCGCTAGTATTACAGTTGGTTTTGAGGACCCTGCATGTTCGACAGCTTCAACATGAGTAATATTGAAGACTCGTATCAAAGAACAATTAACTACTAATCCCGGTACACAAAAGAGGCCTATCACGGACAGCTATCGATTGCGTTATCACAATATCACTGATTAGTTGCCGCTCTGGGGGGGCTGAGAGCCTGAAACTGGGGCTGACCTATTCCGCTCGATCCTTCTTTCTCATCCATGCATACTTTATAACCTCGAGTCCCCCACGACGACGCGACTCCAACATCACAGCTACTCTCCTATCCTCCACTACCTAAGGTTGAGAGAGCAATCATGTCTCCTCCCACCACCGAAACCACCCCCCTCCTCGCCGACGATGCCACCGCTAAAGACCCCGAGGTGCCCGCAGGCCTCGACCTGGACAAGCCACGGATCCCCGGCGTGAAGCTGAGTGTCATCCTGCCCGCAATTAGTATCGGTGTATGTGTAGTCCAACTTCCCCATTCTCCGGTCTCATTTCCCGGAAGGCTTGTGTTGATAAGGTGCATGGTGATCACAGGTTTTCCTTGCGGCAATGGACAACACGATCATTGTGTCGTCCTACGGCATTATTGGCACGGAGATGAAGGAGCTCAACAGAACCTCATGGATTGCGACTTCGTATGTTCTCTTCCGGCCCGTTATTTGACTTGCATGGTCTCTTTTTTCTAACACGGGGGTGCTATGTAGATATCTCCTCACGCTGACGAGCTTCCAGCCGCTCTATGGCAAGCTGAGCGACATCTTTGGCCGCAAGCAGGCCCTACTCTCCTCATACCTCATTTTCGGCCTCGGCTGCTTAGGCTGCGGCCTCGCCCGGAACATGAACGAGCTGATCGTCGCAAGGGTATTATCTCTCCTCCTAACACAATCTCCACACACCATGCTCACACCCCTCTAGGCATTCGCCGGGATCGGTGGCGGCGGCATGACAACCGTAGCCTCCATCCTCCTCAGCGACATTGTCTCCCTCCGCGCCCGCGGCACCTTCCAAGGCCTCATCAACATCGTCTTCGCCACCGGCGCGGCCGTCGGCGCCCCCATCGGTGGCCTCTTTGCCGACAGCATCGGCTGGCGATGGTCCTTCCTCGCTCAGGTGCCGCTCACCTGGATCGCCATCCTCGTGGTATCCCTATTCCTGCACCTCCCACCGCCGGCCGTGGCGGAGGGCTTCCGAAAGCAGATCAAGCGCGTTGACTTCTTGGGTGCGGCGATCCTGGTGTCTGCGGTGTTCTCACTGCTCGTCGGCCTTGACAGGGCCGGGAACGTGATGCTGAACGATAACATCGTTATCGGAACACTGACGTTCGCGCTGCTGGCGTTTTTGCTGTTTGTGTATGTTGAGGGATACATCGCTGCCGAGCCCTTCGCACCAGGACACATTGTCAAGGAGCGTACAATCCTCGCCAGCTCCGTGTCCGTGTTCTTTGCGTTCGGCGGCTACATGGGCACGCTCTTCTACATCACACTCTACTACCAAGCCGTCGCCGGTCTCTCCGCCGCCGAGTCTGGTCTGCGCATCGTCCCCGCCATCATCGGCGGCGTGACCGGCTCGCTGTTTGGCGGAGTCGTGATGCAGACCACGGGCAAGTTCTACCACCTCACCGTTGGCGCGTACTGCGTGTTTACGTGTGGATTCTTGCCGATCCTGCTGTTGACAGGATTGCTGGGAAGGAGCACGCTGTGGGTTAGTTTGGGGTTGATGGCGACCGGTTTCGGGAATGGCGTTGGCGTGACGAGTACGTTGATTGCTGTTATTTCAGCGGCGGGGGCGGAGGAGCAGGCGGTGGCCACGGCGGTCACGTATTTGTTTAGGGCGCTGGGGACAGTGACGGGTGTGAGTGTTGGCAGTATGCTGGTTCAGGGGAGCTTGAGGAGAGAGCTCAGTGAGAGGCTTAATGGCACTGATGCGGATGAGGTTTGTCGTTCTCTTTCCTTCTTTCCTAGAATTGGTGAAAGTGGAGAAGTGTGTACTGACTCTGAATAGATCGTGAGGAGGGTCAGGCAGTCACTCAAGTTTATCAACGAGCTGCCCCAGGAAACAAAGGACATTGTCGTCAACTCGTATGAGCATGCTGTGCATGCCGTAAGTTCCCTCCCCCTCACTTCTGCCTGCGGTGGCTAATATGAGCAGGCGTTCGTACTCGGCATCACGTTCGCCGTGTGTGCGGCACTAGCGTCCATGTTCATCAGGAACAAGAGTCTCTGAGACCAAATAGGTGCGCGGTGATAGATGTTAAATGACTATCTGGTTCTGCAGGGGTATCAGACGGTAATATGGGCGGGTTATGAAAAAAAAAAAAAAATATAGCATGCGACATGGGGATGCATATAGGGCTTTAGAATATACTATTAGCAGACTTAATGCGGTAAGATAGGAGCAAGGCCGGGCAAGGGCGAGAGCAATGAAAGGGAAAACCTAGAATAGAACGATCGAGTGATATATCATGATTGGTGTAGAAATCATGTCCCTAGCAGCGGCGTCGGTGTGGTCGGTGGTTGTATAGAATATAACAGAGATTTTCGCAGTTAATTAATCATAGGAGCTTGACGAAGATGAAATATTATACTCCCTTTCCGCGAGAGCTTGAAATCATATTCCAGAACCTACCATCACCGGGTTTGAAAACAACCCCTCCGCCAACATACCCACCCTTCTCCCCACCCCCGCCCTCTATACCCCATCCTCTCATACCACCATGAACTCCCCACACCCGCACCAAGCGCAGCTCACCATGCTCACCACACACATCCACCAGCTCTGGAAGACTTATGACACCCTGAAAACACTCGCAGACACCTTCTCAGCGCCCGTTCCCGATCCCAGTGTCTGGAAGTTGCTAACTGGTGTTCCCGTGACGAGCCTGGATATGGAGGTGGCGGAGTGGGAGAGGAAGTGGCGGGAGGTTGCGCAGAGTATGGAGGAGGTGGTGGCGGAGATTAGGGCGTGGGAGGAGAGGGTGGGGGTGTTGTTGATGTAGGACACACCGGGCGAGCTCGAGTGTCTTTGGCCAAAAGGCAAAATGGAGCCCACCAACCTGTAGAGGTGGGATCAGCGAAGAAATTTCTTCGTGAGAGTTAGTAGAGTGTTAAGTCCGTCTATAGAGGCTGGGTCTGCAGAGGAAAGTAACAACGGAATCCCATGGTCTGTACGTATAAACGGAAGAGTTTTCATGTTTCAGCTGTATATATAATAATACATATGCATTTACAACAAAAAAGCGCTCCTCACAGACACCATTTGCTTTTATATCATGTCCGCCAGTACTTCCCCCAGACCGGGAAAGTAGAAAAAAAAGTTTTGTGTTAGCAGCAGCACGTTTCGATCGTGCGACCTCCGGGTTATGAGCCCGGCGCGCTTCCACTGCGCCATGCTGCTATGAATGTTCATCGTGACCGTGGGAGCTTTGGCTATTGGGTGACACCGTGGAATGGGGCTAAGGGTTAGGTAGAAGGCAATAAGGTTTAACATTTAAACTTCGAGCACTTACTTAGAGCACTTGCTCCGAGTGCCTGTCTCTCTGAGCTCTGTTAGAGAATTAGGGGGACTCCGATGAGATTATTTTGGACAGATAAACCTCCCTTATCAACTCCGTCACGATATATGCCTACCGCTAACAATGGGCTTACTAGAAGAAAAAGGAAAAAACGAAGAAAAGAAAAGAAGAAAATCCCAAATTTATTAAGTTACATAATTCTACATACTATACTAAAAGGAACACGGAAAGGAGGGAAAGGGTTAAAAAACAGACAAGAATCGACACTGAACCCCTCGCATGCTGCCGGGAGTTAAGTGTTGACTGTTACACCTATGAGGGTAGAGGAAGGGGAAGGTGAAGAAAAAATACGGGGGCAAAGGGGGAGGAACACGAGATAAAAATAGGAGCAGCGGGAAAAACGCAGATCAGAGTCGACGCTCAACTCCTCGCGTGCTGCCAGGAGTGGAGTGCCGACCCTGCCACTCATGGCGGCAGAGGAAGGAAGAAACAGCCAGAGAAACCTCAAAGGGCAGAAGAGAGAGAGCCCACGAGCCAAACCAAAACCCACGAGCCAAACCAAAACCCACGAGCCAACGAGTCAAAACCAAAGGGAGCCAGAGCCAACAGGAACAGAGAAGCCTACCCACGAGCCCACAAGAAAAAAAGAAGGAAAACAGCCAAAGCCTCAAAGCCAAAAAGAAACCCCACAAGAAAGTACTGGTATGGAACTAATTCCTCGCTATCCAGCCAAGAATTGATTCCCCCAGTTTAAAGCCCCCCCAGTCCCCATAAATGTCCCCCAGTGCCCATTGTCCCCAAGGACCCACGACCAAAAACCAAAGGGGTGGCAGGCAGATGTAGCCTACTTTTTTTCGGGAAAGGCCCAAGGTACCAATCCGTACTACATGTATATCGGCTAGAGATCTAGACCCACCACAAGGAGAAAGGAAGAAAGAAGTCTGAAAGGGGAGGAAACTCCTGCCCTTTTATTCACCGTTGGGTCAGCGAATTTTTTGTTCAAGAACGGGGCTTGGCTACGAGAATCTTGTTTTTAAGTAACTGGATAAATCATTATCTTGGCCGTGAAAATTTTCTTTCAAGTGTTTGGATCTTGGCTGAGGTCAATCATCGTGAGAACGATCCTTGGCAAGATGCCAAGGTTGCGAAACAGCGAGCATAGTACCAAGGTTGCTAAAACGAAATTCGAAGATGTTCATGATTAGTGTGTTTCTGACGATAGGGCTTTGGTATATGGGGGTAACCCACTTCTACTTTGCTCCTCAGATATAACAGTTTTTTGCCTACGGAATATGGTAGTTATTGACCACTGACCTGGTTAGTGTGGTTCACACGATCAATGATAGATCAGCATGTTTTTATAAAAACGAGACTTTCGACGACCAACCACTACATGTACGTAATTTATCAAATAACAGTAAATTAGGTGAGGTTTACATATTGAAGATTTCAAAAAATAACTAGCCTTTATATCTATTTTCATAGATCGGTTATGGGTGAATCGTACCCGGAAAAAAACAGTCAGACTCGAGACCTATGCCTAGTTCCGGCTCCTTATAGTGCCTCGAGCTCGCGATCGAGGAGAATACGAAGCCCCGCCTCGAGCATTCTCATGGGCCACATTGACCATAATCCCCCACGGTAGTGGAGTCACAGTTGATGCACTTCAACCCATTGATATTGCAGAGGGAGAGATACGACGGCTCGGCAGGGGTGTTGGAAGTAGAGTGTGATCATAACGTCGCGGATAGTTTCGGGGGTGGGTAACACGTAGATCCACCGATTCGAAGATGTATAGATCTAGAGAACCTCCGGTACGGTGAATGTGCCTTCTAATTTACCTCCCGGCCGGTCAGTAAGATGGGCTGAAACTAGGTTGCGCGGGGCGGGAATGTCATAGCTAGGGTTTTACGATATGGTCATCCCATCCTGGACCGGTTGACACGAACGTACCTCTGCGAGGAAACTATTACCTGGGTAAGTTTAATTGACAGACCCTGGTCCAGGGGTTATAAAACATCGTAGGTAGGAAGAGGCATATACTTCGGAGGTGATCTAGCGTGTTAGTGTTTGGCAGCGAAGCTTTGAATGCGGTATTTGTTGAAATGGTCGTCGGCTAACCACATTATGCGGGTCTGCGTACAAAGAGGGTTTGTTGTCCTACCTCGCTGCCATGTTTCTTTAGTTAGATTAGCTACGGCCTATTCTTCTTCCTGCTTTCTTTTACTTATAATATACTGTCGGCATCATTCTGATTCATCCTGAGGAGATAACAGTGTTGCACTGTAAATGAAAGGGCGTTCGTGGGGTTGAATACTATATACATGTATCTATACTCTGCCCTCTTTCCTCTTTCTCTTTCTCCCTACTTTGCTGTTCGTTTAAGCCATCAGCTTTCGTTTCCTTTGTCAACTATATACCAGTAAAGCCTCTGTTCTCAATATGGTGTAGATAGGTGCCCGCTCTTTAGTAGGGACTAGTGATAGTATCTCGAGGCCAGTCAAGATCTTATAAGCTTAAAAGGCGGCGGAGAGACGATATTAAGAGACGATTGACCCAAGACCTACAATACCTAACGCCACAAGACGTAAGTATGCCTTTAATTTGAAGTTATTTGTTTTTAAATCTCCTTATAATTCCTTTTTATATACATCATATTCACTTTACAGTCTACTTTTTTTTATTATCTCATTTCCACCCTTTACACCTTCCAACTACGACTTCACCCCTTCATTTCTCTATAACCATAAGAAGGAGTACAATTATAACGATTTTCCTGATTCATTTCCCTACTATATTTGGTAGCCGCAAAGCACCCTGATTGTCTACCACTGCACTCCATATTAGCTACACAAAAAAAGTCATTTCTGATCCGATGCAATCCCCAATTGACAAAGCTGTTAGAGCAGGATCGAGGGTACACGGCGCATCGAGCGGCCACAAGAAAGGACAGGAGCCAAAAGGCGGGCCAGACACTGGACTCCTCGCACGCTGCCAGGAGTAGAGTGTCGAGCCCTTCGAGTGTCCACGGGGCCAGAGGAAAGGGAAGGAAACCGCCAGTCAAGTAAATGCCCACAGAGACTCATAGGCCAAAGAAACCCACGAGCCAGACAAACCCACGAGCCAGACAAACCCACGAGTGAAAGAAACCAAAGCCGAATTTAAAGCCCACGAGCCAAACGGAACGTGAAGGCTTCTCCATTCCCCCCCCCCCGGGGGGCCCAAGGAAATAACTGGCTGGGTGATCGACAGAAATAGGCAAAGATCTCACGTAGATGGGCACCTACTATCTTTTAAACATCTGTTATAGACAGACTAAGTTTACCTTTACAAAACGAAGTGCGAGTCTAGACTTTTTACGAGCGAACAGAGGAAACAAGAGGCCACGCAGGCTAACACTACGACTAGGCTTCTCACGAGCAAACAGAGGAAAGGAACGGGAAACAAGAGGCCAAGTAGATTAACACTGAGATCCTCGCATGCTGCCAGGAGTTCAGTGTCGAGCCTACGGGGCCAGAGGAAGGAGAGGAAGCAAAGAAGACCCACGAGCCAAAGGAACCAAGAACTAAAGGAACTAGAGCCAACCCACGAGCAAAACCAGAGGCCGAAGCCAACAAGCCAAAGAGAACGAACCCGCGAGGCAAAAGCGAAAAGGAACAGCGAGAAGACCCAGAGATCCACAGGATAAGAGAGAGGAGCCAAATGCCACAGAGCCTAAAAACCCACGAGCCAAAGGAAAAAGAGCTAAAAGCTCACGAACCAAAACCCAGAACTCAAAGCCCAAAACCAAAAACCAAAAAACCAAAAAACCAAAACCAAAAACCAAAAACCAAAAACCAAAAACCAAAAACCCAAAACCCAAAAACCAAAAAACCAAAAAACCCAAAAAACCCAAAAAAACCCAAAACCGAAAAACCGAAAAACCGAAAAACCAAAAAACCAAAAAAAAAAAAAACCAAAAAAAAATCCCATAGAAACCAAAACCCCACAAGGATCCAAAGACCCAGTAGCCCCAAAAGATTGGTATGGAACCAGCTCCTCGCTATTCAGCCAGAAAATGATTTCCCCAGTTCTCAGCCCCCCCAGTCCCCATACATAAATGTCCCCCAGATGCCCACATGTCCCCAAGGACCCACGACCAAGAACCAAAGAGGTGGCAAAGCAGATGTAGCCTACTTTTTTTCGGGAAAGGCCCAAGGTACCAATCCGTACTACATAAATATCGGCTAGAGATCTAGACCTGCCACAAGGAGAAAGGAAAAAAGAAGTCTGAAAGGTGAGGAAGCTCCTGCCCTTTTATTCACCGGTGGGTCAGCGAAATTCTTTTTTCAAGAATGGGGCTTGGCTACGAGAATCTTGTTTTTAAGTAACTGGATAAATCATTATCTTGGCCGTGAAAGTTTTCTTTTAAGTGTTTGGATAAATAATGATCTTGGCTGTGGCCGTATGAGGTCAATTATCGTGAACACGATCCTTGGCGCCGGGTTGCCAAGGTTAATGAGTTTAACGGTTAAGCAACAGTGTCAAGGTTGCTCATGGGTTTACCATGGGTAGCTTATCTCTGCCCATTCGTGGTGGGCTTGGTCCAGGCGAATATGGTAGAAATATATAGCAGAAAAGAGTTATTTTGATCATTGGTCGTCGTAGCTCCTAGAATCAAAAACACAATTGATTCACTTCGACCCAATATCCAGAAGTGAACCGGATTGTATTAAATATACGGGATTCAGGCATGATTGATCATGATGGTTCTCGCAAGCCTGGCTAGTACGAAGATGTTTGATGTTCTAGTTATAGTGCAGGCCACGATAAACCTATGTCCCGTGTAAGGTTGTCTTGGTAACGGTGCCTCCAGTCTAGCCTAACTAGACGTGTAATCTATATGTATAATTAGACAGGCTTTCATCCTTTTCGTAATAGAGCCATCCATCTTATTTAGTGTGGTCCACGAGGGCGAGCGTCCTTGTGTCCTTGCCTCGAGGACATGTCCTCGATGACATGCAAAGACAATGGTCTGAAATGACAAGGAGTCTCGAGGACACTACCTATCCTTGCCTCGAGGAACCCCGAGGACAATCTTTGGTATATTATATGCTTAATCTGCCCCATTGAGATGAGATCAAGGGTAGGATATGCTTTCTAATTGAAATAAATACCCTTTTTTACTCTCCCGGAGTCGTTCCCAAGGTTCCTCGAGGTTAGACAAGGACAGAGGTCAACGAGGCGAAGTACCTCGAGGACACTCTCAAACCTCGCCTCGAGCGTCCTCGTGGACCATATTGGTCATACTACATGTACATATTGAGTCTTCCTCTCTATATATATGCATCCCGGTTACTGTCTCAGGCAAAAGAAAATGGGTTGAGAGCACAGGTATCGTGTCGATAGGTCTTTCTTCGAAGTGCTATCTGGGTAGACTATAGCTCCGACTCCGAGGTGGTATGATCCACGGAAATCTAGACAGCTGTCCTCGACGGTATGCAAAGACGGTTGCGCAAAAGGATAAGAAGCCTCGAGTACACTCTCTAGCTCTTGATGTGTCGCCTGATGGAGACGAGGTCTGGGAAAATATGCCTTTTCCTTTAAACAAACACCGCTATTTGTTCTCCAGGAATCATTTTCATCATCCTCAAGGCTCTTCAAGATAGCTCTAGGGGACTTCAAGGATAGATAAGGATAAAGGTCGAAGAGTTAGAGGTATCGCAGTCAAGAATATTAATTCCCAAACCTAGCCTCGAACTTCCTCTTTAAGCACACTAGTTTTAAGAATAATTTAAAAGATTATTCATTCCTCAAAAACGGAGAGCTATGGAGAAGACAACCTGTCACTGCCTGTTTTAGTTGGGGGAGACTACACGATTTTCGTGGAGATGCTTCTTTCGGAGCCCCCTGTAACCTGCGACATATATTATCACTCGAGCCTTGGCAACCACCAACCTATATCTCACCGTCCTTCCTTCTCTCCCAACCAACTCCCCAACTCCCCAACTCCCCAACTCCCCAACTCCCTACCTCTTCACCTCCCTTCCCCACCACCCCACCACTCCCTTCTTCCCTCCACTCCAACTATCATTAAACCCCCGGGTCCCCCCCCCCCCTCTCCTCCTCCAAAATGGCCAACGTGCCATACCAAGCCGGCCTCAGGTTCGGCCACGCCCTCGCCATCCAACAAGTCCGTGACGTCATGGACAAGCTCTTCCACCCCGCCGTCATCAACTCCCTCACCATAGTACTCGACCGGATCTCCATGCCCCCCTTACCATTCGAGATCACGTCCCCCAGAGCAGCCCTTGTAGCCGCCCCTGGGCCCGCCTCCAGAGCCCTTCACCCCGATCCCGTCACCGGAGGCCTCCTGGCGATTCCTCCCCTGCCAATGTACGTGGAAGCCCCAGGCCCTCCTCATCCTGCGCCTGAGCCTTGCCTTCCTGCGACTCCGACTCACCATCATACAAGCGGAGCTCTCCATTCCACGGCTAGTTGTCTCCCCGATTCTTCCGCCAGAGGGGATTCAGAGGAACTCACCCCAGCCCCGCCGGTCCGGAGACGCGGTCGCACGGCCCGTGACGCTCCCTCTGCCCTCGTCAAAGAAGAGGTGCAAGAAGACGCTGCTCCAGTGCAGCCTGTGCGGAGAGGTGTCCGCACAACAAGAAGCCAGGTCTCGTATGCCGAGCCCTCTCTCGCTGCCGCTGAACTGGAGGACGCTCACGAGGCTTACGTCCCGAGGCCTGGCCGTCAGAGCAAGCACGGTCTGTGCTCTGAGACGCTCCTCGACTCAGGTTCTGAGGATGCTGCTCCCGTCCAGCCGGCCCGTAAACGCGGCCGCCCAAGAAAGAACATCGCGCCGCCCGAGACTCTTGTCATGGCGGATCCTAAGCAGGAGGAGGAAGAAGGAGAAGCCACCGCTGAAGAAGACCTCACTCCAGTCCAAGCTCCCAAGAAGCGTGGCCGGGGTGGCCGCCCAAGAAAGAACGTCGTGCCGGCCGAGACTCTTGTTGCGGCAGATCTCAAGCAGGAGGAGCAGGAGGAGGAAGAAGCCCCCGCTCCAAAGCGTGGCCGTCTCAGTACCACTGCTTCATCCCCCGAGGCTACCGTCGAAGAGAAACTCGCTCCAGCCCAGGCTCTCAAGAAGCGCGGCCGCCCAAGAAAGGTACCTCCTTCACAGGTTGGCCGGAGCGTCCTCGTTCCCTTCGAGGGGAAGCTTGTTGATCAGAAGATGAAACGTGGAAGGGGGAGAAAGAAGGTGGTTGTGTAAGTTTTCGCTTTCTTCTATTTTTTCTACTATATGGGAATTTTTGCTAACCAGGATTTCGTTTGTAGGTCTGATACTGATACTAGCACTGCTGAGACGCACGGTGTTGCGGCGAAGCACGAAGATTCGGAGTGGTGAGAGCTGGAAGGCCTGGGAAGCCAAGGGTGTATGAGTATTCGGGAGAGCCTACAGCCCTCCCTTCAGAATTTTGTGCCAACTTCTAGCGCTTCCTTTACACGCCTCCTTGTACTCTTCCCCATTTGTCTACTCTGAATATGCACTATCATTATGTACCACGATTAACTACCGAGAGAATATGAATTATATTAAGCATAAACAATTCTCAAAGTCTTAGAAAATAAATCTGTGGCTTAAACTCGGTCTTACTTTTTTCTTCTCTCTATTAAAAAGTCCCTCCATAGATACCACATTTCACAAAAGTAGCCGAGAAAAGTGTACAAGTCAACTGTAGACATTTCGTAAAAACCGACTGTTGTTGGGTAGAAAAAGGTTACCGCTATTCCTATTGTTCTATTTTAGGGATAGGAAAACAAGCTCCGTTGGGATTCGAACACCCTCTTCCTATTTGGCAAACGTCCTATTGATAGCCAGACGCATTCCCACCTATTCTAGCGAAGCTTCAGGGTAGGATATATGAGCGCTGGGACGGACGGTAAAGATCAGTCGTTTGTGATAGGAGAGATAAAGAGAGATCTCAAGGTCTCGAGCTCTGAATTAAAGTCTAGAACGTTCGCAAGAAAGACGCCCCAGGCCCTGCCCGAACGAAAGACCGAGCGGGCTGCCTCAGCTTCCCTTTATAGCGTCTCAAACCTACCACATATGCTTCACCAGTTACAACCACGTCGCTATTATAAAGTGTCTTGGCACCTGTTCCGCCAACCTGTTCTACAGCGTGCCTTGAAAACGGTCCAGGGCACTTGTAGGCATATGAGCATATGGCCGTTATCTCTTACTACTTTTACACTCCCACTTTCGTTGCCCTATACACGAGCGTGCGGGGTGGAGGCAGGAGGGGAGCTCGAGTGAGCTAAATAGCTCAAACCCGAGTGATACCCCATGCATCAACCCTAACCCTAGCTACTCCAAGAACCGTTCCCTCTTCTACCCATTCCCACCCCCCTTGATCCGCACATCCTCATCACGAGCAGCAAATTTGCAAGAGGTCTATCATGAATATCCCATATATTCCCTCCCTCTAAGATAATAAATAAAGCCCTCTACTACTAGCTACACAATAACCCCCCCCCCCTTCCCCCATTCCCCGCATACACAGCCGTTCAATCCCCCCTCCTATCCAGCCTTATAGGCAATACTACCTAGCTAGCCGGCTTGGGCGACCTAGCTACCCAGCCGGCTACTAATAACTAAAGGTCGTAGATAAATATATACAGCAACAAAAGAAAAAGAAACAAAGTATAAAAAAGTATAGCTAAGCTAGGTGGGGTAAGAGGCTAGTATAAGCAAGGAAAGAGGAGGTAGATGGATGGATAATATAAAATAAAGAGGAAAGTATAATTCGAGAGAGAACATCCAATTCCGCGGATGGAGAATAAAATATATAGAGTGGGAGAGAGAGAGAGAGAGCCAGGAGAGGAGCCAGAAGAAGAGGAACAGCCAGAGAACAGAGGACAGAGAAAAAATAGCTACAAAGCGCACAAGCAAGCAAGCAAGCCAGAAAGAAACCCCATTACAGCAAGTTTAAGAAAAAAAAAGGAAGAAAAAGCAGAAAAAGCCTACTCAAACACTCAAAAAAAAAAAGAACCAACTCCGATCCCAAAACCCATTAACCCACCCCAGCCTACCTCGACCGTTTCTTCCCGACCACATCACTCCCACTCGCACTCCTATTCACCTGCATCCCGCCCGCGCCCGCACTATACCCGCCCTTCACCACGCCCAACTTCGCACTCTGACTCCTAGTCCTCTTCGGCGGCGGCCCATCCTCCTCATCATACTCCTCCTCATCCCCCGCCGCATCACCCCCGAGCCCATTCCCACCCCCACCACCAAAGATCTTATGCGCGCCCGGAATCCCCGACACCTTCCCGACCGTCTTATTCGGCGTCAACACCTCCTTCTCCCCCAACGGCGTCCTCCCCCCTCCCCCGATCTTTCCCGGAAACACCGCGGCCGTCGGCGTCGTCAACGGCGACACCTCCTCCCCCTCGTCCCCCTCATCCACCATCTCCTCATCGTCCGCGCCCCCCGCGAGCACCACCTCCCTCGCCGCCGTCCGCGGCAGCACCATCGGATACTCATACTCCCTCTTCCTCGGCGTCGCGCCCGTGGGCCGATACTCCTTCATCGGCGCGCGGACCACGGACCTGCGGAGGTCCGAGAGCGCGGGCAGGATGACGGCCTCGACGGGGTCGAGCGCGCGCTCGAGCGCCGCCGTGTGCGCGTTGATGTCGTCGGCGAAGATCTCGGTGTCCTCCTTGACCTCGGCGAGCCTGGTCTCGTGGGTGGTGTATGTGTCGCGCACGGAGGTCGCGAGGGTCTGCAGGGTGGTTGAGAACTGGGTGTGGTGAGATTCGTTGGCGGCGCGGGCGCGCGTGACGAAGGTGTCGAGGGAGGCGAGTTGTGTGTCGATGCTGTGGACCTGCGTGTCGACGAGGGAGACGGTTTCGGCGTGGATGGTGGTGGCGGTGCTCTGGATCGCGGCGCTCTGGGCTTCCGCGGCCTGGAGGGGGAAGGGGGAGATTGGTTAGTTTTGGGGGTCAATGTGAGGGAAAAGGGGGAGGGGGGGGTGGGGGGGGGGTAATGATCGGGTTGCAGGTAATGATGATGCATACCTGCCAGTCCTCCTGCAGGCGCGTCTTGAGCCCCTCCTTCTTCGCGCTGAGGTTCTCAATGAACCGCTCCTCGCTGCCCGCCCACTCGTCCATGCCCGCCTTATACTCCTTCGTGGCCGCCTCGAGCTCCTCCTGCACCGCCGCCACATCGCTCTGCACGCGCTGGATCCGCGCCGTGAGCCTCCGATCCTGCTGCTCCGCCGCGCCATTGACCAGCCTCGATATCTGCGCAATCAGGGCCTCGCGCTCCCGCGCCGCCTTCTCGCGCTCGTCCTTGAGAATGCCGTCGACGTCCTCCTGCGCCTTCCTCGTCGCGCTCGTGCTCGCCGCCGTCGCCGCAACAAGCTGCACCCGCAGCTTCTCCACCTCCGCCTTCTGCGCCACAACGCTCTTCTGCGCCTCGTCGAACAGCACGCGGAACTCGCGCCCCAGCTGCGCATACGACTCGTGCAGCATCGTCCCGAACTTGGCTAGGTCCTCGACGACCTCCGCCGCGATGCGCTCCGCAGCGTCGTTGAGCCCCTTGAGGCCCTCGCCGACCCGCGTCTTGACCTCCTCCCGCAGCACCTTGATCTCCTCGAGCACCGCGTTCATCTCCTCCTTCGCCTTGTGCGTCTCCGCGGCCAGCGCCGCCTCGCCGGTGCTGAAGCCCTCGAGCCGGTTCTCGATGTGGCTGTACGCATCGTCCAGCTTCGCGACCTCCACCTCCACAAACTGCGCCAGCCGGTCCGTGACATAGTCGGCCAGGCGCTGCTGCTCGCCCGTAAACGCGCCCAGCTCGCTCTCGACCAGCTCGGTGGTGGACACGACGGCGCCCGACGACCGCTGCCACGTGCTGTGGTTGGTGACCTCCAGGTCTGCCATTCGGCGGATCTTCCCGTGCAGCCCGGCGACGTCTTTGACGGTCTCGCCGAGCGTTGTGATGAGCGTGCGGCCGACGCGGTCGAGCTTCTCCTCGGTGTGCTCGTGCGCGATGCGCAGCACGGTCTCGTCGGCGAGGTCGCGCTGCGTGCTCTCGAGGTGCTGCTCCGTCTTCTCCAGGCTTCCCTTCGTCTCCTCCAGCGCCCGATTCGTGCACTCATGGTCCTTCTTCAGCGCCACAAACATGCGCATGTTGCTCTCAAACTGCTCGCGCGTGTTCTTCAGGCTATTCTCCATGACCTCGATCTTGCGCTGCTGCTCCTCATTCAGGATGCGCCGGCTCTCGCTCTCCTCCGTCATCTCCTGGTAGCTCTCGCTCGTGAGGAACACGCCATTCTTCTGCCGCGTCGCGTGCAGGTCCCCCTTCAGCTTCTCAATCTCCAGCACATACTCGCGGATCAGCGCCTTCTTGGTCAGCATCTGGTTCATCTGCGGCTTATTCCTGATGTCCTTTGCGCGCGCCGCATAGTCCAGCGTGCTCATCGTCTCCTCGAGGTTGCACTTTGCCGGCGAGATCGTCGCGATGATGCACGTCTTTGTGCGCCCGCCCAGCGAGTCCTGCAGCAGCCGCGTGAGCTTCGACTCGCGGTACGGGATGTGCGGCGACTTGTCGACGAGCGCATTGATCACGCGCCCGAGCGTGAGCAAGCTCTGGTTGATCATGCCCGCCTCGCGCGCGCGCTTGTTCTCCGCGCCCGAGCGCCCAATGTTCTCCGACCCGGCCAGATCCACGAGGTTGAGCTTCCCCGTGCGCAGCATGTCCTCGCCGTCCTCGCCCATGACCTTGACGTGCACCGTGATAGTGAAGACGGTGTGCGAGCGCGACGAGAGATCGTTACACTTCGTCGCGGCGACCTGGCGCTTGTGGGATCCGTCCTGGAGCAGGCGGACGCCGTCCTCGGCCGACTTGATGAACGACTCCTCCATTCCCTGAATCACGATAGCGCCCTTCCTCGTCGAGTCCTCAAAGATCTTCACCTTCGCATTATCGTCCGCCGCCAGCAGGTCCCTCAGCTCCTCATTATACAGCTCGATGAACGAGCACTTGACACTATTATCCTTCTCGTCCGCGCCGCCGAGCTTGCTAAACAGCTGATACAGCGCGCGGGGTATGATGCCCGCCGTGTCCGAGTAGCTCCCAAAGTTGTCCGCCATGTCCCCCGTCATGGTGTACGTCTTCCCCGTGCCCGTCTGCCCATACGCAAAGATCGTGCAATTGAACCCCTGCAGCATCTCGTCCAGCATCGGCGCCACCACATCGTCGTAGATCATCGTCTGGTCCGCCTCGGGCCCAAACACCCGGTCGAAGCTGTACGTCTTGTTGCTCAGCGCCAGCGGGCCCATGCTCAGCGCGATCTCGCGCCCGCGCAGCCCGCCCGGCGTCGACACCACGACGACGCTGCTCTCGCGGATCTCGCGCTCGGAGCGCCCGCGGCAGCGCACCACAACATTAATGTTTGTCTCCGAGTTGTGCTGCTCGTCGTGGAGGGCCTGGGCGGCCTCGGCCGCGATCTGGCGCGCCGTCTTGCGCGTGGGCGAGCGGCGGGAGGTGGTGGAGCGGATTGAGCCGGCGGGGGAGGGGGGCACGGCGGTGGAGTTGGAGTTGGAGTTGGAGTTGGTGGGCTGCGGGAGGTTGGGGGGCGCGCCCATGCGCGCGTTGGCGATGGAGATTTGGTGGGCGGTCATGAGGCCGGCGGCGCGGGAGGTGGGGCGGGAGGTGGCGGCGCGTTGGAGGTTTGTTGCTGCTGTTTTGCGGACGCCGGGGCGCGGGGGGCCAGACATGCTGGCGGTTGGGGGGGGGGTGGGGGTGTGTGATGATGCTGGTTGTAGATAGTTCTGGTGGTAGGTGGTGGTAGGTCTGGTAAGGTTGTGAGGTGTCTGTGTGTGCTAGAGATGCTGCTGTGTGTTAGTAGTATGTAGTTGTGAAGATGCTGCTGCAGACTGGTGGTGAAGATGGTGATGATGCTTCTTCTTCTTCTGCTGCTGCTGCTGCTGCTGCTGCTGCTGCTGCTTCTGCTTCTGCTCCAGGAGGCAGAGGTCTGGCGGGAGTGAAGCTTGTTGTCGATGCAGCTCTCACGTGTGTGTCCGTGTCGGTCTGAGATGTGCAGAGGTGTGCGCGGAGGGGGTGTTGGGTGTGGAATGGCCGTCTTGAGTCTTGACCCTTGCCCTTGTCTTGTCTTGTCTTGTCCCGTCTTGTTTGTTTACGTTTTCTGTGCAGCCCGGGAGAGACAGAGAGGCCGAGCAGCAGCCACTACCGAGTGCCAAGACACCACCACCACCGGGCCCTGGTTGGCCCACCGCTGCACACACACACACCCAGACACACACCCCCAGACACCCCAGACACACACACCCCAGACACCCCAGACACCCCAGACACCCCAGACACAACCACAGGAGAGCTCCAACCTCTAGATAGAGTCTACAGCTACTTGTATGTTATCCACATATATCGCCTATAACCAATTGTACCGTACACTATCGACAATCTACCTGCTATGTATCCTGTACTCACTATCCGCCGCGCCCTAGCTCCATCCATCATACTCTGATCAATTGCACTGAATTACTAAAAGAAAAAGAAAAAGAAGAAGAAAACATATATCATCCATTCCTCTACCTATTCCTATTCCTATTCCTATCCCTATCCCTATCCTACCGGCTATCGATATCATATCATACTATCCCTATCCTATCCTACCAACCCCGCCTATTTTCCCGCTTTCCCACAAAAAAATTACAGCAACAGAAAAGAAAGAAAAATCCAACTCAAACGAGTAAAATAAAATAAAAAAGCGAGAAAAGAAATACGCAAGTTAATCCCCCAAGCCCTAGTATCGATCCCCCGCCTAAATAATAATAGCTAAACAAGAAGATTCAAGAGAATAACTAACTAAAAAATGAGAGACTACTGTAACCTAAAGAAGATGAACAACAAAAAACACAAACATCCCAAAAACACCAAAGCCAGAAGAAAAAAAATATCAGGATACCGCACGAAAAAACGCATACTATCACAATTTTTATGTCCTAAGAATAAATGAGTAACCCCCCATCCCCCTCTCTGATTACTACCCCAATTACTCCGTATTCGGCGTCTTCCCCGCCTTTGTGGCTGTGTCCACCGTGATGAGTGTGGGCGCAATCCTCCTCCGCTTCTTGTCCCCGCCTGTGGCTACATCGGACGCCTCCTCCGTCTTTGTTGCGGCCGTGTGTTCATCTCTCTTCCCTAAAACACTTCCGCCGGTGGCACTGAGGGGGGTCTGCGGGGGTGTGGTCAATGGCACTCCGGCAACCGAAACACTCGGGAGACTTCCGACGGTTGGGGTCGGGTTGTTGATGGCACTAGCTAGTGAGCTCAGCGTTGTCACTGACGACGCAGATGAGGACCTAGTTGGCGAGCTGGGCTGGCGAACTGGGGGCGCAGGGGATGGAGGGAGGGTAGGTGTCGAGGAGACTTTGGAGGACGATGGTGTCGAGGTCGGGTTGGTGGGTGTGGAAGCGGTAGGGGTTGGCGCCGCCGTGGGGATGGGCCCAGTATATTTCTCTCCGAGCTCCCCCGGCGAAAACACAACTACAGAACAGAACCCATCCGTCGACGTCATGAGTAAAGTATTGCCGTCAGGTGACCTAGATTGCTAATTAGCTTGAATCAAGCACACTTCAAGGGGGGGGCGGGGCAAACCATGTAAGATCGGTGAATGCCGCGTAATGCAGGTTGCTGACAATGCAAAGCGGCGTCTGCTGCTGGGTGTCATATATCAAAACCGCATCCTGTGTCGCAACGGCATACACAATCCTATAGGGAAGTGAGAATGCCGAGTTTGTAGGCGTCCCCGACGAGGATGGCGAATCCGAGTTGCCGGACTGTGATCCGGGAGTTGAAGTGGAAGTGGGCTCCTGGGCCGCTACCGCGGGTGGGGGTAACAACGGGATCGAATCCATATCGGATGTGTCTACGGTTATGTGCTTGGTGGGAGCTGGCGCTTTCCGGTATGTGTAGAATACCGGTGAGCACTTCACCGCAATCGAAGGCTTCTTGTGGCCTGGCAGATGTGCAATCGGCGGCTTGTTCAACCCAGCCCGGGTGTAGATGTATACAGTGTTAATAACCTCATCGGGGTTCTTCACGCCATCTCCAGCCGTGGGATTGGACGTCTTGTACTGCCCGGCCGGGGTTAGGAGAAGACTCCCATCGGGAGTAAAGGTCAGTCTACGGAAGAAAGACGTCAATGTCTCATTGTAGTATATGTTTGCGTTCTTGACCCCTAGCCCGTGAACCTTTGGCGAAAAGTCCATAGGTTTGACAGCAGGCAAGGGCAAAGCCGGGGATGGCGATGTGGAGCGGCGCATTGAGGGAGAAGAACTGAAGGAGCTCCGCCTGCTAGCAGCAAGAATAGGCGGGTTCATCGGGAGAGAAAACCCAGTTGGTGTCCCGGGGGTAGACGGGGCAGGCGACGCAATTGCAATTGCCGATCCCATATCAAACTCCCTCCCCCTCTGGAAATCCGGCGGGGCGGGGCTGCTCGAGGACACCCGTCTCCGTGGGGGCAGATCCATTCTTGAAAGCTTCCCGTGCTGTGAGAGGGAGAATTGCCCATCTTTGGACTTTAGTGTGTAAATGTGCACTGAGCGGTCTGAGCTCTGAGTCGCGACAAACTCATTCAGTGGGTCCCAGGCAACGCCTTGGACATAGTGATTGTGCTCGGCAATTTGTCGAACCATTTGCCCTGGAAATTGCGTGGTTTGTCAGCTCTCTCCAACCGTGATCACTGATAGCGGGCAAACCATACCTGTCTGCGCATTCCAAACTCGAGCAACATTGTCCATGCTCCCAGTAATGAAAAACATCCCATCTGGTGACCATGCAAGGTCGTAGATTTCCGAACCCATGGATCTACACATGTGCTTCAATCTCCACGTCTCCTTATCCTCGAGATCATCTTCTCCAAATCCCGGGCCCGCACGGTGTGTTGGTTCTGCTGGGACCCAAAGAATAATGTTCCCGTCGTCTCCAGCGGACGCTATCATCTCGCCTGTGTCACAAGAAGTCAGTCTCGACCAATTCCACGGGGAAGGCGTTGCAATAGCCGAAGGGTGCACAAACCTCGAGGGCAGAAACGAACAACATTGACAGCCTGGTTGTGTTTGGCGAGTGTACTCAGGTAGACAGCCTTCTTTTCGTCGCCTTCGCCTTGGATTTTCCACAACTACTCAATCCACATCAGACCTGAATTTTTTTTGATTTTTCTCTCCCAATCTCCCCCGAAAAATAAAAATAAAAATAAAAATATTGGGACGGGATCCTGAGGTGGGAAAAACGTGACAAAGAGGTGTAGATCAAACATACGCGAACATTGTTGTCTCCACCCGCAGTTGCAAGCCTTCCTTTGCCGTTTGGCTCAAAGTGAGCACTATAAATAGGCTGGTTGTGTTCGTGCCAGTGAATGGTGAGTGGAACTGCCTTCATCTCGTTTCCTTTGCGCTGAAAGTCGTCTGGGAGTCGGTGAACAGGAGATCTTTGTCGACGACGTTGATGGAGGACAATGAGACAAAGGTTGGAGTGAACAAAAGAGCTAGTAGAAGAACACCAATTCCTCTATTGTGAAATTATGAGAATTCTGGTTTCCGTAGGAAATAAATCAAATCCACTTATGAGTCGTTGAAAAACGGTAGGTTTATTTGGTGGGAGCTTGGGTCGTGAGTTGGTTGTGGTTGAGGATGAGGTTTGTAGTGGTTGGTTGCCGTGGTGGCAGTAAGGTAGCAAGGTTCGGGGGTTTCAGAGCAGAAGATCGGTGCGGTGCAAAGGGTTACTTTTGAGGCGAATAAATTGTGTGCATACACTGGCAGAGGGACGCAGAGAATAACGGGGGCAAGAGCTGTGCTACATCACCGATGCACTTGCCTTCACGCCCAGAGACACTAACTATCGTGGGGATCAGTTCCTAGAACTTCTGTTTATTTACCGTTCTACCATGTGCCCCCTGGTGCAGCAGAACGATAGTATCAGCGTCCAACATGATACTCCAATCAGACAACCACTTTCGCCTCTGTTATATCTTGGCTCTTTATCACGAAAAATGATACATACTTCAATCCTAATGGGTCCCTTCCATCGATCTTGCTATCGAATTATTATTTCATCTCGATTTCCCCACGTTTTCACATGCAACCACATTCTCAGCCCTGTGTCTTCTGTCCTTGTGCAATTCGTTCGGCTATGACTGGATCCTCAAAGCTCAATCTCTTGCGTCCCTCACGAGAAGTGATTGAATGAGAATCCGAGTCTACCCCACAGCTGGCTACGAAGGACTACCAATCCAGGAACAGCATGCCCGGCTTTGTTCCTGACCACTCGGCAAAGGCAATGCTTACACAGGTACATGAGTAGAGTACCACGCCCCAACTTTTCACATTAGCGACTTGCATATGAAACTACTCTGGAGAAGAAGAAGAAAGGAAAGTCTTGTGTTTTAGAGCACTGCGAGGTAGCGAGGCGGCCCGATGCCGCGTGCTTTAGGCGTAAGAAGGGCAGAGCGTTCGGGCAGGTACGTTTGAAGGTACTCTACCCAAACCAGAACATAATTGTACCTATAGCGACTATACTTTGTATGGTTCCCCAGACTACTAAGCTTCACCAATCAAGCGGTACGACACAAGATGTTCCTAGAGTGGACCCTGGAGGCATGCAGAGTGGAATGTCCACGCGGCAAAGTGGGATCGTCCCACCTTTCGAAACAATATTTGCTTGCAGGCAGAGAGAACGAAGGAATTGTAATCTGCGAGTACCTATGAATTGGTTCATATTTCGACAAGCACTGCTGATGTTGGGTTCATTCATATAGTGCCCTCAAGACCCGACTTTTTGCCGTTATCAAATAAGGCTTTTTATCATTCTTTTTTTTCTTCCTTCATGTTCATGCATCGCACCGATTAGACGAAGAGCGCACCAATTGCCTTTGTCGTGAAATAGGCTGAAGTAGGAAAGTGTGACAGTAAAGGTCAAACAGTCGATGGTGCAGTTCTAATTCACATCGCATACGACGTCAGGCCAGATTCAAATAATTTGTCCTCCTAACGCGAATTGGAAGCGTTCCCAAGGATCAGAGTCTAGAGGCCCTCTAGTGGAAAGTCAGGGTAACTTCCGGCGGCGCCTTGTAGCGAGCGAGTGCTGATATTTCTACATACGACGGGAAAAATCCCTCAAAGGATGCGCACGCCAGCAGGTGGATATTCGAATTCAAATATATTTACCTCCTTCTTCACGAGTCTGGGGCTATGGTGTTGGTGGATATCAATGGGTCAATCAAGGCTGATCTTCGGCAGACTGAGAAATACTCGCTGTGGAACTTAGTAAATACTGCATGTTTCTAGGAAACCGACACGTCACCTGCTGCAAGCATTTATGAAATCTCAAGGTTCTGTTACATCGTGCTCCTAGTTCACATAGAGAGGCAACAAAGAATATTTATGACTCTAACTCTCTTAATAATATCAGATTTATCGATGCCTTATTAACAGCCAAACGGCTGATCAGAAAGCGGGGCGCTAGGCTTGATATTTGAGAACTTATCGATAAGAAGATACATGTAGTGATATATTACAATTTGTAGGTACATGTTGTAACTTGTCGTCCTCGTGAACGAATTAACCCGTGTTTCAGAGAAGGTGCTTGCGCTGAGCTTCAATATTATCAAGCCATATTTGTAACTATGCTCTTAGTTCCCGCGCGGGGTTGAATAATTGGTTAACTGCAGACATATACCCTTCCAATGGTTTCGTCTCAATTAGTATGACTGATATGCTTTAGGATCAACTTCGCATGTGATGAATCACAAAGCTTTGTGTGTGTAGCTACGTCGAGAACGGCGATCAAGATCTACTGGCCTGAATCTCTTTCGAATTGTAGGCTGTTTTCGGCTGGAAATCTATGAATGAATCGCGAGGGCTGAACTCATGAAACTGGCGTAGGCAACGGAGTTGGCCAAATGATTTAATGGTTGTCAATCTGCAGGTCTGGATACGAGTTGTTTCTCGACAAAAAAGAGGAGCCGGATCAAATACCGTAAGTACCAGGGCAATTATTGAACAAAGTGTCGTAGCTTATGTATCACTAGCCTGGATTTGGACGTCATTTTGAGCCTCAGACAAGAGCTGCAGGGCAGCAACGTCCTGTCGTACAAGATATCAACAGCTCGCCTTTTAGTCCTGGTATTTAGCAAGTAAGCGCCATAGTCAATGGAAAACCTATTCTCATCAAGAGTGTAGCTTTAATACCCTGCAATATTAGTGATTCAAGCTGAAGATGAATGCCTTACTGTCGACACACATACAATTTTGAGTCGGCTTATCCAGAACGTAGGCTCACAATAGTCTTAGTGTCGACAGTAAGGTGTGCATGATCAAACTCTGAGTCTTAAAGACTCAAGCTTTAGATACAGGAAACTTTAAGCTTTCGAGAGTTAAATTCCTTCCCGTCAAAAAGAAATTCTATTATGTGTCGATTTCTAGCACATGAGCTCCTGCCGGGGATGAATTGAGTCAACTAATCAGCCTGACTTAAGTAGGAAGGTAAGTATTTTGAATTATACGAAGTCGACAGTAGCCGCAGGATTCTACTAGATGAGGCAGGCGTAATATCTAATGGAAAAAGTCTGTTGAGATAGAAATCTCCTCTTAGGTGGCTCCCTGTGGCTTTATGGGAGGGCATACAGTATAGTGCAGCTGGTCGAAACGAATCATTTGACTACTCCCTCTAAACCCTGAGCTGCTACTTGTCAATTGCCATAAATTCAATTACATGTACATAATAGAGTGCCAAAATCGCACGTTCAATATGTTTATCTCACTTGGGGTCGTCTTTCAGCCGAAATAAAACATTGATTACATCGCGGTTATCGTCGGTACCGGCCGGCCGTAGGCGCATTACATGTACGAGCCCATGGTCAAAAGAACCCGGTTGCGCGTCTAGCAACGGCAACTACCCATAAACAAACGCCAACGATGAGTTCAACCCCCCCACGCAACGGGCCTAGTGGCCACTGGACGACACCCACTAGAGTAAGAGTATATACTTTACTTGAAGATGGGCACTCTCAAACTGAGGTATCTCAACAAACCGGGGTGCCACAGCAAACCATTAGTGAATGGTGTCGAAACCCTCATCATTCCCGCCGCAACCACCACCGCCCTGGCCGTCCGCGCCGACTAACAGAACGCGACATCCGACACATTATTATGATAATTAGAAGCGGCTGGGAGGGAAGAAGGCTTTGCTGGAGGAAATTGGGGAAAGCAGCCAATCTTGACGCATCGCCCCGTACAATTCAACGCGCACTAGCTCGAAAAGGTTACCATCGATGCAAGGCTTGCAAGAAGCCATTCCTTAGCCATGAAAATCAACAGGAAAGAAGAGCCTACGCCAATCAACATTTAGGCAAAACAACAGACTTTTGGCGTTCTCACATGTATTCTGATGAATGCACCTTTGACACCTCTGCTCGCGGCTCAGCATGGGTGACACGACTTCCAGGTGAACGATTCCATGAGGATTGTATTCAATATACTTTCAACAGTGGGCGGGGATCTGTTCATGTATGGGGAGCGATCAGTTACAATTGGAAGTCAGAGCTAGTGTTTTTGGATGGTACAGGTGGAAAAGGTATTTGTGCAAAGGACTATATGGAACAAGTCTTGGAACCCATAGTTGCGCCAGCCTTTATGGGTCTGCTTGACTATGATGCATCTACAGGTGGTCTATATGTTGAAGATAGGGCACCATGGCATGGGACTAAGAAGGCACTGGTGGAAGTCAAAAAAATACTTGATATCCCTCTCCATTCTAGACCTGCTCAATCTCCTGACCTTAACCCAATAGAGAATGTATGGAGGATTATGAAACAGCGGATTAAAGCAAGGTCTCAATTTCCAAATACTGTAAAACTGATGGCAAAGGCAATTCAGGAAGAGTGGGATAGGCTGGAGTCAAAGGATTGGAATGGATTTATTGATAGCATGCCAACAAGATTGCAGGAAGTAAAGAAAAGGCATGGACTTATAACTCAATATTAAATGATGAATGTATTTAACTATACTCAAGCTTTATCTATTTTAAATAGGAGGTAAATATCTCAGTCTGTTGTTGAAATACTTCAGGGCCGGTGTTGAGGAGCTCTCCGTTGCTATATGCGCTACCGGGTTTTTTTGACCGTGGGCTCGTACTTATTCATTGATATCTACCCCTGATGATACTGGGTTGCACACACATCCAAGTGCCAATAGGGATCCGGATCTTGCAGGTACATGAACAAACATATATATATGAACAAATTTAAACATACTACATGAAGGTAGCTACTGACATAAACAGCTGGCATACTTACCTGTAGCTACATGAATAAATATAGCTCGGGAATAAACAACTGTCTCTGTATACAAGTAATAGAGTACATCATGTAGTAAACCCTCACAAATTAAGAAGGAAGGCCTGAAGCTACTAGATCAATTAAGTGTTCGTCCAATAAACGAACTCTCAGACACTCTCTATGGGAAGGGATAGTCAGTTTTCAGCAGGGAAAGCTATATGAAGGGAAGGAACGCAAACTATGATCTATAAATCTACAATCAAATCCTTTTCTAAACTTAATATGAATATCATTGTTACTAGTAAAGCACCTTTCCTAGAATTAAACCTCACAAACTTTGGAAGCAAAAAGGCTCGGCAATAATCACAACCAGAATTCATATGCCAATGACCCATTCCACAGCCAGTTTGACACGGTACCAATTAGTCGTGGTGGTATCAATATCGCGATCGGATCAGCCCTAGTTCTTAATGTTAAGTATCTGTATAACCGAATCATCTGACTTTAGCATGATGAGCAGATACATGTATCTATACTGACGAGTTACCTTTAACATCATCTAGATGCAACCCGAGATTTGATTACGGTGACCGCTAGAACCTAATCTTTAAACCATTAGATCTATTATGTTGTCACACCAGCCCCTACTGGATCGGACAGCATCGCCTTACTATTTTCAGGCAATGTCATCTTTTTTTCTCGTACTAGTTGATGACATACCAGAGATAACACACTCATATCGGCAAGAGGCAGGAGTACCATGACTCAACCGAACTGGTGGAACCGGAGATATTCCTTTGGTGATGTACCTCTCCGCCACAACCGCTGAGGTAAGGGAAGCATGGGTGGGCCACAAGAGATAACAGTCGCGCTCATAAAAGAGGGACATCCATCGAATAAAGAGAAATTCCCGCTTTGCAGTACTCATCACTTCTTGCAACGTCCCACCAGCGAATGTTCGTTGCAATAATGGAACATAGCACAACTATTGCGCTCGTCGCAACGGCGTCGTCGGCAGCGATAATTGCAGTCTCAAGCACTATTAGCGCAGCTAAACATTGGAAGCAGATCTCGCCCAAGCGAAAGGGCAATTACGAGGAAATTGGGACAAATGTCTACCAAGATGAGGACGGTACAGCTACAGAGGAATCGGAGGCCAGATACTCGACCTATGTGCAGAAGGTTTTCATTCTGTTTGGGACAGCGCTTGGTGTTGGGTTTTCTTTACCAATTGCAATAAGATCCATGAAGGATATGGAAAGCCTTGTATATGTCTCAAATTGGCTGGTATTTGTCTCATGGGTACGCATTGCATTCCTTGGATTATTTGGCCATCTCTAACATGACACAGTGTTTTATTACTATTCGTGCGATATGCGTCACACAATTACGAGGAAAGCTTCAAACGTTCTACGCTTCCTGTCAATTAGCAGGAGTAGGCGCTATTCTTCTCGTCGCACAATTAGTCCTAGCTTCAATGATACGTAGTGACCTGTCTCCTTGGCTTGAACTTGGCCTTGTTGCTGGCCGCATGTTTGCCGCCTTCGTTTTAATTTTCTCCTCTCTTTCAATCCCGAGGCGGCCTGACGTTTACTTCAATGGCCAAAAGGTGGATGAAATGCGTTCAGTAAGCTTATTTTCCCGCTATACCTTCACATGGGCTGGAACACTTCTCAGGTTAGCTTTCCAAAAAGGTCGCCTAGAGGAACATGATTTGCCAGTATTAGATTCAAAGAGAAGGGCGCGCGAGTTGCAAAAATCGTTCAGCCAGGTAGCGGAATCCCATAGGCTTTATTATCAAATTTACTTGGCCCACTGGAGAACAGTCAATATCCAGTGGACACTGTCTCTGATAAATGCATTCACTACCTTTGCGCCCCAATACATTATGTTCCAGCTTCTAAAGAGTTTAGAGAAAAGAAGTGCCGGAGTTGATGCCCGTTATGAAGCCTGGTTTTGGCTTATTTGTCTGGGCTTGACAAAATTGGTTGACTCGACAATCGCATCGTATTTATACTGGTATGTGCTTATCTAGAGTCCCGCAATCAAGCTGTAAATAGCCACTTTAGTAAACTATAGACTGATATATCCCGCTAGGCTATCCTATATGGGATTAATGATCCCAATCCGAGGACAGCTTTCTGCCATAGTGTTCTCTAAAACTATGCGAAAGAAGGATGTTAAGGGCATGCAAACGGGAAAGGATTCAGAAGCCACAAACGATACAACTGATAACAATAAAACCGCCTCTGGGCCCAGTGATGATGAGGACGAACTAAAAAATATGAAGCAAGGAACAATCAACTTGCTTGCCATTGATTCTTCGCGAGTTGCCGAGTTCACTTCCTTCAGCAGTGCCTTCTTCCAGGCAATCTTCGAAATGTTTTTTGGGTTTTCATTGCTCATTAATATCATCGGGTTTGCTCCCTTCCCATATCTTACGCATTCACCTCGAAACTGAAACTAACATAAATCCAATTCAGTTGGAAGAGTATGATTGCGGGCCTTGGCGTAGTTGCTGTGACGACTCCCTTTAATATAATCGTTTCGAAAAAGTATTCTGTGGCTCAGGACAATCTGATGAAAGTGAGAGACCGTAAAATGGCCGTTATCTCGGAAGCTCTTCAGGGTCAGTGAATATCATCCAAGTCGACAATCCAAACAGCCCCAGATTCCCGGAAGCTAATAACATCACAGGTATTCGGCAAATCAAATTCTCTGCTTTGGAAACGCAATGGGAAAATCGGATTCGGGCTGTCCGGAATGATGAGCTCAAGACTTTACGTACTGTCTTCACAACTGAGGCGTATGCATACCTCCATTGAATATACGAGAACAGATTAATGATTACTAACTTTTTATAGTTGTCTAATTCTTTTCTGGATGTAAGAACTATTTTACCCATATAAACTCCAAGAATTTTACTTACGATCGCAGAATGAATCCTGTATTGCTCTCAGCAGTTGCTCTAAGTGCCTATGCTATAATTTATGGGACATTATTGCCCTCCGTAGCGTTCACTGCATTGGCAGTCTTCAGCGAGCTGGAATTTGTCCTATCGGTTATTCCGGAGCTCACAACGTAAGCCATTCTTCGGGATTTAAAAGGTACCTCCTAGTCACTGACCCAAAATAGGGATGCTTTGGACGCATATGTCAGCACAAAGCGCATAAAAGATTATCTTGATTCTGCTGAAAAAAGCTTCAAGCCTACACCATCCAAAAGAATTGCAATCAACAGTGCCACAATTGCCTGGGCTGCTGATTCGGAAGATCAAAAAGACAGATTCTGCCTTCGTGGCGTAAACCTTGAATTTCCTATTGATGAGCTTAGCGTCATATCAGGAAGAACAGGTTCTGGGAAGAGCTTGCTGCTTGCAGCTCTATTAGGCGAGGCAGATGTTTTGAGTGGAGATATTGAGATGCCATTACCCCCATCACCTGAAGAGAGATTCGACGCGCAGGCTACCCCAGGAAATTGGATTCTACCGTCAGCCGTAGCATATGTTGCTCAGATCCCATGGATTGAGAATGCCACCATCAGGGAGAACATATTATTTGGTTTACCATATATCGAGTCGAGGTACAAGCAAACCTTGGCAGCATGCGCTTTACAGAAGGACCTTGAGATGCTCTCGGACGGAGAATTCACTGAGATTGGTGCAAGCGGAATAAACCTCAGTGGTGGTCAGCGTTGGAGGGTATCATTTGCACGTGCTGTTTATTCTCGTGCAGGAATATTGATCCTTGATGATATATTCTCAGCTGTCGATGCCCATGTAGGAAAACATCTTTTTGAGAACGCTCTCGTTGGAAACCTTATGCAAGGCCGAACCCGTATTCTTGTTACTCATCATCTTAAACTCTGCATCTCTAAAGCAAAATATACTGTTTCGCTGGAGAACGGGGTTATTCAACATGCAGGTTCGGTAGAGAAGCTAATCCAAGATGGAGTCCTGGAAGAGATTATTGCAGCAGGCGAGAACGAGGATCAAGCAGTTGAAGAAATTATCGACGAAGTAAACGAAGATCCCAACCCGAATAAGGGTGATAGCAAGCCTCAGGCTACACCTCTTAAATTTGTGCTGGACGAGGAGCGTGAACGAGGTGCTGTGAAGAAAGATATCTATCTTGATTACATCCTCTCTAGTGGCGGGTGAGTGGAAATGCAAGCCCTTCGGCGGTTTGGAATAAATCTGACAATTAGTAGAATCATCTTTTGGATATTTATAGTTTCCTCTTTCCTTGGACAGGAAGTAATGCTATTATCAAGAGTAAGCGTTCCCAGACTCTAGAAATATAAGAAGAAAATACTGACAAATTATAGAGCTACTGGTTGAAAATGTGGACTGCAGAGGGCGTACAAGCGTCTGTAGTTCTTAGCCCACAATCTCTTATTCATACTTCCCTCCAGCGACTTATGACTGTTGTTCAGGAGGAACGTTCTCTGTTTTACTGGATCGGCGTTTACTCTGGCCTAAGTGTAGCTGTCTGCATTATCGGAGTTGCAAAATATGGTAAGTTCTTTAACATTGAGCCTCTTTCTGAAGTGCTAATAATTTATTGTAGTATTGGTCTTTATTGCTTCATTGAAGGCCTCCAAGGTCCTGTTTGAACGAATGACATTTACCATCTTGCGAACTCCACTGCGCTGGCTTGATACAGTCCCTACTGGCCGGATTCTCAACAGGTTCAACAAGGATTTCGAGCTTTTTGACTCAAAACTTTCAGGAAATATAGCCATGTTGGTTTATCATTCACTGGCACTCATGGGAGTTATCGCTGCTGGGTAAGTAAACTACTGTCTTTTTTAGTGAATTACAACTGATAAATATTTTAAGTGTAATACTTTCTCGATGGATGCTTTTTATGGCTTTAGTCTTGCTCTCCATCAATATCCTCTATGCGATGTACTATCTCGCGGGTGCTCGTGAAGTAAAACGATTAGAGAGCAACAGTCGTAGCCCAATGTTTGAGCTTTTTGGGTCAACATTAAGCGGAGTTGGAACCATCAGGTATTCCATCCTTTGAGCTACTATATTATCGCATATTCTAATCAGAATGAATAAATAGGGCATTTGGCAAATCCGAGGAATACATCGATAAAATGTTCAAAAAAATTGATATCTTTAGCCAGCGTACTTTTTATGTTTGGTGGGTTGACATAATTCTACTAATATCCTGATTCCAATGCTAATGGTGACTTTGTAGGTTGTTCAATAGGTGGATGGGTCTCCGTATGTCCGCAATTGGGGGATTCTTTTCTGTTATTGTTGGGGCAGTAATTGTTGCTCTTCCGAATATCGATGCAAGTTTGGCTGGATTTGCCTTGTCTTTTGCTCTCACCTACACTATTAATGTCATATGGACAATCCGGCGTTATGCAAATACTGAGCTTGATATGAACAGTAAGACTATGACGATTGAAGATGCGGCATGTTTTTTCTAACCTTGGGACCAGGTACCGAACGTATTATTGAATACACCAGACTTGCTACCGAGGACATCAATGGTATAGCTCCGCCTGCAGCATGGCCACAGGAGGGCAGAGTCGAATTCCAGGACCTAGTAGTAAGCTATGCTCCAGAACTACCGCCAGTGCTGAAAGGTATCTCGTTCGATATCAAGCCGAGGGAGCGAGTTGGTGTCGTTGGACGCACTGGTGCCGGCAAGTCCTCCATGACGTTGGCTCTCTTTCAATTTATACGGGCTTCCTCGGGATCGATCTATATCGACGGTCTCGATATCTCGAAGATTTCGCTACAAGACCTTAGAAGCCGGTTGGCTATCATTCCTCAAGGCAAGTAATAAAGCTGAAATCTAATTTGCGAGCATAATTATTAATGGTTTTTAGATCCTGTTCTCTTTTCAGGTACTATTCGTTCCAATCTCGACACATTTGAGGAGCATAGCGACCAAGAGGTGAGCAGTTCCTTATGTCTCTTAAGGACATTCTCTCTAACATATCTATTCTAGCTTCGGGATGCTCTGGAACGTGTTCATCTGGTCAGGTCATCCAGCAGTGGTACAGCAACGCCCAACTCGCTAGGTTCGACAAATGCAAACATTTTCGAAAGTCTTGATTCAAAGATCTCTGAAGGCGGTCTTAACTTGAGTCAAGGGCAAAGGCAGCTCCTGTGAGTAGCATCCAGTCGGGTTAACTAGATTTCTTGCTGATAGTATTCCAGCTGTCTCGCTCGCGCAATTGTATCTCGGCCAAAGATTCTGGTTCTTGACGAGGTATGAACCCTAAAGATTCCATCTATATAGATGTTTTTTCACTAATCTATTATATAGGCCACCAGTGCAGTCGATATGCAGACCGATGCCTTGATCCAAAGAAGTATACGTGAAGAGTTCACAGACTGTACAACGTTAGTGATTGCACATAGACTACAAACCGTAGCGGATTACGATAGAATCCTTGTCCTCGGCGATGGAAAAGTCATTGTACGTCAAATTCCTCTTCCAAGGCCCATGAACTATACTGACTAACGATCTCTAGGAGTACGACTCACCGTGGAATCTACTCCAAAGCAATGGCATGTTCCACGATATGGCCCAGCAGAGCGGCGATTTTGAAACATTAGTCAGTATCTCCAAGAAGGCTACAGGGCGGGAATAGATGTGTTGAGGCATTTTCTTTTTATTTTGGTTATAGTTGTGCATAATAGAAGTTCTGCACGAGTTTATACATGTTTTCCTTTTTTTTATTTGCAAAATTCATAAAATCGAGCGCAATAAAATTTTCTCTGTTTACAATCGGTTATTATTCGTCCCTATCCCTTGGCCTGGGAGAAACTTACACATTGCGAGACTTCCTATCTCAGTAGGCCTTCCAGTAGCAAAGTCGCTGCTCCACAGTGGTAGCTTGTGGCTTAATGTTAATTATACGTAGAGCAGTGACTTTACCACTGGAAGGGCCTACTAAGATAGGAAGTCTCGCAAGGCCAAGGGATACAACATGATTATGTGATGATAGTAGTGAAGGATGAAGGTAATAGTGGAGGGATGATAGCAATAATAATAGTGTTAGTGGTTGAAGTGTATGAAGAGGGGATGGAGGGGATAAAAGTGTAGTCTGCTTCCCCAACTTGTAATCCGGCAAACGCCAAGACCAGATCCAGTCTAGCATCGACACTCCCATTCCATCCTTCTCCCGCCCATCCTCCACCCCCCCCCCCCCCCCCCAAACCTTACGCCGGGATGACAGTGGGAGGTAGAGAAACTGTAATATGATGACCAGCCCGTCTAATTGGGGTACGAAGTGCCGAGTGATTTCCTATGATTACAAAGCATAAGGATGACATAAGTATATTGACTAAATTCTGTATAATTACATATCTCTGATGTTCTCCAACGCTCGTTCACCAACCCCTATATGGTTTATATACGCGGCTGAGGAGGCAGGCTACCGAGTGATAATGCATGATCGACAGAAGTTGGCTGGTTTTCTTGACTCTTCACGCTCTGCGCTGCGTGGTTGTCGGTTGGGGAAAGCCGGGCTACGCAGTGAGAGCATAACTCCTTTGTGGCGAGAGATAATGAAGTAGTTTCTCGTATTAGCAATCTATACACGTAGAGCTATTTGGTAAAAACATAACTGCCTGTTCAAAACCCGCTCTCGTACCCGAGATATATATATATATCCGCCGTATGTCCGGTCGCCCTATAGAATTCGGTAACGGAGTATGGTAACGGAAACCCATGCAGCTAGATCCATAGCACCACCAGTATGGATGTCTTTCCTGGTGTATCCTCGTTTAATTGTTGAACGAATCCGAAGCCGCCATCGCTTCTACCAATCAAACTCTGGGCGTCCTGTTGGCGGGGGTACCAACATCTCCCGGATAGTGAGGAGATAGCAGGTGTGCTCTTTTTGGCTTGTTGGGTAGGTGCTGGCAGTACGGGAGTCTCCAACGTAAAGGTTGGGTTCCGCCCTCTTCGCATAGACGTGCGCGCGCCTCGTTTTCCTCGAGCTCTACCAGTACTAGCCACACTGCCATACGGTAAAAGACCTTCCGAGCCTTACTGAATATTATGGAGAAAATGGTTTGTGCTTAGGGTACAATGGTGGGCCTTGCATTGAAGATGGATATGCAGGCTGGACATCGAGAGCAGTAGGCACTGATACATTATATATGGTGAAAGAGGACTTTAGTGTTGGGTACTTAGCCACTAAATATAATTTCAGTAGAGTCTTGATTGTGGTTTATGTGTGTTCATATCTCATCACTCGGCCACGTGAGACCGGTGTTGTTGGATATATGGCTTCTTCGATGACAGCGAAATCGAATGTCTCATGCTAATATTTCTGTCCTATTCAGATAGTGACTAGATAGATAGCTAGCTAGCTAGACCTCAGAGTCTATCATCTCATTGACAAGGTTTCTGTCATCTCTCTATATTGCCTCTCTAAAAAGGTTATCAATTCATCCTTTTCGACAGGGGCGATGTCATACACAATGGCAGTAAGGGGAATGCATGAATGACATACTGATCATACGCCATGACCAAGTTTAGCTACTAATACCTTCAACTTCAGCTGCTGGAAAATTAGAGAACCAATTTACTTATATTCTCAGGCCAAAAATGTCTACAAAAAAGCCAGCCAAAGGTTACGCATCAAGACCACCGGTGGGATTACTACAACCTCCATCTTTACCGTATCCACTCCGTATATACAACGCCGTGCACCCAGAGACCCTAACGCACCCTCAACAGCAGCTGCCCGCCAATTTGCCTATCAACGGCCTCCCTTGCCTCCAACAAGCCGCCTTTATCATTCAACAGGAACATGCACTCGCCGGGCTGCAGCGGCTTGACATACTCATGTTCCTTCCCACTAGTAAGCATCTTGAGGCCATTCACGCCAACCCACACCCTCTTTGTCGGCTTGGATACCAGGCGCATCTTCGAGAGCACGGGTTCGTTGTCGTAGTACTTCATCCCCAGCCACAGTCGTCGGGTCGCGACGTTCTCCTGCGTTATCGGTGTGTACTCGGTGTCGGGCCCGGCGTGGTTGCCTCTCGCCACGGAGGACAGGAAGCCTTGATCTTGGAGCCCAAGTGCAATTGCGAGGTTGAGCTTGGTCATGGGAATGGAAGTCGTGGCGATGCGCGCTTTAGAGATGTTCTGCAGGTGCGAGCAGACCTGGGCGAGATTTTTGAGAACCATAGTGGGGGTAGTGGGGGGGGGGGGAGGGGGGTGAACGAGTCTGTGAGAGTTAGTGGGAGGGCTTCAGATGGAGGCAGATTAATTGCTCGGGCGGAGGGAGCAAGGTGTCTACCTGGAGAATTGGCCGGGACGGTGACTGACAGCCTCCTTCGATTGGGACGTCGCTGAGATTCTTCTTTGGTGTCTTCACACACTTGCCTGTGATTTCGATGTTTCGATAATCCAGATAGTCTTGGCGTGTCTCAAAGAGGCTCTGGTGCGGAAAAAACGGTTCCAGACTGCGCATGACTAAGGAGGTGATTGGGTAAGCCAGCCCAGCTGTGGGCTTCTCGGCACTTCTCCATTGAGATAGACGTGTCAGGGTCAGGGTTACATTTAGGACTCCCTTCCAGGAGGACGAGAAGGACAGAGAGAAACTTCAAACACAGATCGGGCAGTAACCCCCAGCATAGGCATCCAGACCCGTTCCCTCTCCCTCACAATCATCACTCGGCTTCCTCTGAATCGTGACCCTTCTACAGAACGGACTTATTAACCTATCCCTACATCGTTCTGCTATACCCTACCCCAAACCGTTCGAGAGCCGCCAAATAGAAGGAGGTCAGCATTAAATCGTACGATTTGAACACCCAGCAGCTTCATCAATCACTCCACTTTTTTTTTTTTTTTTTTCTCTGGCTGTGCAAGGCCCCATTGAACAAGCCCAACTGCCGCCACACACCCACTCGAACCACTCGCACCCCCCCCCCCTCCCCCTCTTCTTGCGGTTTACCACCCCTCCCCCCACCCTCCCAGGTCCCTTCTGCTAGTCCCCGATGATCCTCGGGCTGTCACTCATCCTCGCGTTCCTCACGTACCTTATTTACCGCCGCCTGCTACTATCTACGGACAGTAGTAGTACTAGTAGCATCACTGGCACTGGCTCGTCCAGGAACAGCTCACAATCATATCAAGTCTTTCCGATGTGGCCGTTCCTGTCGACGCTCCTACAACAGCAGTCCACCACCTCTACTACTACTACCACCTCAACCTCCGCAACCGTAGGCCCCTCCAGCACAGCCAAGCGTCCCTTCCCTACATGCCAACCCACCACCATCTCTACCAGTGCTGCCAATAGTGCCACTACCACCACCACCACTACAACATTAAGGGCCAATGACTACCATGGTAGGTCACCGGTCGCTCCCGCACAATATGCAGCATCGCCGGAAACAACTCCAAAAGCGATCCCCGCAGCACCTGCCATCGCTATTGACGCAATCCCGCCAGTCACCCTCGAGTTAACACCCCCCAGCATCACCATCAACGTCGACGCCGAAGATGAGGATGACACCTACATTCCCTCGTTCCCATCCATAAATTCCGCGCAGCGGGCCTCGCCATCCTCCTCTGCATCCCTCATGTCCACCACTCACAGCGCCAAACCAGCAGCCCCCATGGCGCCGCCCCCAATCCCCATCCGCGGCCGCAACCCAAAAGCCAACGTCCGCTACGCAACGCCCACCACCACTGCAACCCCGTCCGCAGCAGCCGTCGCACGCCAGAACCCAAACGGCGCAGCCCGCTCACGACTCACCGCGATGGGCGTCGGCGCATCTGGCGTGGCCGCAGGCAGCGGACTGAGCCTGCCGGGCAGAGGGGGGCAGAGCAACAACAGCAACAGGAAGAAGGTTGTGCTAGAGCCTGGACACTCGCCGCTGGACTGGGCGCGCTTGCAGAGGAGCGGGATTGATCTGAGGGTATGTTCCCCCCAGTGCAAAGCTGTAATGGGTGGGCGGAATGACTGCATCAACAAAACAAGACTAACGGCGTGCGTGTGTATAGGGACTCCCACACTCAAACCTAATCAAGGTACCGCCATCACTGCTGGCAAAACACGCAAAGGCCCCCGAAGACATCTGGACGGCGCTCAACGGACGCGTCTACAACATCACCGCCTACCTCCCCTTCCACCCGGGCGGCGAGAAGGACCTCCTCCGCGGCGCGGGCAAGGACAGCACTAAACTCTTCAACGCTACGCATCCGTGGGTAAATGTGGAGGGCATGCTGGCAGAGTGCCTCATCGGCATATTTGTCAGCGAGGAGGAAGCGGCCGCGGGCCTGGACGAGGATGAGTCGCCGTTGGATACAGTGGATTGAGGGGGTGAGGGATTCTTGGGGACTAGGGCGTAAGCAAAGTGAGGAGGAACGAAATTTTTTTTTTCTTTTTTCATTTCTCTTTTCCTGGTTGGGCTGGTCGATTTGGCTGGTCGGTTGGGCTGGTGGGCTCCATGGTTGGTAGGGTCTTCTGTTATCTTGGGTTGGGGAGTTTTTTTTGTCCATATAATGTTTCCTTTTTTTCTTTTCTTTTTATCTTCCCTACTTTTTTTTTATATAACTTTGGCTTCTTCTTTGGGGGGATACTCCTTATCTTTTTTACTGGAACAAAAAAAGCGGGGTTTCTTTTTATATGACAATATACTTTGGTATAAATCTGTTGTAGTTTTTTTTGTTATAGTTTGTCTCTTGTTTTTCCTTTCTTTTCTTTTCTAATTCTTTCTGGGGGCTTTTATTACTTGGCGTTATGATTAACTCTACCTACTAACTAACTTAACTATATGTAACTTCATTTTACCCCTTACAATTAGCCCTCTTCTTAGTGACTGACTTGTCTTTTTGTTTCGGCTCTTTGTTGTTTCATTTTATCTGGGGGATATGGTGATGCTTGGGGGAGACGGCGACTATAAGTATCTACGTAATGGCAGTGGTATAGCATAGACCAAAAAGGTTTTAATCAACATTGGCCGGTCTGTCTGTCTGGTGTTCTTGGCGTTTTCTTGCTGGATATTGGGGCATCTGTGGTGTGATGGGTGTATTACCTGGGGGAGATTCGAAGGGTGCCGAGGATGAGGGGCATGCTTGTGCTTGTGTTATGCTTGTACGCGTGTTGCTATAATATTGTTGTTACTCTTTTATAGATTGCTTGTTGTCTTGCCTCTAGTGTCAGCTCTTGTGCGGGGGTGTTGTATTATGGGTCTCTCCTCTTCTAGAAATGTTGGGGGGAGGGGATTGCTTAGCTATTGAGCTTGTGCAGATGTTTGATAGTAGCTGGTGGCAAAAGCTTTAATATCAATAGAGGTGTTGATATGTAATCAACCAATCATATACCACACAATGCAATAGCTCCGCTGTCTATCTATCTGTCTAGTGTGCTTGTGCCCGAAGCCGTGCCTGCGTTAGATGCACGCCATCCAGCCAGGCCAGGGAGTGTCGAGTAGAGTGCAGATGTATATTATACATACTAAATAGTCGACGTGTCTGCTCCCTCCGTCCCGGCCGGTCGATATTGATACCAGGCATACACGACCAAACGAAGCCATTCCATGCGCCAAACCCCGCCCACCTGCATGTAAACACAGTAAGAGGAAGAAGAAAATAGGGTTCCGGAATAAGTGATCTTCCAGGCGGTAGTTAGTCTCAAGGGTTTGGGTTAGGGTGGAGGATCTTCCGTGACCGATATATTGGTACTCTACTTCGCGTGCAGATATATGCAGCCTGCGGGTACGAAGAGGTAGAGTACATATTGGCGAGCGACAACAAAACGAAAGAATGCAGCCCAGCCCTATCGGATGCAGCAGCATCGGGGCTACGCCGGAGTGATGGCGGGCGGGTGCGGGCGGTACACCAGTGTTCTGGTGTAAAGTACTATAGTCATGGGGTGTCACTCGGCGATGTATGTGGACTAGCGCCGGGGCTGTTCGGTTGCCGAATATCTCGGTGGAATGGAGGTGTGCAGGGGTCTCCCTGGTTGTACTGTAGATACCTTAGTAATATTTGTTGATTGACTGAGATTCGGTGGTCTGGATGCGTACATCCTGGCCGGAGTCGGTCATAGTATATCACTCGTTTAGATCCGGCTCCGACATGGAGTTGTGGATTCTAGGCCTAGGGCGGCAGTGTTATGGACCGTATCATAATGGCGCCCAAAGGGCCCAGAGTACGGAAGATGAAGGGTTGTGCTGCGGTCAGTCAGGTTTTTTTTTGGTTCGCTTCCAGCCGTTCATACAACACATCAATCAGTTTCTGCTGCGTTATTCCCCCCGCCAAATCGATTTAGTGGATAGGAGTAGTCTAGATATGGTGTATCTGATACTGTAGATCCATCTTTATGAGTATCCCTTTCGCTGGTGAATGGGTGACCCCCGCCTTCCTCGGAGAGTCAGTACTGGGGGCATGATATGTGGCTTGTGTTGACGGTGGTGGTGGTGATGAGGAGGTGAATAGGAAAGATAGACAGGAGGAGAGAAAGATGAAGAGCCCTCCCCATATAATATATGTAGCTACGTGTAGTGAAGCTTTGACGACATCTCCTGATGCCAGCTGTTGCGTGGCATCTATATTGCACTAACCCACTTTAACTACATGTACATGTAGCGGGTTCCAGCAGGGATACATGTATAGTTCTTGTTCAAAAGTCCCGGGACAACGCAACCGCGAGTTGCTACGGGGGCTTGTCCCAGGATTTTTGACATGGAGGTATACATACATGTATAGTCGTATCATGAGCACGAACTCGGTAGTTTAGGTCTGCTAACACCACTGAAAGCTAGGGCTACATATATTTCATAGGGGATCACTCGGTTTGTTCGAAAACACCAACGTGTCTAGATAATTGATTGATTGACCAGCGTGTTTGGAGACGACGGAGGGTGCATATGGGGGATGGATGGTGCGGGTGTTGGTCGATCTTCGACGGGGCATGACTTCGTTCCTCACGTACGCCGGCCGCACTTCAAAGGATGGCGGAGAAAAGCTGGCCGAAAACCTCAAGATCGAAGGAAAATTAAAGGCCACCGCCCAAACCCTAAATTATTGCGAGTTTCCAAAATTAACCCGACGCTCTGTTACAACCACCCAAACCAAATAGGCCACAATAACTAACCTTTCAAATACCTGCGATTGAGTCGATATTAAAACCTGAGATAATACAAGCGTAGAGAATCACAGATATAACACCTCTTGATTTCCAGCTGTGGTTGTGTTGCAATTGCAACGTGATGTTGAAGTTGCGTTCTCGTACAAAATTCGGTTAATTTTGAAAACTCGCAATACAACCACACTTTCTTAACAGCATATCTCCATGGGGTCCGTGTCTACTGATCATTCAAAAGCTCAACCTATCTCACCCATCAAGTTTAGCGAACTTCGCACTCCTTCGGCGGCCTTTTTGGTGCTTAGGTTCACCATGCAGCGTTTGTCCTGGTGTGGACGTTTGACAGCGGGACATGGATAATCACTCGAATATCTTGGCGCCAAGAATAGCGCAACCTACATGTAGCTGACCTCCTCCTCCGCTCCATACAACCATACCTGTACAAACAAAAACCTTCGATGTCAAGATCTCAATACTGGTGATATCTACCAGTTATGTACAGCAAAAATGACCATCATAGCTCGAAGGCCAATCTCGAACCAACTGCCACGCAATCACTGTAACAAAACGCACTAGCGGGAGTGCGATCCCACAGGATTCGAGGCCACCGTGATCTAGCTAGCTGAGTCCGAGTGGGATAAACCCGGCCCATATTCCACCTTTCTAACTACCACGAATGAATATCTTCACAGCTGAACATACGTACCATGGGATAAGGGTTGGAGGGAGGTACATACGTATCGGAATATTTTAATCATACTATATCACTCGCTTCCCTCCTCCTCCTCGCTGTGTTGTATGTTCCCAAGCCCGGGCCCGCCCACAGCGCCAGCCAAAACCCATTGGCTTGATGTAAGTGTTGCGGTCCTCGCCGACATGGCTGTCTAGAGAATGTTTCTATTGGTCAGGCATTACCTGGGCTCGTCAAGTAAGCATAGGATTACTCGGGGTAGGTGTGCCTGGGGATGAGGTAAAGCCTACCGCCGATAGCATCCCCGATTACAAAGTGGCGGTTAAATTTATTTCCTACCTTTCCCACTAGTGTGAGTCAAATTAAAAAGCGTAGGGCAGATCTGCCTGCCATCATAGCGTGGACTGAACGACACCGACACCCGGCCGATCACGGCCCATGGGTTTCGGTAGTGTGGTCCACGCGGCATTGACGCTCAAGGCATGGGGGTCGACGAGGCGAGCATGCTCGAAGTTTAGGTAATTATACTACTAGTATTAGTAGCATATACGTATCCAATAGGATTGAAGTTTCCGCTATCGGTAGGAATATCAGTAGTATTCCCGGATTCTCCACTATAGTTTCATCAATATTTATACCAAATCAACATATATTTGTTTCGCTCGAACTGCATACCAGTATTAACTACAAAATACAATTTTACTAGATCTAAATATATGTAGTAATTATCTGCCTCGAGCCAGCTCGAACACCTCGAGGCGTGATCTCTCTTTACACGAGCGAGCAAAGGCACGCGCCACACGGGGCAAAGGCACCTCGAGGCACCTGCAGGCTCTGCTCGCCTTGAGCAGCCTCGTGGACACTAGACCGTTTCGGAAACTAACGTTGGGCAGAGGGTGGCACAACGCAAGTGATTCATTAGCTAATTAGCATGAGGCCACTCATGATCGAGGTACATAACACAGGAAGTAGTTCGCCTTGAACTTCGTGGTCTAGTAAGCAGGGTAACGAGAGCATACATAGGCTTGAGCTTTGCGAGATAGTGACCTGCCGGTGTTTCTCGAGCTCTACTCAGTTCAAATGAAGATTAGTTGTACAATTGTCCGGAAGTATCAAAATTGGGGATTCTTTACATTAGCTCCATATTATATTTAGATCGATTTCGCTAAATTCATAATTGAGGCTTCCTCGTTTTACGATATTCCATGTTTCGGTCTTGAAAATAACTAGCACAATTATCCAGAAGAAATATTGAATTATTAACGACGAAAATAAATACATAGCAGTGCGTATAATTAAATGAACATCAAAAAGTCCTAACCAACAAGACATCCTCTTCTCTGCGAATACTAACTCAATTACTCCAAGCCTTGCCACCCGTATTTCCTCAGCCGAGCCATCTCTTTCTGATGTTTGTCGACTTCTGTCAATAGGGCGCTTGTCACAACCCACGCAAAGCTCTGTAGCCCGTTTTGTGGCCCAACACGCCCTCCATCCGATCTACACAGGAACAGGCAAGCCATTCCAATTCCAAAAACATCTGCTTGGCCATCTTGATCTCCTTTAATGGAATCAATGATTGATGCCACCAACCATTCGTACTCTTCTTTCATAGAAATGGAGGCGTCCTTCTGACGTTGGGTCTGTTTCTCGCGCCCAACGATGGAACCGATGAACACTTCGACTTCGCTGATATTCCCGCTCCATGGGGTATCGGCATAGTTATGCATCAAGTTTAGCATCGCCTTTTCGTAACTGTTGTTACCGTATTAGTGGTCGGGTTTCTAGATGTTCTGGAACGTTCGCTTTTACCTCTCTTTGATCCCTTCGGCCTCCCTCAATCGTTCAGTCCAATCATACACTGGTGGGATGTTCGCTGAAAGATAATTCCAGACACCATCACTAACATTAACCGTCTCCGTCTCCGTCCTTTCCGAACCCCTTAATTCTGCCTTGACTTCATAGATGAACTGTTTCTCATCGATAGCACGGTAGAGATGCCCAAGAACCTTTGCTGATTCATAGTACCTAATTCCAGTGTCCCCAACTCCCCCATCTTCCCCTTCAATCTCCATCTCTGCAATTGCACGGTTCTTCTTGACGAGAACACGGGGCCCCGGGGCCATGAAGTCGGGACGAACTCGACCACCGTAAGGAAGTTTAGCCTTGTCGACTTTGATACCGGTTTTGGGGAAATCGACTGCTGTCGATGCCATTTCCGCCAGCTTCAAACAATCGGGGTGATTCACGCCTTCTTTTTCCCTGTCGGAGATGATGAGATGTCGAGCACTAATTAAACCGACAATGTCGTTCTGCATGAAATCAATCAGAAAGTCGACAATGTCATTTTGATTGACCGGGCGACCAAGATCCTGAGGCAGGACTCGAGTGTACATGGCGGGAGTATAAGTTTGACCAAGTGAGAACCTAGGATCGTAGATAATGTTGTATAGATCTTTCCTGTGTCAGTTTATAAACTCATACTAATTCAGTAGTTATTTACCTCCGTCCAGATCTCCACCAGACAACATGCTGGGCAAATCACGACTTCCACATTGTGAAAATACAACAACATTCTTGAGTGCCCTGAGGGGAGAGTTTGCAGGTATATGCGACACCGCTCTAGCCATTTGAACGTCTCCGGGATGGTAAACTGGCGATCTGGTAATCAAAACGTTTCCCTTCACTACGCCTTCTTCGTTATTATCAAATCTGTAGGGGCAATAGATTTCTCCTTCTTTTAGGAACCCCGTTTCGTCGACAATGCCTATGAGAGTAACCCCATTCGGCACCGGAATTCTTGCACGATGCTTAAGATCCCGTAGAGCCGTCAACAGGGCAAGTTCGAGTGCGCGTTCCAAGAATTCGTCCTTTCTAAAGTTCAGCCCGATATTATGGAGAGACTCGATCATCCATGGAAGTTTGACAGATGCCGGTGCAACCCCACGCCTTTTCAAGAAATTCGCTGCTAAATGCGCCGACTTTGTGGACTCACGGAGCTCATTTATAGCATCTCTTTGCAGATCCATAAACGTCTCTTTCTTAACTTTAAGGTCCTCTAGTAACTTGATTAGTGGTCTATTCAGCACCATCGGTAGCCAACCTGGCGTCGAACATATTTCGATGTTACGGTCAGTCGAGCCACGGAACTTGATCATCGATGGACGAAGACACAGTTGACTTCCTTGAAGACGGGTATCTAAAGCGACCACACCCTTGGCGCCAGCAAAACGAATCTGGAATACCGTGGACTTGTTTTTCGCGAGCTTTTCAGACCCGGTCCATATAACCTCGAGCATTTCATGAGAAATCTTTCCCACACCATCACTGAAGCAGCGATTATTCCGTTCAATATCTTCGATTTCGATCTCTGAATGATGAGGTACTTCGATAGACCCGACAGTGTCGCTAAAGGCTTGACCAATACGTGCTGCACACCTGCCAGGACAGGTAATCTGAGAGAAGTCCCCTAAGTTTTCGATAATCCTGGCGGCATCCAGATGTTCACCGTTGAAGACGAAAGGGGCCATAAACCAACAACTGCTAGTTCTCAACGAAGAACTTGAGAACCCTAGGAATTGGAATGGTTTGCCAGCGATAACAATTCCACTACCTGAAGGCGAGAGGTAGTTTCGAAATTGTCCGTCATAAATCAAAGACTGCGAGACGTTGTACTCGAACAGGAGTTGATCACCATCCTCGTCACCGAAAAAAACTCTTAAAAAGGAACCGTGATTCTGTGGATACTTCCGAAGAACCCTATTCTGCATTTCTAGCGTGGGTCCGTAGAAATAGCACCCTGCAGGAGTGATCGTTGAATGGTATATGTAAGTCATCCCAGCCTCCTCAGCAGCACTATCTGCACTCGAGACATGTGAATTAAGGTGTTGATAATCGGCAATGCATGACTTCAAAACTTCAAATAGGCTGTTGTATGATAGGCTATCAAGCTCGCCCAAGGGGTCCACTGAAGTTACCGATCTAACAAAAATTTGCATGATACCGGCTGCCTTTGTTACTCCAAACCTCATTATCAACTCAGACACAGTCGGGAGCAGTGGGAGAATGGCATATGGTGGGAGGATTCCGTTTGCACATAATGCGTTGAGTTGAAATGCGATAGAGAAATCGAATTCCTCCCGTAATACGTTTGTGAGTTTCCGAAAAGAATCCACAAATAAGCCGGCGACATTGGGCATTATTAATGTCGGCCGGGAATTTATTTCTGGCACGCCGCCGTTTCTGGAGAGGTTATTTAGTAAGTTGAGATCACCAACTTCCGTGAGATAAAACTGGTATACAAAGGCGAAAGGGGCAAAGCAAGCGTGAGCTCCGTCCAGGCTAGATGTCCGTTCAATCGAAAATTCCTCTTCATCTGACATTGATTGTTGGAAAAGCCTAATCAAATCGCTCATATCCTGGTCGAAGCCGTTATTTGGGCTAGGTGTGCCCTCTGCAACAATCTTACGATACATCCTAGGTGCTCTTGCTAGGGTGAAGAGAACTCGAGGACTTCTTGTCCCAGAAGTGATAATTGAAGATACAGTGGGATATAGAATGGAAATTGTTTTGTTGATACGTATAGCCCCAAAATTGCGGCGCAGCTTCGGGCCCAGTGTTTCCGGGTCGGAAACGTCCAACTCATCGTCTTCAAACTCAACCACGGCTCCGTTTTGTTTGAAAATCAGCTTTCCATCAACTTTTTTCGAGTAATATGCCTCAAAGATCGGCACATTCATCGATTGTGGGGACCAGATTCCACATTCAATCGAGCTGATTGAATATGATTTCGTCAGCTTGCTGGGGGTAATTGGTTGGGTGCGTCGGGCGTTTCTAAGCTTTTTATCTTGTTGCTCTTTGGCAAGACTTTTAACCAAGAGTGGTTCAAATGGCTTATTGCTAAGGGCACAGGATATCTTGCAGCTCGATACCCATAGTTGGACCGGTGGTGGGCCACCATTTTGCGGCTGTCCAAAATATCTAAGGAATTGTTGCCCGGCTTCCTCGGTCGGGAGCGTTAGAGCTGCGAGTTTGGTTCTCCTATCACTCCTCTGTTTTGACGAAAATACTCGTACGGCCGAGGCTAAGATGCCGATGCTTATGAGAGAAGGTTCAAGAGCCTTTTCCACATCGTTTTCGGTGGCATGGTAAGGGATCCCTCGGATGAAGACCTCCATTATTGCTATATATTGACCCGCTCAAACCTAAGGTTGGCTAAGAGAGCGAGTATCTTGCTGATATCGAGCTTGAAAGTATTGAAGGGTTTGGGCTTGGGGGTATTGAGTTTGGAGGTACTGAGATCTAGATTTCTGAGATAGTAGCAAACTCCACGGAATTAGCATTTAAGCATGCATAATAATGAAAAAATAAATACCTGAATAGCTTGGTTGAAGTTCGTAGCGAGCACCTGTCCAAATTGAGAGTATTGTTCCGTGTTTTATACAGTTTCTACTCGAATCATGTTTGAGTAGACGTCACGGTATCTAAAATTATAGTTACATGTATTTATGCAGGGTTCAGGCAACCACCGCGGGGTAACGTTCTTGTGTAACGCACAATCACATGTAGGTACTCCCGTTATTGAAGCAGAGTAGAGTAAAATTCGTTCAAAGTACCAACGATGCATGTAGTTTTATTGGTCACATATAATCTAAAATACACAGCCCGGTACCGAAAGTATGCATAAACCGATATGGAGTTATCGTCGCCGTCTCAAAACAGACGCTAGCAAATAAAGTTGGCTTCTAACTGTTACTGAATACTAGGCCCAATCGGGTCTGGTGCTATAAAACAAGATAGGTATCAATGGGAGATATCTAGCTGGCTGTCTCTCCGACCAACCAGTTCAACGATTGTTGAAGAAGTCCATACGTAAACCCTCGTGTTTGGTATACTCTTGAGGCTCAAAGTAGGATTTCTTTTCAGGCAGGCCACTCTTACTATGAGGGATTAGAAATTTCTAGGGCTGTCGACGTTAGGCATCCATATTTCCAAGCTTTTCTCGATATCAATGTACGTACTACTATAGTAGTGATCCAAGAATCTTAAGAGGATATTCCAGAATGTTTCCTTCTCCACTAAGAGTAATATGTACATGCATGGGCAGACAACTAATCGCGTGGATGTATACGCACAAGAATACACAGCAATATTACATACGTATTAGCTAATTATAATAGAGATGGATCTTTTTGACTAAGGGACAGCTAGAGTTTTCTACCAGTTCCCGCAATCCCAATAGTAATATCGCGATAGTTGATAGCTACAGTACCGCAAAACCCAGGAATAACGAATCGAAATGGACTAGGAACATTGGCTTTCGAATTGGTCAAACGTGTATCGAACTTCAATCCCACAGACCCGAAGTGGGTGTAGTATTCCAGTCCAGTCCGATTCGTTATTCCTGAGTACCGAAAAAAAAGTGGAGAGCCTACTTTACCGTCAAAATAGGTCAAATAATAATGCTTGCGAAAGGCTCAGGATACGCTTATATAAGCCTAAAATAAACCTTTTATTTGATATATTGCTTTTTTATGAATAATCCTACAGCAAATAACTATAGGTGAAAATTCTTATTTCGAAATAAGACTTTTTCCATATTTTAAGACTTATGCATTTTTTAAGGCTAATATAAGACTTTTTCCAGATAAGATTATGTCCTTGGTGGTTCAAAAAAGCAAAAGAGAGGATTTGAACCTAGAGCATTGTAGGTAGAATGCACCTCATGCTACCCACTAAGCTATGGAAGAACTGAAATTTCCTTGCTGGAGGTAATATATAAGTAGGATAGCCGATGAAATGCTAGTAAAATCGGAAATTACAAATCTTATATAAACCTTATTTGCCGAAAATGTCTTATTTGATAAAAAGACTTATCTGGTATAAAGGCTTAAATTATTTGATAACACTTAAACTAAATTAATGTGTACAAAGACCTAAAGATGTATATACTCCTTTTTCTCGGCAAATGATTACAAAATTTTAGGCCTTATATGGAGAAAAGGCTAAGGACACAATTTTTCGTCAAAAAACGTTCAAATATGCCTTATTTGGACGATAAGCCTACAGCAAGCCTTATCATTTCACCTATGTTGACGGTAATGTAGATGTATATTTGCTTTTCTCGCAACTACTCTACATACAACCGACTTGAACCAATTACATACACGCCAGTTATTCATCTGAGACTGCACAAGAAAACGGTTTATTACTTCTAGGTCAACCACTCGGATGGGTATGTCTCCCATGATCGAAGCTTCCGAACTATCCAGCTATTCATCAGAGAACCTATTCCAGAAACCAGCCAGAAATTTCATATACGTCCGATCCTCAGCAGACTCTTTAATTCTCTGTTACCCATCTAGAAGCGATACAGATAGTCCTAACGTTGGTCTTTCCATGGCCAGCAAGACCTACCCAGAATAGCGTGCATTGTATGTTTGGTGTTTTGTGGAGGTTGAAAGATCAGTTCATGTTGATTAGAGAATTTTAGCCACGCTCAAAATCAACAATCGAGGGAACTTTCGAGGGAAAATGACCGGGATGATTGCATAAAGACACCTAACCCTCGCAGCTTGCAGTGTGATACGTCAAATTTCTCAGGTTTACGCAGTGCAAATATTAGGTCCTGGTTGGTTATTGGTCCCGATTTGACGCTACTTATGCATCTTGGCTAGCTTGCCTCGAAAGTTCCCTCGATTGTTGATTTTGAGCGTGGCTAAAATTCTCTAATACCGTGCTGCGCTCGATTCTGAAGAGACGCGCCTTGAGGCAGGCGGAATCATATCTGCGGCCTGAGCTTGCAGGTATGACTCGGTTTTGCACGTCCAATTGTGGTAATATCAAGAAGCTATGCATATGTATTAAACGAATAAAGATTATGTGCTTTTTGATAGGTGGGCGCTAAACTGTATTGAATGCACGTGATCCGGGATAAAAGTGAAGGGTACCTTGATCATAGAAAATCACTCGAAATAGTCAACAAACGATATGTAACGTTTTTTTTTTTTTTTTGTTTAATTCATGACATGTAACGGTGTAACTATGGCCTCTAGGCTAATATTTGAACAACCTCAGTGTTATCATTAACTGGATCGATTTCGATTTAAAGTAATTATAATAATGTCTTTCTTATAAACCCCTACAAACCTTGTTACAAATACGTTAATATAAATTCACTTATAGTGTGGTCCATGAGCCGAGCCAGCTCGAGCTTTGGGCTCGAGCTCCTGGCTCGTTGAGAGCAAGCCTTACTCTTCATGAGCATGAGCCGAGCTGGCTCAAGCCTTTTCCGTTAATACACGAGCTTCGGCTCGAGCCAAAATTGCCATGCTTTTAACTAGATATCTGAGAGATGGGAACTGGAAATTGGGGTTTATAATGATCTCTATACATTGGTGAGTTATAGGTAATGCTATTATTAAAACCACTTTCAGTAATCTCGCTGTTTTTCTATGTCCCCACCTTTTGCAAGGAAAAACCTGTAACTCTGGTCATTGACCACAAGCTCGAGCTGTATCACGAGCCTGTACCAGAAGCTCGAGCTCTGTGAGCCCTACACCCATCGAGCCAAGCCAACTCGAGCTTTTGTCCGGCTAGACTCGAGCCGGCTAGACTCGAGCCGGCTAGACTCGAGCCGGCTAGACTCGAGCCGGCTCATGGACCACACTATTCACTTATCCCCAAAGGAAGTACCTGTGGTAGCACATCACGGTTTCTTAATCGGTGTGACTACATCTAGATCTACTAGTAGCTGGTCACGTATTTCCTTCCAGTGATTTGTGCCAGCAATTCTAGGCGCATGGGATATACAGTACCAAAAGACGGGTGGGGGTTAGTACGGTAGTACTACGCCTATGTATCCATAAAATCGGGTAGCGCTCCGGTTGTCGAGCGAGTAAAGCCGCCTTTCAGCAAACGCTCTATCGATGCCGTATCAATTATACTGCATTATATAATCTATGTATTCCCTAGATTGCGCAGTGTGGGTGGTATATTTATACTGCCCTAGTACTTCCGCATTTCCCAAAATCCGGCATTCTTGTGGTATTGGGGGAAATGCCATCCCCCTAATATTTACCCTGAATATCATATTTTGGTGATGAAGCATTTCAGAACCAAAGATCACCAGTTATTGTTTCATCCACCGATCCATCAATTCTCATCCTCCTAGTATGGGCTTTAAACAATTGGGATATACTTTTGAAAAATAGATTTTGTGTTTCTAGGCACACATATACCCGTGATTTTAATTAAGAAAATGACGATGAGTTAGGAATTACATGCACTGTTCAGTCATGATAAGCTCGTGATGATGATGGTGGTGATGATGATAAAGTGGTGTAGGTGCGGTCTAGTCTCGTACCATGGGACGAGCCTAGGTGTGGTTAGTCCTAGACCTGGTACTGGAGCACTGGACCTGGTGCTAACACGCTGGACCTGCTCCTGGTCATAGTGTGCTGCGGCCCCTAGGTTATTAACATACATGTCATGTTAAAAGGCCTATATTGGTGTGGTAGTGCTATGGTATTGCTACGGTATTTTATAAAAAATATATTCCTTGAAATTCTAAAATGATGCCGCTGTCCTAAGAATACCCCATCGCGGCGGTGCTACTGTAGCACTACGGCATCGATCCATACCCCCTTTTGTTATTGTATTTATGTTACTCAGCATCGTTACTTCTGCGAGTCAAAAGAATCCGTCAATGTCACCAACAGCTAATGACTGGTACCAACAGAACCGCATATCGCGTACGTATAGCTTCGCGCCGCGTATTGATACCAAGCTTTACTATAGCTATATATACTAAACTTCATTACTATTAATCAGATCACCACCAGGGGGGGTTGACCAGGACCATTCCTGATGTTCATTTAACAAGTGCGTATATAATTAAGGTACGTACTACTAGTAGTGGCCCACCTCGCGAGCGCGAGGTCTCTCCCACCGCCATGCAGTATTTCCCACCTCCAGTACACGTACTTGCTCACCCATAGTAGTTGGCCAGCTCCAGTAGTTAATTACTGTTCCCTTATCCATCTATAGTAGTTTCCCATAGCCAGCGCCTCCCATATATCGACGTTGGCCAGCTCCCGCTGTTGACCATAGCCAGCGCTCATAGTCACTCATTGCCAGCTCCCGCAAATGTCCACCTTCTCCGTAATGATCCAGTTCC